AACCTCCAAATACATTTGGTGCAATTGCTAAAGTAATAAACAAGCGTTCATAGATACCCACACTTATCTGCACACATGCGCAGTAAGATCTGTACAGGTGTCGATTCCGGTAAGTTATTCAGATCGCGCTTAGAAATCCACCTCGCTTGCAGGATTTTGAAAAATTGCCTTACAGAAATCCTCTTGCGTTCACACTACTGCATTTATTCGAACTGTGACCTAATTCGCAACTTATCCAGATAACTGAGCGTAGTGTGAATGGGGTATTAATTACACTTGCAAGGATGGTGCACATCAGTGGTGGAGAATCCATAAAGAGATTATGGGTCATGCTTACAAGTGCGGGCCATATTTGAGCCACAGTACATTTAGGTTGCTGTTCAACAACCTAGGTAGTTTAGGTAGTTGTGAACAGAGCCTAAGGTCGCATTCAGAACAGTGGACTAACTAGTCCCATGGTCAAATATGGCCGACCCACTTGAATACTTTCCCACAGGTAATCTATTTAGTGTTTATTAGTGGTTTAGATATCAAGCTTTGTAGTGGGCCACCATATTTGACCCTTGGACTAGCTAGTCCACTGTTCTGAATGTGGCCCAAGTCTTCTTTACACAGACAAAGATGACAGTATGCTGGATAAGTGCAAGTTATTATTCAGTACACTCCTGTCCTGTCCTCAACACAGGCTAAGGTTATTTCTGCATCAGAGTCACACAGTCAGAATATCAATTCATATTTGAACCACCAGCTCACATATGTTTTTAGTTACATTAATAGTAATAAATGGACATCTTAATCAGCTACTGATGACGGACGCGAACCCGTATTATAGTTTACAAATGTTTACATTAGCAACACTAGTTTCATTTGTGTGTGCACGTGCCCATGTGTGCAAGCACGTGTGTATATAAAAATATACAAATGCACATGAATGTGTATGAATGCATATTTCTATGCATGTCTGAGCATATTTATGCAAGCAAAACACACATATACAGTCACTCATATACATATGCATAGCAACCAACATGATTTTGCTCTTTGACCTGGATAATTAATGATATACAATTTATAATTATTTTGAACCAGTTGATCTAGTTAGTAATATTCTTTTTATTTATTTATTTGTTTATTTATTTATTTTTTGAGGTCTAACAGATTGCAGCAAATGAGTGAATTCATGAATGAACACATCTCTTCTACCATTAAAAAGACTTTAGCTGACCTTGAGCCATCCAGAACTGGTTCAGATTACAACTGGGTGTGTGAACTGATTCACGAACAGCACATTTCACATAAAATTGTCCCAATACAGTGCCACCCATTATATGGTAATACAAAAACTACGGAAAAAAAAAATCATTTGCAAACCTACCATTACTTGCCCGCATCATGACAAAGTACTTGGATAATTGTGTGTATTATTTGACAAAGGTTGCCTAGTAAAAGATTTGCTTCTAAGTCTCGGAAATGAGGTCTGTATTCGGCATCTTGGGTGTTCGGACTTTGGGGTTTACTTTCTGGACTCACCAGGGCGTTGGAGTGGTAAAAATTAGAAAATAAATGCTAAATTATTTCCATTTTATTAAACGTTTGCGTCACCAAGCTCATTATGAAGAAGTTTAGAGGTATTCTGTTGGACGGGGAATTTCTGTAACCATTTATTACACATTAAACTTATTTTTGCTTTAAACTAAAATTTATAAAGGCCTGCAGGACAAATAAAAACCTTCAGTTCTTGTCAAGCAAAATTTCTGCCTCTACTTGATCATCATTTTCAGACATTTTCTTGTTCATGCAGTCTCCCTTCTCTTCGCTCATGCAACTTCCAATTTTCCCCCCCCCCCCCGCCCCCCATTTCTAACAATAACTGTTGACTAGAATAATAGATATCAATACTGCTGCAAATATCCTGGCAAAAAAGTGTTGGGAAGTTCTTCCACCTAGGCCAGCCCAGAGGGTGAGAAACTCTTTATCTCAGAAGGAGGAGGTGCAAATTTAATGGTAAGATAATTGGAAGACTTTTTCTTTCCAATTGACAACAACACACATCAGGCCAAGAGGACAGGTGCCATGACACTTATGATGTCCTGAACTCAAATGAGAGCAGACAACTTGTCAAGGTTTGCTAGTAAATTTTTTCAAAGTGCTGCATGTTTCCAAAAGGGTAAGCAAATGCAAGAAATCTTGCCTTCCTCATGAAGAAAATTCAAATACTATCATTACAATATGCCCTGAATGTCAAGAATTACTTGCCAAGATTTACTAGACTAGTAAATTTCTTTTAAGTGCTGCATATTTTCCAAAAGGGTAAATAAATGCAAGCAATCTTTCTTTTGTATAAGAAATCTTTGAATTCTATCATTAAAATATACCCTTGATACTTATATCTAAATTTATATAATAGAATAGAACATTAACAATCATCAAGCAATTTTTCATCATGAAATGTGTTTTTTTTTTGGGGGGGGGGGGGGGCATAATTTTTCTGTAAAATCACAGTCTACTAAACACATCACTCTTCACCAGCCTGCCATAAATAAAGAAACCATACAACAGCTCTTGAAACTACTCAGTGACTAAGCATCACTGGGATTTCCAGCCAACGCCCTTGATTTCAAAGCAATCTTCTGTGGGAGATTTTCACCATTGATACCACACTGCAGCTCTTTAATCTTTCAAGCCCCACTGATTACTGTTAAAAACAAGGTCGGACTGTTAAATTTGGGAATGCCCCCAACACTAAAAAACAATGCCCCACTAACCACAAGAAGGGTGGGACTAAAAATTATAGGGTTACTATAAAAAAAGCACTCTCTTGAGGTCATTATTTTGCGATTTTTTGGAAGAAAAAAACTTGTAGTGGTTTGTGAATGTGGCTGCTTTTAGACCACTTATAAAAATGGATTCTGTAGAGAATCTCATGAAAAAATGCATAACAGTATTGACATATTCAGAACAACGTAAAGAAAAACATTTTGGAACTTAATTCTAGCAATAGCTTTTTAATCATTTAATGTTTTTCAAAAATATTTTTTTGCCAGTGGCTTATGTTCCTGCTTTGACTCACAAAATTAAAAACAAAATAGTATTAGACCAACTTCTGTTAATTTATCTAGAGGAATTCAGTTTACACTAATAAAAAATCATTAAAGTCTAAAAAAACGTCGGAATGAACCAAATAAGACTGTAGCCTGAAGTGATGCACTAAAGATGTTCATCTGTTGTAAATACAAACACAAAGAGAAACCCTACACTATGCATTTCCAATGGGAACTATCATTCAGCCATTAGTGTCATTAGGGTCTCAGACATACCATGCAATGTAAACTCACTCCGCTGTTCTTCGGTAACAATAGATATCTCCATTGTTGCTTACATTTATTACATTTACCATTACACAAATTGCTTCACAATAGCTGATCCAGGGTTAAATTACTCACTTCTTCATTGTGGGAGGCTTTTATCATCCCAAGTTCAGTCACAATTTTTAAGTTTCCTGATGCTCTGTGCACTTGTTTCTGTTCTGAGATCACGACCAAATACAAAGCTAATTATGATGGGAGTTACGACAATACTTTAAATGCGTAATTTTCCCCTGTAAATATGTCGCTTCAAGGTAAGTATATTCGCATTCTCCATGGAAACATGCCCATACAAATTGGAATTTAATTTGCAGGTGTTTTCAATTGTTAGAGCTACCTAGGTGTAATTGAAACTGATTATGTCTAAAGATGTCTCCAAAAGAGTTCAGTAACAAAGTAATTTGATGCGCCAAAATTCGTCTTCAAACATTTGACTCTCTTTGAGCATCCAAGTGAGATTTCCTGTATTGTTTCAACAATTGTAATTTGTTGTCAAAGATGTGTCCAAAAAGATCCTTTTGAATTTGCACTGACTTCATAGGCTATAAATGGTTTTGTTAATGTCATAAATTAATCAGACTGCTGAATCACTGTTTTTTTTTTTTTTTTTTTGGTTATTTCCTGTGGTGGTGTGAAGTCAGCTGAACTATTTAAAGTTTTAGTGAGAAAACTTCAGTTTGAAGATCATACATCCCAGCAACTGCAACTGTGCTGAACTTAAGACACTGACAACACACCATTCCACAATGACATTTATATACAATTAGGGCCCATCCATTTTCATCACTATTTTCACAACACTTTGTAGACTAGTGAAAATGATAAAAATGGATGACCCCCTACAAAGTATGTTTTAGTGAGTAATTTGGTAAAGCTGTATGGTTCATCATGGCAATTGTTCACAAAAGTCTACTGCTAAAAAAATTAATGCCACTTTGAATAATGTGAATGAATTCCTGAAAATTTTCACTGAATAAATTTCACCACATAAGCTGAGAAACTAGACAAAAGATATAGAGTCTTACCTGCGCCTGGTGTCATCCTGACAGAAAATCACTCTTTCAGTAGTAGCAGTTGTTGTTGATCTTCCAGCAGTAGCAGTTGTTGTTGATCTTGCTGCAGTTATCATTCCTGCTGATGCTGTATCAGTAATTGTTCAGCTTGATGACACCTGAGTCCATTTCTCCAAGTTACTGATTTTAAAACCATGGTATACATGGACAATGATAATGCACCTGGTTTTGCAGTTGGCTCCCAAAAAAAATCACAATCCTTTTCTTGTCACAGACACATTGACATCTACAGTCATTATTTGTTCTAAATTTATGCGTCAGCAATTTCTAGCAACAACAACACCATCAAATCATAATCAAAACTAAAAGACAGCATCCATCAGTGTTAATCTTGTCTGTTCTAGATCCTCTGACTGTTCATGTTAAATCTGGTGGTTGACTATATATAGTTTCATTCCGGACAGCCATCTTAGATTAGATACATTTTGTGATTTACTAACAACTCTTGGAATATAATGGCACATATCTGTAGTAGTGTTTCAAACAAATGGACAATCTTCAAAATGGCACTTGTATTTAAAATTAGGTTAACGTGGAAGTTTCTCAGCATGGAGTATCAGATCTACTCCAGGTTTGTCCGTATGGTCAGCGTCATAGACAGTGGAATGTGGTCAGTCAAGGAAGCCAACTGGCTGATATAGCGGTATTCTACAACATTCTGAAAAAATAAATTTACAAAATTTAATTCAAAGACAACAATTATTAAATAAAAAATTTATATATAAAACAAGATTCATAGCAAGAAGAATGGCAGGAATAATAATCATTATCTTAACATAGTGTGACTGTGTCCCCTTCTATTTATTTTTACCACACTGGATCTCTGCTTGACAGTTAGTAAAAGGTAAGAGGCAAGCAAATACTACTAGACTTATGAATTACAGTAATATTAATATTTCTTGAAATGCCATCTAGACTTATTTTTCATTTGAAAAACAATCTAGTTATACTGCTGCATAAGATTATTAGCAAACGAAAGGAAATTTATCTATTTAGGCAGGGAGTTCTGAAGTCTGAGGATGCATTTCTAGGGTATAAGGCTCTATTCAGAATAAGGGATTAACTAGTCCAAGGGACAAATATGGCAACCCACTACAAAGCTTGCCATCTAATCCTCTAAAACACACTAAATAGATATCCCATGGGGACGTATTCAAGTGGGTCGGCCATATTTGATCCTTGGACTAGTTAGTCCCTTTTTCTGAATGTAGCCTAACTCACCAGTGTCATATTGGTGTCCATGTGATCATTGCAGTAGAGAAGATAGTCAATTCTCCTCCTGCCATTGGCTTTAGGCAAACTGGAACCACTAACACTGTCTTCTTCCTTGATTATCACATCTTCTACATATTTTTTTATTCTCTCTGGGTCAGTCAATATCCTACAAAATTACATAATTGTACATATTAGTAAAAAGATCATTTAGACCACATTAACAACAAGTCTGCAGATCAAAATACAACCCACTTGAATGTTTGTGGTGTAATTTTCACAGGGAATCTATTCAGTGTCTATTAGGGGATTACACTTCAAGCTTTTATGTGGATTGCCATATCTGATCTGCACACCAGTTAGTCTGCTGTTGTACATGAGGCCATATACTAAAATAATATTGTCACATCAAGAAGGACTTTTACATTAATCCAATCTGAATATTTATAACATAATCTACGACGCTGTCACCCCAGCTTTTATTTACTGTCAAAATTTTAAAATATGCCGTGCTTGCCAAAATAGTAAAATTTACCGACCAGCAAGTGTGTTATTTTTCACTTTTCTAACTAACCTATATGCAAGCCATTGAAACACTTTGGGCTAACTTATGTTTTGTTTCAATCGAAATAAATTTTAAAATATGCCCATACTTTGGATCACAAGTTACTTTTTTTTACTGCCCATGAAATGGTTTCGGTTTTAATAAAGTTTTTAAAAATGTCTGATAGCTACTGTTACAGTAATGTCTTAAAATATTTTAGATGCAAATAATTTCTTTACTGTTAACTGCACAAACGTTACATGAAAACATAAACAACACTTACTCTGTAAGTTCCTCTGTATCTACATAAAGTTTCTTTTGATATATCTCTGTCCCTAAAAATAAAAGCCTTGCGTACACAATGATAACATTTACATGAACCATACTAATGATATGGAATAATATGAAACATTGAAAATATGGAATGAAATATCCATGGTCTAGTGGCATAAAGGAAAATAATCCATACTTTTTCACAGGTAAATTGGACTTTTTAAGGGAAGTTAAACAGAAAAAATGCAACTGCACATGTTGCATACAGTTTTTTTCTTTCCTTTTTAATAACAAAAGAGAGTCAGAGAAAACTCAACAATACTGGTATTATTTTACATGAAACTCTTCCCTCAAAACCTTCCAAAGGACAGAAGTTCAATGTTAGTAATATTGGTATTGAACTCTTTCCTCAAAACTTCCCCAAGGACCAAGGAGAGATACAGGAAGAAAGGAGACTTACCAAGTGCCCATGACTGATCCACACCAGGTGTTACCCTGCAGGGGTCCTGATACTTCTGCAGCAATGGATGTGTGTAAAATACTCGGTCATCTGGAAGCAATGAAACCATCATAGCCATGCACCAATTCAGGATGGGATAAAAAGAAACAATTTATTATTTTTTGCCCCTTTCTGGTGAGTACATAATTTTTAAAATTCATATCTCACACACACACACACACACACACACACACACACACACACACACACTGTGGTGAAGTTGATGTCACCAGGGGCAGATCCAGGGACATTTTCTGGCAGTCTTCCAAATTATCTTTGTTGATTCATCCTTCATTTTTGACCATCTTCCGACAGAAAAATTTGATGACCTTCCATGTATACTTGAAAAAATTTGACCGTCTGCTGGAAGACCCAGAAGATGGCCTATCTGCCTCCAGTCACAGTAATTTCTATGTATAGTACATACCAGTTGACATGTTGTCAAAGTTGAGGTCACCACAGAGCAGGTCAAACAGGATCCTTTCCTCTGGATTCCTGGTCTTCAGAATGAACTCCTCTATCCACTGCAGTGTGTCATTGAGCTGCTGAGACCTGATGTCTTTTGCACCTTGATTTTAATACAATTCATTTTAAAATTTCCAAGATTAACAACTGAATACATATGATCATGACCATCATCATAATTATGACATTATGAGATTAAGTGTTCTACTGTTGGACAAAGGCCTCAGCATGCTTCATCTGTCTTGGGCTTCAGTTATATAATACACAATACGATTTTAACAATGTACATTCTCACCAGAAAGTTTAATTAAAGGTGTTTCATAGAAAACTGAAGGGTTTGTTTTATTTCTGACGTTGTTTATGTACTAATTAATCTATCAATTAATGGCAAATCAATTAATATCAATTAATGAAAAATGCCACACCTTGAGAGGCCTGGGTATGAGTGGTTGCAATATATCCTGCAAATTTCTGCCCTTCCGCTGATTTTCCAATGTTTACCTAGAATTACATAACACAGTTCTGACAATTAAATCTGATCAGTAAATAATCACAACACTTAAATAGCTATAAGAATATTAACTTATTAGCCTATATATATCTTAAACTTGATAACAGAAAATTAAGGAATACTGTTACAGTACTAAAATTTATGCCAGAGTAAATTTCTGCTTGTCCCGAACAAGATCTAGCTCAAGTGAAATAACGATAGATACACATAACAAGGCAGCAAAGCTGTCAAATGTACAGACAAAAAAAAGAAAAAAAAAGATGCAAAAGAGGTCATTTTGTCAATTTTGATGCAAAAATAAACAAGGCAGCAAAGCTGTCAAATGTACAGGAAAAAAGCAGACAATAACAATGCACAAAACAAGCTAATGGCAATTCTGATNACTTCTTCTAAAGTACACCCCAACATCATGAACAATGTGGGGAAAGTGTTGGTGGAGTTTCTTTACTAGGGTATGGCTAGCTCTTCTATCAAAAACTTCCTGAAGACACAGAAAATCCAATTCTGCTGGGAAGTGGGTGGATACAAGACATTTGGGGTCACTGTGACATCTCGGATCACTGTGTTTTGTGTCAGGTTTGTGAGTTCCTAAATCGTGTGATAAACGAGACCTACTGTTATCGGTCAATTCTTGAATTTCAGAACTGTCATTTGTACTTTCAGTTTGGCAAATTGTGTGGCCCACTGCTACATCAGTCAATTCTTTTTTGGCTATTGTCTTATCTGTTAATTCATGACTTTTTGTTTCATCATCTCTATGACAATGCTTTAAAGAATTGTCAGATGTACCTGTCAATATACCATATCCTTCAGAATCAACTTTGTTTGGGTTTTGTTCTCCTACGTCACTGTTAAGTAGAACTGAATTCTCAGTATCATTCTTTGAAAGATTTTCTATTATTCTACTCCCAATTGTTTTAGCCCGCCATTGTGTATTAGAAAGGTTATTAATTCTGGCGATGAATTCTGGCATAAGGCATACATTTGCTGTGGCAACAGTAAATCTTCTCTCAAACCTTCTCTGTGTTGTGCCCTGGTTTTTTGTGATAACATCGTCATGCATGCACCTGCAAGCAGAGCTGGAAGGCTGTGGTGGAAAAGGCGCATGCACTTTTACTGATTTTAGATCACTTTGAGATACATCAGTACTGTTAAGAGGATTATCACAGTTTGCAGCCAGTTCTAAATTTGATAATGTAGATTTCCCTTGTGACACTCTAATTCTGTCAGCATCATTATGGACATCAATAGCATCTTGTTCATTAAAGTCATGCACTGAACTATGACTAGAATACCTAAGTGAACTACGACACTTTTGCGTGGGCACCCATATCAACAATCCCAGCATGCATAGGGGTAGGGTGATAACAATCAAAGCAAGCAAAACTGGGGCAGCAAATGTTATGATGATGTAGTGTTCATAACATGGTTCTTCCCAACCTCTGCGACTCCTCTCCCGCGAGGTCGATATGAAAAGAGTCAGGAGTTTGTTGGTGAGCCAGTATGTGGGATAGGTCATGCCCCAGGAGATGTTGTACAGCACTCCTAAACACCTGGAGTTGTGTGTTCGCTGGGAAGGGGGCGACATGCTTCCTTACTGCACCTGGAACAACAAGTTAAATTGCCATTTTCATTTTTGAAATTAATAATTAAAGAATATCACTTCAGGCCCAAATGACCATTTGATGATCCCCAGACACTTGTTATCCTACTGGCATTGTCCACTTTAAGTATTAGTCAAAGATAGCATTGGTATTATACATAGATAATAATTGTTTGGGTCAGATTTGGAAAATCATGTACATACAGTATACCAATATATGTATACACACAATCTTGAAAGGTTTTTATTTCCACTGTTGTAATCATCTTTTTATATCTCACGGTCCAAAACAAATGTAGCAGTAAACATGAATAGAAATACTAGAAGCACAGTTCTAAGAGAGGGAAAATCCAGGGTAACCTCTCTAGTCTCAGCCGCTTACCGGCGTCTACCACACTATCGAACCTTGGATCGCATGCTCAGTATAATCTTTATTAAGTGCCCTCTGAGGGACGACAGTTACTCTTTCGTATACGTAATCACGGCTTCAGCAGCTTTAAGTAGCCTTTATTAAACCCGTAACTTGGAAGTGATCGACTCCATGTGCAAGTCCATTCCACTGAACTCAAAACAAGGAAGTACCATATAAAAAGAGGAATATTGATGACAGAGACTACTTACAGGAATGTACAGAATTGGGCAGTTTTTAAATACTAAAAGATATTTTAAATATCAAAATATATTTTTTACAAATGCAAAAATATGTTAAGACAACGTAGATAATCCAGCCGAAAAACATTTATTGAGCGTTCCGGATTATTCTTTACGACGAATCCAGCCAGTAAATTTCCGAAAAGTTGTTGACGATGGACGAAACGAATGCTCTTTTAAAAGAAGTGGAATATTGGACAAGTAAGTGACTTGATAAAACTTTATACACTTTTTTATGTTTATCGAAAGATCAGAGAGTTAAAAAAAGTGCTCAATCATCAGTGGATTGTTTAAAATGCTTCTATTCCAAAAAAAATCTGGTTCATGATTCGTGACTCGCAAGTCGGGTTGAACAAGTCGAGTTGAAGACGAAGTAGAAAGAGAAAAATAGTTCAACATAGAAGGTTTAAAATGTAGAATAGCTCAAATGGGTAACTGTTAATTGCATCAGATCTTATCATTTAGTTAATTTTCTAACCACAAAAATACCCTTCGCTAATTTGATGGAAAAAAATTGGGTACTTTTGTAGTATACCCCCCCCCCCCCCACCCTGTAACTTCCTGAAACTTTCATTTTTCAAACATTTTTTTACATTGTCTTTTTCACCTATGTCAAAACTGTTGAAATAAAATGTTTTTGTAATTACCTGTGGTCTTTTTATTAGTTTTAATCACGTTTAATCCACCCCATTGAAATACAATGTGAAAATTTACAATGTACCCGCAGTCAATAACTTGCCGCGTTTTCGTTGGCTAACTCTACCTTATTTTATGTGAACATAGGATTGATACATTGTATACTTGGACTTTCTCTGTGAAATTATTATGAGCTACTTGTTCACATAAAATTACCTTTGAGTTAGCCAACGAAAACGCGGCAAGTTATTGACTGCGGGTGTAAATTGAAGATTCTAACATTGTATTTCAATGGGCTGGATTAAACGTGATTAAAACAGATAAAAAGTCCACAGGTAATTACAAAAGCATTTTATTTCAACAGCTTTGACATAGATGAACAAGAAAATGTAAAAAACTGTTTGAAAAGTGAAAGTTACAGAAAGTTACAGGGTGGGGGGGTATACTACAAAAGTACCAATAATTGTCCAAACTTGAAACTTGGGATGACTTCTAATTGTATATTCTGACCATTTTGTCAATAAAACCATCAGTGTGGTGTAATCGTATGCCATTATTTTTATCACTTTTATTATTGTAAACTTTTCTTCTGATACTATCAAGTGAAATAAAAAACAAATTCTATTTTAACACCAGAATTAATCCATGCTCATAAACAGAAAGGGGGCACACAGTCAACATACACCAGAGACAAGGCATTCAACAGAAACAGAGGAAACAAAACATGGATCAACAGAAACAGACAGATAGTGCCACCCCAGGGAGGCAGCAGAGAGAACCCCAGTGTATCTACAGCACACCACCCTACCAAGTCCAGGACAGTGGTAGCACCTCAAAACACATTCAAGTCCACGTCATTTCAAGGAAATAGTATTGCCAGGAAAGTGAATACTTTAGGAAATGCATTTTCTGATAAAAGCAAACCATCTGAGAAAGTGGTCATTTCAAAGAATGTAGTAAAGAACACCTCTCATGAAATTGAGCCTTCAGAAAGAGGTGGGGCCAAAAAACAGATTTATAATTTTAATACTCAGCCAGGTGCTAATATTTCTAATGGTGCTAATAGTAAGAGGGAAGTGAAGTATAGTGCCACAGAAACAGTTACCACAGGTGCTCAAACTTCTAGCCAAATACATTCCAAAAGAACTGTCAAATTACCACAGACTGTTAGCAATACCAATCCAGGGGCATATGTGAAGGAGACCGTTCCTGCAGGTAGTGCCTTTCTAAAGAAAGGTAAATATAGTTTAATAAAGAAAACCCTCTCCACTACTGCCAAGAAGACAGAGCATGGTTTGCTATATGATAAATCACTTGTTGATGTCCGTCCAGGAAATGCCCCTGTGAACGATAAGATTTCAGGATTTTCCAACATAACTTTCAATAACCAAAACTCAGGATTCAATTATGGTGCTGTAAATCAAAAAACGAAATCTCTGGAAGATGCAGATCTTATAATGTCTGACAACAATGCCAATACTCTCAATGTATCCTGCTCAAAGCCATCTAAGAGGACAGTTGTGAACCCCAAGTACACATGGGTGTCTGGGGATACTCGAGCCAAGAGGTTAGGGAATAGTGGAAAAAAGGTGGAAGGTCACACAACTAAACACTCGGCCAGTAAGCTAGGACACAATCTCAATAGAAGCCTTTCTAACAGTAGCTCTGGTAGTAACAGCAAGGATTCCCCAGCACAGACTGTGGCCAGGGGTCTGGTGTCAAAGTATAAGAAAATCAACCCAGGATACAAACCAATAAAACAACTACAACAACCACACACTGGAAAAATTCACCAGGCTCTTTTCTCTTCAAAACACAAGAATCACTCATCTCCAAGTATATCTGCCACAAGAGACAATAGTCCAAGAGTATCTAAGTACAAACTAAACAGAAAAAATGAAAAGCCAAGTCAACAGGAAGTCCAACATATTCAAGGGAATAAATCCCTCATTGTGAACAGGTCATTGGTGGTAAAACGGAGTAAATACTCCCTGGTCAAGACGAGGGTCACTGGTGGTCAGGGTAGTGGTAAGAAGCAGGGCCAACAGAGGAAAATGTCAAAATACAGCTGGACAAATACAGGAGGTNGATCTTAGCTATAACTTACCAATTCTCGATGTTCTTGACAAGTAGGACCCCACTTCCTCTCTACCGTAGTCTCTGCCGCCTACCGGCGTCTACTACACTCTCGAACCTTGGGTTGCATGCTCAGTATAATCTTAATTAAATGCCCTCTGACGGAAGACAGATATTATTTCGTATACTCACGGCTTCAGCAGCTTTAAGTAACCTTTATTAGACCCGTAACTTGGAAGTGATCAACTCCATGTGCAAGTCCATTCCACTGAACTAAAAACAAGGAAGTACTACATAAAAAGAGGAATATTGATGACAGAGACTACTTACAGAAATGTACAGAATTGGGCAGTTTTTAAACACTAAAAGATTTTTATTAAATATCAAAATATATATTTTTACAAATGCAAAAATATTTCATGACAACGTAGATAATTTAGCCCAGAAACATTTATTGAGCGTTCCGGATTATTCTTTACGACGAATCCAGCCAGTAAATTTCAGAAAAGTTGTTGACGATGGACGAAACGAATGCTCTTTTAAAAGAAGTGGAATATTGGACTAGTAAGTGACTTGATAAAACTTTTTATACACTTTTTTATGTTTATCGAAAGATCAGAGAGTTAAAAAAGTGCTAAATCATCAGTGGATTGTTTAAAATGCTTCTATTCCAAAAAAAAAAAAAAAAAAAATCTGGTTCATGATTCGTGACTCGCAGTTGAAGACGAAGTAGAAAGAGAAAAATAGTTCAACATAGAAGGTTTAAAATGTAGAATGGCTCAAATGGGTGACTGTTAATTACATCAGATCTTATCATTTTGTTAATTTTCTAACCACAAAAATACCCTTCGCTAATTTGATGGAAAAAATAGTCCAAACATGAAACTTGGGATAATTCTAATTGTATATTCTGACCATTTTGTCAATAAAACCATTAGTGTGGTGCAATCGTGTGCCATTGTTTTTATCACTATTATTATTGTAAACTTTTCTTCTGATACTGTCAAGTGAAATAAAATACAAATTCTATTTTAACACCAGAATTAATCCATGCTCATAAACAGAAAGGGGGCACACAGTCAACATACAGTACAGACAAGGCATTCAACAGAAACAGAGGAAATAAAACATGGATCAACAGAAACAGACAGATAGTGCCACCCCAGGGAGGCAGCATAGAGAACCCCAGTGTATCCACAGCACACCACCCTACCAAGTCCAGGACAGTGGTAGCACCTCAAAACACATTCAAGTCCACGTCATTTCAAGGAAATAGTATTGCCAGGAAAGTGAATACTTTAGGAAATGCATTTTCTGATAAAAGCAAACCATCTGAGAAAGTGGTCATTTCAAAGAATGTAGTAAAAAACACCTCTCATGGAAGTGGCCCTTCAGAAAGAGGTGGTGCTAAAAAACAGATTTATGATTTTAATACTCAGCCAGGTGCTAATATTTCTAATGGTGCTAATAGTAAGAGGGAAGTGAAGTATAGTGCCACAGAAACAGTTACCACAGGTGCTCAAACTTCTAGCCAAATACATTCCAAAAGAACTGTCAAATTACCACAGACTGTTAGCAATACCAATCCAGGGGCATATGTGAAGGAGACCGTTCCTGCAGGTAGTGCCTTTCTAAAGAAAGGTAAATATAGTTTAATAAAGAAAACCCTCTCCACTACTGCCAAGAAGACAGAGCATGGTTTGCTATATGATAAATCACTTGTTGATGTCCGTCCAGGAAATACCCATGTGAACGATAAGATTTCAGGATTTTCCAACATAACTTTCAATAACCAAAACTCAGGATTCAATTATGGTGCTGTAAATCAAAAAACGAAATCTCTGGAAGATGCAGATCTTATAATGTCTGACAACAATGCCAATACTCTCAATGTATCCTGCTCAAAGCCTTCTAAGAGGACAGTTGTGAACCCCAAGTACACATGGGTGTCTGGGGATACTCGAGCCAAGAGGTTAGGGAATAGTGGAAAAAAGGTGGAAGGTCACACAACTAAACACTCGGCCAGTAAGCTAGGACACAGTCTCAATAGAAGCCTTTCTAACAGTAGCTCTGGTAGTAACAGCAAGGATTCCCCAGCACAGACTGTGGCCAGGGGACTGGTGTCAAAGTATAAGAAAATCAACCCAGGATACAAACCAATAAAACAACTACAACAACCACACACTGGAAAAATTCACCAGGCTCTTTTCTCTTCAAAACACAAGAATCACTCATCTCCAAGTATATCTGCCTCAAGAGACAATAGTCCAAGAGTATCTAAGTACAAACTAAACAGAAAAAATGAAAAACCAAGTCAACAGCAAGTCCAACATATTCAGGGGAATAAATCCTTCAATGTGAACAGGTCATTGGTGGTAAAACGGAGTAAATACTCTCTGGTCAAGACGAGGGTCACTGGTGGTCAGGGTAGTGGTAAGAAGCAGGGCCAACAGAGGAAAATGTCAAAATACAGCTGGACAAATACAGGAGGAGATGGTAGGTTCTGAAATATTGGCCAGATATTTTATTTTATTGTGAAGCAGGTTGTAGTTCAATTTATTGTCAGTTGTTTTTGAAGATAGAACTGATATTAAGCTTTTCCCAAAATATATTTCTTTATCTGGTTGTAAAATTAAATTTAGTGTGCCAGTAGGTTTAGTCTAACAGTAACACCAGAAATATTTGGATAGTTAAAAACAGCAGAGATAATTGAAGGAACACTGTGAAAATTGTGTCATTTGAATGTTTATGAAATTTCAGCTTATTAGAATATCCTGTAATTTCAGATTGTGTTGTGAGCATCAACAATATCTTAGGGAGAAAAGTGAAGAATCTCAGTAAAAACCGATACAAGTTCATACAAGCTCAGACTTTCCCCAAGCTAACACAGAGGTTTATGTACAGACAGCTGACACATGGGGCAGCAAGAAGTCCTCAGAAATCACAGTAAGTAGAAAAACTAAATAAACAAATTCACTCATTTCTATGGTGAACTATTTGCCTGATAGTTTTCATCAACTTTTAAGTTTACAAAGGATTTACAGTGTGAAAAGCATTTCAGAAAGAAATCTTCATTTTGCAAACATTTGGTGGCTAAAAATCAAAAATTTATATCCCATACATTAAAAAAAGTTTCCTTCTTAGGTTAAAGCTGGACCACAGACACCCTCCAAAGAAATCTTCTGATGTTGCCAGCAGGTTCCAGGGAAGTCAGAGATTGGTAGTGATAGGTGGATTAGTCTACAGATCATCCAGGACTAGACTAAATAAGACTAGCTCTGTAGACTCTACTACTACAAAACAGCACAGAAACCCATGCATTGTCAAAAGTAGGTTACTTTTAAGTGCTACAGGTATCTCTGGTAGTGCTTTACGTACAAATCTCTTTATTTAGTTACAGTCAATATACAAAATTTTATGTTTCTAAATGCCAGTGATGTAAACCCATATAACATGACTGCAACCAAATTGGTCATTTGTTAGTAGAGGGGGGGGGAGCTAACTTTGTTGTTATTGTCAATAATTAGATTTCTTAACTTAAGTATGCATTGAAAGATTTTTTTATCACAGACAGAAAAAAATATTTTTTCCAGGATTGAATACCAGAAAGATGAAGACCATCACAGTGAGGGGAGAGAAATTCAACATGGATCCCAGTGGAAAAACTCTACACAGAATTGACTTAAATGCAACGGGTAATGTAGTGTTTGTATTATAGTCTGTGATTAAGTAAATGTTCACAGGTGCTCTGTTTAAAAAAGCATAAAAATTACCATAAAGAATTTATTTTCTCATCAAATTAGATTTTATATTGAACTTTATTTAAAAGCTGTTATGAGAAAGAAAATGCTATACGCTAGATCACAGAAACCCAGTGAAAACTTGGTTTTCAAGCTCCAGGACACGTTAATCTAACCAGTACACCTGATTTTTTTTTGCTGGATATACAGTTGAAAAAAAAAAGGAAATGTTTACTACTTATTTTCCAGCCTCACCAAAGAAAGGAGACTCGAGGCCCAGGAAGACCAGTGTCAAGAGAGTGGACATTGGGGGAGTGACCTACGTCCAGACCAGGCCAGGTACATTGGTCAGAGCTGGGAACTCCCAGAACAGGAAGAGAGCTAGGTAGAGCACAGCCTGAAGAGTTTAAAAAAGAATAAATGAACACTATTTTAGTAAACCATACTGTACCTGTGTGTGCTGAAGTGCATGCATTAAGTAGCAGAAGAAAAAAAAACAATGTGTTTTATAATTTGGCGTAAAGCACATTTATAGAAAGGATGCAGAACATTAAATACTGATTATATTCTTGAAGTCTGAAACTTATTACTGTAACAGTATCCATGGATTTTAAACTGAATGAGGTACATTCCAAAATTTTTTTTGCTTGATTGTTTTGTTTATTGAGATGCATAATCTAGTATTTTTGTCCACTTTGTCAGCAATGTACTCCACAAGAGCATCACCACAGCTGTACAGTGCAAGTACAAAAAGCAGAGACAGCAGTACTGCTTGTTCTACAACAGATTTGGGAAGTGTAAACGAGGTCACAAATGTCCATTTGCTCATGACCCAGATAAAATAGCCATTTGCACCAGGTATGGAGCCATTGTGCAGGATATGTAGATTTTATTTAAATACGGTGCATATCATTTAAAGGTTCTGCCTGAGATTTTGGCAATAAAAAGTATGATTGACAAGATTTCCTGGCACCTACAATATTTCAGTAGTTTGTCCCCATTACTGTATCACATTCCATGCACAAATATTATGTTCAGTTTATTTTCCATGACCACTTTTTACTTGGCTTTAGTGAGGTATACAATTTGATGTTGTCCTTGCATTTTCAGTTTACTTAAATGGTGAGGCATCTAAATCATAACTTAAAATGTTGATGTGCCCTAAGCATAAGAAAGGTCAATTAAAAATAAAATTTAAAGATAAGAAAATTATCACATTTATCATCCAAGATTTCTGAGAGGTACCTGCAAGGGAGAGAACTGCCCATTTTCCCACCAAGTTCTTAAAGAGAAGATGCCAGTGTGTTCTTTTTTCCTTCGCGGTGTGTGTAACAAAGACGATTGCCCTTATCTCCATGTGAACGTAAGCAGGGACGCTGCAGTGTGCGAGGATTTCCTGCATGGGTACTGCTCCCTGGGAGAAAAAGTAAGTCAAGACTTAGGCTCACATTTTTTGTACTTGAGGGTAGAAAAGTTGAAAGCTAATAAAATTGTGATAAAAGTTAACCAGATTATTTTAAAAGATGGCTGGACTACCTCGTGAAATTTATTTTCAAACAAAATTTTTGCAACAGAAAAAAGTTAAGAAATTTGGTGAGAGGAGGTTTGATGCTGGGATAATGTGTAAGACATCTGGAAAACCTAGCAATAGGATAGACATTATGTGTGGACTTGTAACATCGTGTTTTTCACATTGAAAGGAAATTTACAGTAAAATTTGATGCCTATTTCAGTGTAAGAAAAAGCATACTCTACAGTGCCCAGAATTTACTGCCACTGGGAAATGCCCCAGAGGCAAGAAATGTAAGATGCAGCACCACAAGAGGGCACCATATACTCAAGATAAGCTAGGTGGTAATATAGAATGTCAGCACCAGAGGGCAGCAGGTGCCAAAAGAAAGATGATGGAGGTGGCAACCGTGCAGCATAGCACTCCTATAGCAAAACCTGAGGCAGAGAGTGCTTTATCTGGGTAGGTTGTTCAGACCAGTTATGGTAAAATACCCTAGTAATAGTATCATGGTCATTGTTTTCTTTTCAAGCATGTCTAAGCTGCTAAATCAGGCATTTTTCTGTCACATGGTAAACTAGTTCTCTGGAGATGTAAAGCAAAATATTTTGTTTATATCCCTTTCTAGCTGTAAACTAATTGAATGATCTAATTGAATGAGTATTAATTTTGCAAGTTTTTTAGCTCATACATACATTCAAACTCATTCCCCTTCAATTTCATATCATGTGACTTGAAAAGAAAATCTTGATGTCCTTGACTGAATGTCTTTTTACCAGTGAGGCAGCCAAGCAAGTCTTTAGGTCATATATTTAATTTTCTGACATTTTGCAAACTGGAGCCATGTCTGTAAAGTCCAGCAGGCTACGTTTTTTTCATTCTTTACAGTTTGACTGCCAGCAGCTCAACAAATGAAGATAGTGAGGATGATAAAGATTTCTCGTTCAAGAGGAGGAGGAAGAAGAGGAATGTGGACACTCCAGCATCTCTGCCATCTTTTATATCCCTTCATTCTGACACCAGCCTGGCAGAGGGGGAGGAGGGGAACATGTTGACCACTGATGGTGAGCAAACTGGTAAGGCACCTGGAGAAGGTTACAAAACTGAACTTAAGTCTGAAATTGGTCTAAACTTTAGTCCAGATATTTAGTCTACATCAGTTCAAGATATATTTATATGTACTCAAAGGAAGGTCACTCAAAATAATTTATTGGTCCAACACAGGAGAATAGCCTTTTGGAAAACATTTCATTAATTAGTGATATATATTGAGTCGAATTGTACTTGTTGAACGAAGGTGTGAATGTTTAGACCAATCTTTGTATTAAAGTTATTTTGTGAAGCAGGCCCCTAATGGGAAGAACAAGACATGAACATGTGCTTGCGCTCATGCATTGACCTTCTTGCAATGGAAATCTCAATCCAGGACTGTTTTATTTCTATACTGTCACAATTCTGTTGTGGACTGCCTATCTTGTATAGGTTTATTTTTGTGACCCATTTAGAAGACTAGACATTGCCTATTTACATCTGTGTAGAAATTGTGGCTGGGATCTTTTCCTGTTGCTGTTAAGAATGTTTTTTCTGGTGTTTAAACCTCAAATTTATCATTTTAAAATATCATTTCTTAAAACTCAACTACATTTTTTTTTTTGCAATCTTTTACAGAGAAAGCGCCACTGAAGATTAAACCAAGGTTTTCAGATGTTGGATTGGATTAGAGAGAATAAAATATGAATGAAAAAAAAAAAACTAATTAATGTTGTATGCATACCCTCTGAGGGTATGTTAGCAAGGTAAGTAGAAGGGATCACAAAGATATCCAAGTGTACAGGATAAATACCAAGAGGATTTAAACCGTACTTACTCAAACAGTTAATTTAACAAGTAAGATTAAAATCAGTTGGTTGACAATGTACTACATCGATTTTAAGAACAAAATTATGGAAATAATAGTAAGATTGCTAATGTAGTAATTTTGAGAAAAATAAGCCACAGTCTGCCATTTTCTGTTGTTTATTAAAGATCTTTTTGGCACAGAAATTTGGTGCTTGATTAACTTTTGATGGTTGTGGAATATCGATATCCTTTGAAGTAAATGCAGTAGTGTTGTTGCTGGAGACAATTTGCAATTTATTTCTGTACATCTGTTTTGAAATAAAATTATTTACTTTGAAAATCATGTTTTTTTTAAATTTTATTTCAAAATAGAGCAATTATTTTTTCCTTTATTTCAATACAATCAACAAGGAAGAGTACATAAAAGACATTTTTTATTTGAGAAATTTTCATTAGACAAATATGTTATCAAAATAAATATATTCAATGTATACAAAATATTGGTAATAGATTTACAAGTACTTTAATCCAAAGCAATTTGAATAATAGTCATTTGCATGTAAAAATCCTTCAGAGAAGAAATACAATTGCTGATTCATGTTATTTTTAAATATCGAAAGAGAAATGAATCTCTCTCTTACTGTGAAAACTGACAACAGCTCCTTGAAAATTTGATCAAAATTTGGAAGTAGTTTTATTGAAAAAAAAAATACTTCAAAATTATCCCATCCTGACAGGTTCCTGCGTAGCCATTTTGATCAAATGGTTAAAATTCACGTCCAGGTGCGCCCTCCAGTATTTCCTGACCCGGCCCCATGTCTTGACTGGGAAACATGGACTGTCTATGCCATCGAAAATACGCGCTATCATCTTCCTGAAAGAACGTGTTCCTGACCACACAGGGAGATGAAGCCACGAATATCACCACGAACATAACCCTCATTTTTACAAGAGTCCTGAAATTGGAAATGTATCCAGGTTATGGTTGATATCTAAGTCCTGTGCTTAAACCTCCGCCGAAATACGTCTTTACAATTTTAATTTAGTTAATAGCAAGGAGACAGACTTTTGTAAAGCTTTCTTAATAGTGACCCCCCTAACTAACTTGCTAGGCTGGCCATGTACCTTCTATTTTATTAAATTACCTGCAAGGTGCATACAGTTATAAGTTTCAAATTTCACCAACATATCCAATGCACTTTGCCATATTAAAAAAACAATGCATAATAATATAGTTATCTACAATATTTTACAGTGTACTGAAACGATGTGGGAACTTAATAAAACTCAAATACAAGTAAATAATTTTAAATATAAGACAATAGATTTCTTACCTCCTCATTTGGTCCTGAGGTAGAACACTCCAGCTCTCTGTTGAAAGATAATTTACTAATTCTTCCCATGTTACTAGAATGCTCTGGCTTCATTTCAAAGTAATCAGTAAACATAGCTCTGAGCTTGTCACTTCTTTTCATGTCAACATCATCTGAACAGTGGTAGTAGTTTTTGAAGGAGATGCTGAAAGATAAATGTAATACTGAAAACTACTGCCTTGAGTTGTTAACACGGATATCTAAAAGGGCTTATGTCAGTATTTGCCTCCCAATGTTTTTTCCTTAAGGATATTGTCATATAGCAAAAATAATTCACTTATTAATAATTTTGTCTCTTGCTGGTTACACACACTGACTGTAGACCATACCTCTGTAAAGCATCATGCAATTTCTGCAGCTGGTACAGTTCAGCTTTCTCCTGCATCTGGACGCGGTCATTATGGAAGTCCAGGACCTCGTCCAGCTCTGCGTTGGTCAAATCGCCAGGGGAACGGAGGTGGAATGCCAAGTCCGAGAATTCCACCATGACTCCTGTTTTATGAGGAACACCAGTGCCTAGAATAAATAATGAAAACCTTGTGACAACAACAGAACAGGGCCAGAACTTTGGTGACAAGCAAAATTCATACGATTTCACAATCCCTACCCCATTTTCTTTGCTTCTCATGGAGCACAAGTTGAGAGACAGATCCCTCCTGCAATTTTACAAATGAAGTAACTTCCAGAGAGGACTCAAAAACTGCAGGTCTCCACCAAGCAAAAGTGTTATTTCCTGAAATAAATGTCTCTGAGTTTTCAATACACAGGTGGCATATACTGGCTGCAGGCTTTCTATCCACTTCGGATGGAGCTCCAGGTAACACAACAGAGTGGAGATACCTGAAATAATACCCATATTTCAAATAACACAGGAGAGTGGAGATACTAGTATCTGAAATAATACCCACATTCCAGATAACACAATAGAGTGGAGATACCTGAAATAATACCCACATTCCAGGTAGCACAGGAGAGTGGAGATACCTGAAATAATACCCACATTCCAGGTAGCACAGGAGAGTGGAGATACCTGAAATAATACCCACATTCCAGGTAACACAGGAGAGTGGAGATACCTGAAATAATACCCACATTCCAGGTAGCACAGGAGAGTGGAGATACCTGAAACTAGAGCATCATATTGGTTAAACCATTGCCATGTGTAATACCACCAGGGAGATTAACCTTATTCAAGTGAAATAGTTGCTATGGATGTGGTTAATATGTGGATAAATGGTAAATATCTTTAGTGCATTTCATGGTGACAAGTAGGGCAAAGGTCAAATTCAAGGTCACATTAATTAATGTGACTTAAGATGCCCAATATGTGATTTCCTGTTCATGTTTAATAAAAAAACTATAGATGTTATCTCTGTCAGTTTTAAGATTTTAATAATAGTCTGGAATAATTATTATTAACAAAATAATATCAGAATTAATAGTCACTTTGCATCACATACTTTGTCTTGGTAAATGACCATGTCAGCAGGGGCAGTAACGGTAGTTGTCCCCATGTGCTGCAGGCTATTTTTGCTAACAATTAACCTACATCAAATCTAATACATGTTATCATGGCACATTTTCCACAAATGATTTCAAGGTCCTTATCACCTGATCACATGCTATTGCAGTGCTAGAGATAGATCCCTCTTATTTCACTGTTGAACTATTCACTCAGTGCTTGCCTCGTGGTCTGATGTGACAATATGGCCGAGTCACTGGTAGCAGCTTTCACAGATAATCTCTTGACGTGTAGCATCTGTCTGGGAGAGTATGAGGATCCCCGTGTGCTGCCTTGCTACCATACATTTTGCTATGGTTGTGTATGTGACCATGCTACGCGAACTATGACTCCTAACAGGACATTTTTGTGTCCCATTTGTAGACAAGAGATATCATTTCCAAGAGAAGGACTTGTAAAACTGAAGAAAGATTTCCGTATTCACAAAGCAAAAGAACTTCTTAGTCAGCAACGGAAGCATGAAGTCTCATCCCCAATTAAAGAATCTGATGTGCATGGTGTAAACCATGGCAATTTACAATTGATGATCAAATGTGAGAAGCATCCCACAAATGAACTGAAATACTATTGTGAAGATGATGATAGCACTGTGTGTGGTGACTGCGCATTAATAGAACACTACAGACATGGTATTGTACCTGTTAAAGAAGCTGCAAATACCAATCGAAAAAAGATTAAAACTGTCCTTGTGAAAACTTTGCCAAAATTGAACATGTTTAAAGAAGCAGTTGCTAAGGAAACAGCCACTGAATTAGAAGAATCGCAAACCATGGCAGCCTCCATCAACAAAATCCAAGAACAGGCTCAATGTATCCGAAGATCGGTTGATCAGAGGGAGCAAGAACTGATATCAGAGGTAAATTCTGCTGGTGATATCAGAAAAAAGCAGAGGAAGGCAAACATGGACAACCTTGAACTTCACCATACTTCCTTGCAGAGTGCCTGCAATTTTGCCCAGGAACTTATCACAAATGGTTCTGACTCTGAGATCATGCTTCATACTAAGGCTCTGACACAGAGACTGACAGCAATGGAGAAAACACCAGTCCCAACTCCAGACACACCAGCACAGATATCCTACAGCCCTGGTGAGATATCTGCTGCTGGACTGGAAGCCATGTTAGGACAGGTGACAGTACAGTTACAACCTTCTACGCCAACTGGACTGGGGGCAAATCTGCCAATTAGAAGATCAACACCACATCCTCCTGTTTTCTTAGAGAAGGCAGAATGTGTTCATTCCTTCAGTTCTAATCTGAAATTTGATGAAAAGGGCATGTTCACAAGAGGGTTGGCCATAGATGAACTGCATGTGTTTATTGTACATAACAACAGAACTAAGGTATTCATGTATGAAGGGCAATTCAAGTTTGAAATAAATCTAAACCAACCATTTGATGTGGCTGTGTCACAGACTGGTAACCTGTATATAACATCAGAGGGTGACAAATGTGTCAAAGTGTACTCCACCAGGGGTCAGCACCTGACAACCATGGGTCAAGGTCAACTTGAGTGGCCACGTGGTATCTCACTGAACAAACAAGGTCATGTGACAGATGTGATGGTTTGTGACAAAGTAAAAAAATCCATCTACGTATTCCATGCAGACAGTGGACAGCTCCTGAACACCATTCCACTCAGTATGTGTGAATTCCCCGGGTACATCACAGTGAACAGCGTGAATGGTAACATTGTGATATCAGACAGGGGCAAGAAACACTGTGTACATGTGCTGTCACCTACTGGTGATTTGTTGTACCAGTATGGCACAGAAGGCAGTGGTGATGGTCAGCTGTGGTTTCCATGTGGAATGTGCACAGACAGCTATGGTCACATCTTCATTACTGACAGTGAAAACAGCAGGATAGTAGCACTGAGTCCACAAGGGCAGTTTATCAGATACATTGTCACTAGGGATGATGGGTTGAGCCATCCTGCAGCATTAGCCATCAACCCTGCTGGCCAGCTGGTGGTGGCAGAAGGGTTTGGTAAAGTTAAGACATTTCAGTACTTACAATAACTACTCAGTTCACATTTTACATACTGCAATACTAAACTATAAAGTAACACTGACAGTTTGGAAAAACCTGCTGAGAAACTATAATAAGACTTCCCATGATGCACATTAATTTGACAGTATTCATATTGCAATGCTGACCTATTTTCATCCTGATATACTAGGAGTTATCAGTCATTTACTGATAGCAATAACTTGTATGTACCAGTACAAGTGATCAGCAAAGGGAGACAACTGCTCCTGCTGACGTGATTTCTACTGATGATCATTTATACTAATACAATGTGCCTCTTCATTTTGATTACTTGCTTGCTAGGACATTATGTTGTATGTATGAGTAGTTATTGGGTGTAAGAGGGTCACTGTGCAGGCAATTTCGTCACACTTTTATAAACACAATGTCACAATTATGCTGGCAGTCAATGAAAACGCATCAGAAAACTTTCTTGTACTTTTGCACTCTTGTACTTTTACCGAGAATAGATTCCAACCATATAAACAAGAACAAATGCACTTGTTTGGTCATAAGAGAGTGGGCTGACCACACGGATGATAAACATTTCCACTTCAGGGATTTTGTTAATAGCTGTTACAAAATCATGTGTTTTTCCTGATTGGTGTGAATTAATTAGGTTCAATATATGGTGATTAATTAAGCCTAGTAACCAAATCCAGTATGACACATGACAAAAAAGTTCTGTGATGCCACGTCTGACGTACACTGGCAGAGAGACCGTGGGCCCTGGGGATGCTGGAGGCTGGGCGGAACCAAAGAGATTCGATGACGTGACTTTGTATTTTAATGATTTTTTTTAATGATCTTTTCTGACCTTTATTTCACCTTGTGTAACTGAATAATGGGTCATTTTTCACACGAAAACTGTTATTTTCTTAATGTGCCAAAGGAACTTAAAATATTATTTGATAAATAAATGATGCGTTTTCATTGACTGTCAGTATATTAATTTTTATTAATTTATTTATCCCTGAAGTCATGTTTGGTAAAATCTTCCAGAAACATCTTTTTCATAAAAGAGAGGGGGGAAAGCACAATCATTATGCTAAGTATGCCATAAATTGATAGACATAAAAGAGCACCTTTTCTCTTGTTTATTTAACTCTCAAAAATGTAAAAAGGTTGTTTACCTTCTAAGCTAGAAGCTGGTGTGTCCCAGTTTCATCATGCTGGCTATAGTCATATCATCATCATCATCAAAGGCACACTCCTAGGTAAACAAAGAACATCCTTTCTACTTACTCAAACAGTTAATTTAACAAGTAAGATTAAAATCGGTTGACAGTTAACTACATCAATTTTAAGAACAAAATTATGGAAATAATATTTAGATTGCTAATGTAGTAATTTTGAGAAAAATTAGCCACAGTCTACCATTTTCTGTTGTTTATTAAAGTTCTTTTTTGCACAGAAGTTTGTTACTTGGTTTACTTTGAATGGTTGTGGAATATCAATATCCTACAAAGTAAACGCAGTAGTGTTGTTGCTGCAGACAATTTGCAATTTATTTCTGTACATCTGTATTAAATAAAGTTATTGTTTATTTTAAAAATCATGTTTTTCTTTATTTTATTTCAAAATAGAGCAATTATTCTTTCCTTTTTTTCAACACAATCAAAGAGGAAGAGTACTTAAAAGACAATTTTTATTTGAGAAATTTTCATTAAACACAAATATGATGTAATAAAAATAAATATATTCCATGTATACAAAATATTGGTAATAGGTTTTCAAGCACTTTATCCAAAGCAATCTGAAAAATAATCATTTACATGTAAAAATCCTTCAGAGAAGGAACATAACTGCTGATTTATGTCATTATTAAATTCTGAAAAAGAAATCAATCTCTATCTTCCTTGAATATTTGATCAAAAATTTTTGGAAGTACTTTTATTGAAAAAAAAAAAAAAAACTTCCAAATTATCGCATCCTGACAAGTTCCTGTGTAGCCATTTTGATCAAATAGTTAAAATTCACATCCAGGTGTGCCCTCCAGTATTTCCTGACCCGGCCCCATGTCTTGACTGGGAAACATGGACTGTCTATGCCATGAAAGATACGCGCTATTGTTCTTCCTGACAGAACGTGCTCCTGACCATACAGGGAGATGAAGCCACGAATATCACCACGAACATAACCCTCATTTTCACAAGAGTCCTGAAATTGAAAATGTATTATGGTTAATATCTATAAGTCCTGTGCTTAAACCTCCACTGAAATACACACTTCTTTACTAAACATCAAATTTTAATATAGTTAATAGCAAGGAGACAGACTTTTGTAAAGCTTTCTTAATAGTGACCCCCCCTAACTAACTTACTAGGCTAGCCACATACCTTTATTAAATTACCTGCAAGGTGCACACAGTTACAAGTTTCAAATTTCACCAACATATCCAATGCACTTTGCCATATTAAAAAAACTATGCATAATAATATAGTAGTATGCAATATTTTACAGTGTACTGAAAGGGGTGCGAACTTAATAAAACTCAAATACAAGTCAATAATTTTTAATACAATATAATATATTTCTTACCTCCTCATTCGGTCCTGAGGTAGAACACTCCAATTCTCTGCTGAAAGATAATTTACTAATTCTTCCCATGTTACTAGAATGCTCTGGCTTCATTTCAAAGTAATCTGTTAACATGGCTCTGAGCTTGTCACTTCTTTTCATGTCAACATCATCTGAACAGTGGTAGTAGTTTTTGAAGGAGACGCTGTAAGATAAATGTAAAACTGAAAACTACTACCTTGAGTTATTTCACTGATATTTTTGTCTCCCAATGTTTTTTTCTTTAAGGATATTGTCATATAGCAAAAATAATTCACTAATTACTAAATTTGTATCTTGCTGTGTTACACACACTGGCTGTAGACCATACCTCTGTAAAGCATCATGCAATTTCTGCAGCTGGTACAGTTCAGCCTTCTCTTGCATCTGGACTCGTTCATTTAGGAAGTCCAGGACCTCGTCCAGCTCTGCGTCGGTCAAATCGCCAGGGGAACGGAGGTGAAATGCCAAGTCCGAGAATTCCACCATGACTCCTGTTTTATGAGGAATACCAGTGCCTAGAATGAATAATGAAAACCTTGTGACAACAACAGAACAGGGCCAGAACTTTGGTGACAAGCAAAATTCATATGATTTCACAATCCCTACCCAATCTTCTTTGCTTCTCATGGAGCACAAGTTGAGAGAGAGATCCCTCCTGCAATTTTACAAATAAAGTAACTTCCAGAGAGGACTCAAAAAGTGCAGGCTTCCACCAAGCTAAAGTGTTTTTTCCTGAAATAAATGTTTCTGAGTTTTCAATACCAGCAAAACAGGACAGGGATTGATGGCAGAGACGCAGGTTATGTTCTCACAATTTGTCCTGAACTTTGACCAGTTTGATCAGGTGTGTCCATGCTCCACATCAACTGTTTCGGTTCTCTCTTCACTGGGCCACCCCATGAGTCCCACCCCATACAGTCACTTGACATACCTCACCCACTAAAAAGCCAACCCCATAAAAACATGACCCCCTTCCTAAACAGAGGTAACTACCTGCTGTGTTCATGCTCCACATTAACTGTTTCAGACCTCTCTTCACTGACCCAGAGTCCCAGCCCATACAGTTATTTGAAATATCTCGTCCACAAAGAAACCAACCCAAAGAAAACCAATGAAAATGTGACACCCCCCCCTCTCGTCCTAGGCAGAGGTGATTACCTGCTGTGTCCATGCTCCACATTAATTGTTTCAGTTCTCTCTTCACTGGACCAGAGTCCCACCCCATACAGTCACTGAGCTCCACCACATTGAAGTCTAGACTGTTGGTCAGCTGGTCACCTCTCTGCTTAGACTTGGCTATAGCTACTGCCACTGGGGGACACTGGGAGAGATATGCATATTAACTGTATTAATTATAATTTATCATTTATTGGAATGCTTTTCTCTTTGTGGAGTTGCTTTGTCCAAATCAAACTTTCTGCCAGATAAATTGTAGGCCTTATAAACAAATTAAAACAGTATTTTACTCTTTAAAGAAAAAGATTTAGAAATCCTTCATAAAGATTTTATTTATTTAAAATTTTTTAGTCTAATCTTCACCTTCTTGGCCAAGGCCTGTAGCTGTCTGACCCCTCCATAACACTGCAGTGAACAGGTGGCATACACTGGCTGCAGGCTCTCTATCCACTTCTTAGGGTGGAGTTCCAGGTAACACAATAGAGTGGAGATACCTGAAATAATACCCACATTGTTACATTTAATTTTACAAAATTTTGACCCATTTGCCCTTGAAATAAGGGTCTAAGATCATATCCAACATCACTTTCAAAATCTCAGCAATACTTTTCCCATAATTCCTTTGGTTTGGGAGATACTCAGCATAACATCAAAAAATTTTGACAAGGGCTTGTTATAATGAGTGTCATACCTGGGAAAATGCACTGACATCTAGACTAAAATCCAGGGGGTTCAAGTTGAGATCATTTGTGAACTAATTCCAAGAGACGGGGACACAGGCCCTTGTCTTTTAGGAAGAAAAAGCGATATTGGTGGTGTGACAGTGGAGCTGGTGGAAGAGATGAGTAGGGACTAAAACCATGTGTGCCACCAGGGGTCATGCAAGTGCACAATATATATGAAACAAGACAGCAAGGCTACTACATATACAGACATTTAACATAAAATTAGCTAATAGAAACTGATTGAATAGTATCTTAAGTTGACTCTTAAAAAATTTTAAGACAAAACAGTGTACTTTTTTGACGCAAAGCCAACTGGCTTAATGCCAAAACTTTTGATTCATAACTTTAAATAATACTCCGAAATAATTATAATTAACAAAATAATTTTGTTTGGATTTATTGATTTATTAATACAATGTATAACTATCCCTCATTATGAGCTACACTTCCTATCACTATTAACCCGTCTTTCAACTACACTGAACAACCCAAGTCATGTGCACTTCCTAACAGCATCATCAACAACATCATAACATCATAATCATGAACAACAGATAAAAAGTCAATAACTCTTATCCTCCATGATGGAATAATAATCTATGGACAAGTTTTATCTATGTCAAGGAGGGTCAGAAACCATGCAGGCAAATTAAATATCAGCTTGCAGTCTAAGAAAAGACCAAGACTTACTTGGTCTAAACTGATTTTCATTAAACACTAATAAGGGTTTATAGTTAATTATACACTGAACTTATATTTATTGTCTAAAAGCACCTACTGTCAGTGTAAGGAGGAGGGAAGGGGGATATAACTCAAAGTCTGTGTTTTTTGCTGATGTTCCAAAAAAAAGTAAATTTTCATACAGGATTCTAGAAAAGTTTAATTTCATGAGGTATTCAGTATAAAGCTCTATTCATACAAAAATTCAATAAAATGCATATTATCAGAATTAAGAGACTTATATTGTGTCACATTTTTTGTCTCAGTACATGACCATGTCATCAGGAGCTCCATGGCCACTTGTATTAACCACCATATCAGATATAGCGCATGTTATCACTACTGACATGTTATTGTATTCAGATGAGGTCCCTATCACCTGATTGTCCTCTACCACACTATAAAGAAACCCAGAGATAGATATCTTACATTTTACTGTTGAACTATTCACTCAATGCTTGCCTTGTGCTCTGAAGTGACAATATGGCTGAGGCACTGGTAGAAGCTTTCACGGACGATCTCTTGATGTGTAGCATCTGTCTGGGAGAGTATGAGGACCCCCGTGTGCTACCTTGCTACCATACATTTTGCTATGATTGTATATATCGCCATGCCAAGCTAACGATGACTCGATACAGGTCATTTTTGTGTCCCATTTGTAGACAAGAGATACCATTTCCAAGAGAAGGACTTGTAAAACTGGAGAAAGATTTGAGTATTCACAAGGCAAAAGAACTTCTTAGTCAGCAACAGCAGCATGAAGTCTCATCCCCAATTAAAGAAATAGATGTGCATTGTGTAACACATGGCATTTCAAAAACGGTGATCAAATGTGAGAAGCATCCTACAAATGAACTGAAATACTATTGCGAAGAGGATGATACCATTGTGTGCAGTGACTGCGCATTAACAGAGCACTACAGACATGGTATTGTGCCAGTTGAAGAAGCTGCATATATCACTCGAAAAAAGATTAAAACTGTCCTCATAAAAATTATGCCAAAACTGAGCACATTTAAAGAAGCAGTTGCTAAGGAAACAGTCAGTGAATTAAAAGAATCGCAAATCATGGCAGCCTCCATCAACAAAATCAAAGAACAAACTCTATGTATCCGAAGACTGGTTGATCAGAGGGAGCAAGAACTGATATCAGAAGTAAATTCTGTTGGTGATATCAGAAAAAAGCAGAGGAAGGCAAACAAGGACACCCTTGAACTTCACCATACTTCCTTGCAGAGTGCCTGCAATTTTGCCCAGGAACTTATCACAAATGGTTCTGACTCTGAGATTATGATTCACACAACAGCTCTGGCAGAGAGACTGGCAGCGATGGAGAAGCCACCAGTCCCAACTCCAGACACACCAGCACAAATATCCTACAGCCCTGGTGAGATATCTACTGCTGGACTGGAAGCCATGTTTGGACAGGTGACAGTACAGTTACAACCTTCTACACCAACTGGATTGGGGGCAGATCTACCAATTGGAAGATCAACACCACATCCTCCTGTTTTCTTAGAGAAGGCAGAATGTGTTCATTCCTTCAGTTCTAAACTGACATTTGATAAAAAGGTCATGTTCATAAGAGGTTTGGCCATAGATGAATTGCATGTGTTTATTGTACATAAAGACAGAACAAAGGTATTCATGGTTGAAGGACAATTAAAGTTTGACATAAAACTAAACCAACCATTTGATGTGGCTGTGTCACAGACTGGTCACCTGTATATAACATCAGAGGGTGACAAATGTGTCAAAGTGTACTCCACCAGGGGTCAGCACCTGACAACCATGGGTCAAGGTCAACTTGAGTGGCCACGTGGTATCTCACTGAACAAACAAGGTCATGTGACAAATGTGATGGTTTGTGACAAAATAAAGGAATCCATCTTCGTATTCCATGCAGACAGTGGACAGCTCTTGAACACTATTCCACTCAGTATGTGTGAATTCCCAGGGTACATCACAGTGAACAATGTGAATGGTAACATTGTGATATCAGACAGGGGCAAGAAACACTGTGTACATGTGCTGTCACCTACTGGTGATTTGTTGTACCAGTATGGCACAGAAGGCAGTGGTGATGGTCAGCTGTGGTTTCCATGTGGAATGTGCACAGACAGCTATGGTCACATCTTCATTGCTGACAGTGAAAACAGCAGGATAGTAGCACTGAGTCCACAAGGGCAGTTTATCAGATACATTGCCACTAAGGGTGATGGGTTGAGGTATCCTGCAGCATTAGCCATCAACCCTGCTGGCCAGCTGGTGGTGGCAGAGAGGTTTGGTAAAGTTAAGACATTTCAGTACTTACAATAACTATTTAGTTCACATTTTACAAACTACAATACTAAACTATAAAGTAACACTGCTATTAAGCATGACAGTTTGGAAAAACCTGCTGAGAAACTTTCATAAGACTTTTCGTGATGCACAATAATTTGACAGAATACATATTGCAATGCAGACCCATTTTTATCACAATATACTAGGAGTTATCAGTCATTTACTGATACAAATAACTTATATGTACAAGTTACCTGCAAAGAGAGACAACTGCTCCTGCTGACATGATTTATACTGATGATCATTTATACTCATACAATAAATTTTGTCTCTTCATTCTGATTACTTGCTTGCTATGATATTATGTTGTATGTACGAGTAGTTATAGGATGTAAGAGAGTCACTGTCCAGGCAATTTCCAAACACTTTTATCAACACAATGTCACAAATATATTTATATTTGGATGCATGGTGGGGTTTCCTTACAGAGCCATAGTTTTCTTTATTTAATTTCTATCTGAATATATGTATATCAATGTAATTTCATACTCACTTCAATCAGTAATGTGGTGTGTGTTGTAAAGATTACAGAATTCAATCACTTTCCAAATCTAAGTTCCAACACCTCCTACCTTCTTCTTTCATGTCCAGATCCATGACAGTTTTCTCTATAGCAATCCCCCTCTCATGCCCAGGGCAAAGTCTGCTGGGTTTGGGGGGAGAGAAAAGCCCCAGTTCTCCATCAGTGTTAATAGGAGGGGCAGGGCTTTTGTTTGGTGTGGTTGTCTCTTCTGTTGGCTAAAACATATGTAGGATTTATCAATAAATACATATCAATAAATACAATAAATATCAATAAATACATCCACATTTTGCAGACAGTTTTTTAAATTTTATTAATTTATTTATCCCCTAAGTCGTGTTTGGTAAAATCTCCCAGAAACATCTTTTTCATAAAAGAGAGGGGGAAAGCACAATCATTATGCTAAGTATGCCATACATTGCTAGACATAAAAGAGCACCTTTTCTATTTGTTGATTTAACTCTCAAAAGTGTAAAAAAATTGTTAACCTGCTCAGCCAGAGGCTGGTGTGTCCCAGTGGTGGTAGAAGCAGTGTCATCAAGCTGGCTATAGTCAATACCATCATCTTCAAAGGCACACTCCTAGGAAAACGATTCATATCCTTTCTAATTTACTTACATTTCAACTGAAGCCATACTAACTTGTGGAAACATTTTACTTATAATGTTTTACCATGGATGATACTTTTGACAAGCTGTTGAGTTAATTAATGCCATATCTACAGAACACCAACCTTGAGTGCCTGCAGTCTCCTCTCCTGTACTGCTCTACACATGCAAGGTGTGAACACCTTCTTCAGCAGTTTCTTGATGGTGTATCTATCAACTGTGTTAGCATAGGTATGTCTCTTCAGTTCACACATATCACCTCCCTGACAAAAGAATTATAACCTTTAACATATATTTATATTCTATAGGGAATGCATGACCACTTGGTTTTCACTATATTTTATCTTCATTGTAATCTGATTGTAAGGGAATCAAAAAGTTACAAGAATTGACATCTTGTCATGGCTTTCACTTTTGACTTCACTTTGCTAATTTAGGCTTAAAAGATATGCAGGTCAAAATAGATATTTTCAAACTGAAACAATTAATACAGTTAACTATGTATGTTTTCACTGTAGCTATATTTTTGAAACATGTCAATAATAGTGCTAACATAACAGTTCTTGATAAATATTAAGACATAAAATAAACCTTCTATATAGAATAGAAACCAATAGTTTTAGGCCATGTCATTTGGGCATTTGAAAGTACACAATTCAGTTCTATAAAAATGTGACCCCTGTATTACTATAAGGTCACATGACAAAGTAGTGAGTCACTATTAGGTAGGGATGATGCCACATGGAATGTATAACTGGACTTTTAACATGTAAAATAAACCTTAATACAATTCCCATGTCTCAACTTAATAACCCCCACCTCTGCATCCAGGAACAAATGACAGTGTGACAGTTTCCCATCTCTCCCTGCACGCCCTATCTCCTGTACGTAACTTTCGAAACTTTTCGGCATGGTAAAGTGTATGACAGCGCGTACATCAGCCTTGTCCAATCCCATTCCAAACGCCACTGTAGCAACGACAATACGCAGTCTGCCAGACATGAATGCATTCTGCACACGCTTTCGCTGAGCTGCAGTCATGCCAGCATGATAGCTCTCCGCATCTCCTGCAGATTTGGGTTTGGTGGCTGTGGCTTTACCTGAAAGTTTAACATTCACAGTTAAAATAAAAATACTGATAATAACACCCATTTTGATTAAAATAAAAATAATGATAAAATTCAATAAGGATAGTTCAGTTACCTTTAGTTCGTAATATTTCAAATCAGATTATGTCACAGGCAAAAAAGACAGTTTAAAGCAACACACTTATTTTTATAATAAATATTCATTCTCAAAAAATATAATCTTTTTTTGTAATGTTTTCATGGAAAAAAACTGAAAGAACAACACCAACAACAAAAAGGACCATAATATAGACACCACCTTTTCCTTTCTTTTTCTTATCTTCTCCAACAGCTTTACTTTCTTCACTTTCCAGAGGAGCCTTGTCCTTGAGGCAGGTTCTTATCAAGGTGGCTAGCCGCTCCGTCTGCTGTCGTCTGCTGCAGTAGATGATGATGGAGTCCAAGCTGGCAAACCTCTCCCCTTGTAAAAGGTCTATCAGGGCCTGGTAAAAAGGAAGACACAAGAACTAATTGGTATTGTAAAACAATGCCTGACATATAATGAAAAGAAAAATTAAGGACCTTGACAAGTCTGTCTAAATTCTTATTATGCTTTCAATAAAAAAACCTTTAGTTAACTGTCTTTCCTTCAATTAGATTGTTATGTTCACAATCATATTCTCCAGCAAAGTGTGTAAGTTTGTGAATTGCAGGTTTTTAGTAATGCCCAAACATTCTCGGTCTGCAACATCAACACTGGCACCATGCCAAACACCATAAAAATTGATGAAAGGCCAATACAATTTTGTTCATTGGTTTAGTCAGAAGCAACAACTTCATTTTTGAGCCAGTCCATGATGACACCCGATTTCAAACATTTTTGAATATAATTATTTACAGATCCAAGGAAACTAGGTACAAATCCAACGAAACCATCTATTTTCCCATCCAATATCACCTGTTCCTTATCCTCATCCCTGGACACAGACAGGGTCAGGTTAGGTGGTACAGGTGCCCCTCTGATGGTGGCCTGTTTGTAATCAGTTATTCCCAGGTGCTGGGCAACACTACTGGCTGTAGACAAGGTAGCAGTAGCTGTCAGTCCTAGGAAACAGTGCACTCCCAGTCTCTCCTTCAAAACCTAAAATTATGGGTGAAAACTGTATAAACTTTGTTCCTGTAAATGTGTTGGGGGGGGGGGGGGGATGAGGTATACAGATACAGGGTTTCATCATTTAGGCATTTCAGCATAATCTTCTGGAACATCTTCACCGATGTAAGCAGGTATTTGGTATATAACAGAAAAAGTACAAGTCAAGAAGCTTTACCCAAAATAAAGCAGATGATCGGAAAGAGTTTTTAATCTATTTTGCTTAAAGCTTTACAATGAGTGCTTTGCCTGTTTTAAACCATAGTATTAGCAGAAACAACAGGTGCTGCAACATTCTCCATTCTGCATTCATGCAGGTCATGATGCACGAGTATGCCGCAGCTTTTGGTTTTCTGCTCGAACCATGGTTAAATGATGAACAGATGGCAGCCCGTCTGCTGAAGTCATTTCAGCATATAATTTGTCTTGACCAAATAAATCATTTTTTAAAATAACTTCAAAATTAAAGCATGGCACAAAATATTTAATATCTTATAAAGTTTAGATACATGTTCTTCAACCAAAGTAGATATATATAATTTTTTCAAAGCAGGTATTTATGAAAAATTGATATGCTAGCATGGACCTATTTAACAAATATTTTGCTACACAATCTTTGTAAATAAATCTCAAAGCTCTGAAATATATTTCATGTTACCTTACACAGCCTGAGATAAGACGGCCTGAAGTGGTGTGACCACTCCGACACACAGTGCACCTCATCAATACAGGCAAATGATATAGGAGGGAGGCTAGCAGGAGTTGGGAAACACCCTGAGGTCCCCCCGCCCCCCACAATGGCCTCGGGAGACACCAACAGGAAGTGAACTTTGCCCTCTGTGACACTCTCGATGACCCGTTCTCGCTGGACTTTGGTCATGTTTGTGTGGAGGCAAGCACCGTGAATGCCAGGAGGGAGACCAGTGACCTGAAAGTTATCACAAGAAGGTTTTATGTGAGATTGATTACAAAATTAAGATAAAATTCATGAATTTTGTGAGAGTTCTTATATTCAAAGGGACTGTGAATTTTAGAAATTCTTAATGTTCTTATATTCAAAGTTAACTCATTTCATGGAACACCATAATTACTTAATACAACATATTTGATTATATTATATCATTTCATTTCCAGGCCGAACCAGATTGCATTGTGCCAGACCTGGTCTTCCATCAGTGACACCAGTGGAGATATGACCAGGGCAATACTTTTAGTCTTCTGAGCATACATATAGGCTGGCAGCTGATAACACAGGGACTTGCCAGCACCTGTAGAGAGTACTACCAGGGTAGACAGACCTGGAATTAACATAAACCAAGATATTCTGTACTCATAAAGTAACATTAAATTCCTACAAATTCATGCCGTCAATTGCTCACATGCAAATATAAACTATGTATAAGAGCTGACAGGAGTATCAAACACACAAAAGAAGCATATTTCAATATACTTTACCAAGAGAAACAAAAATTTATAAAGAAGTAACTACAATTTATAAAATTTTTCAAACAAAAAATGCGTACTGCATTATAATTATTCTTTTTTATATGACATACCTGAGAGAATCCTGGTAATGGCTTCTTCCTGACCAGGTCTAAAAGCTGTGTAGCCAAATTTGTTCAAGGCTTTGTATACATCCTTGGTCACAGCTACGACAAAAATATTTAAAATACTTGTACACACCTCATTAATAAGAATAACTGACAAATAGAGACAGAGTACACATTTTTTTCTTCAAGGCAAGTGTATGTGCGAGTGTATGCACAAAATAAAACTATAATCACATAGTTCTAGGTTATTATCCATATAAGAAAACTTCACAAAAAATCAACAGAAATCACTATAAAACTATTATCTAGACAACTCACAGCTACAAAATACAAAAAAATTTGATTCCCAAACCGAAAAAAAAAGAAGCAGATTGCAATGACTATGGGTATTATCACAATGGTTAAGAGAGATGTAGAACATCTCACCATGTGGTGAGCCGTCACTGTTCGGCTGGTAGTAAGGCTCCATGGAGGGCCTGGATGGCAGCGACTCTCTGGTTACTCTCACCACCATCTCATCCTCAAGTTCAACAGCACTTATGTCTGGCACAGAGGGAGGCTCTTCTTGGACGGTGCCTCCATCTTGTGTTCTGTTTGGAGCTTTGTTTGGAGCTTTTCCAGTGCCTCTTTCTTTTGTTGAGGTTTCTAAAATTGAGAATATTTGATTTTTCTTTTTCAAAAATAATCACCTTCTTATTCATTACATTAAAATAAGTAATACCATCAGTTAATCTCCTTTTCACAAACCATCATGGCATTCAGTCTGATTTCCAGTGGAGAAAAGAAATTTCTTGTTATGAGCCTTATACCAACAAGGCATGCAATTTCTTTCTATCTGTGTTTTACCATAAGCTTGTTTTTGCCTAATAAACAATCATTAAGCATTTCCTAACTTATTCGAGATAACTTGCCTTCTTTGCCGTCCTGTGTTCTATCCGAAGGTTTAATTCCCCTTGCCATCATAGCTGCCTCTCTCAGACTGGGAAAATCACTGGCATCAAATCCATCATCTGCCTCCTCTTTTGGTGCACCAAAACTGTTCCCTAAAATAATTTTCCAACATAATATGAGACAGAAATTAACCATGTAAACATCAATAATAATCTAACACCACTGTAGAAATTGTATGATGCATTTTATACCCATTTATTATGTTTTATATATTTCACCGAAACAATTAATACAGCAAATATTGCTTAACACAGTATTTTAAAGCCACCCACCTTTATTGGGACACTTGTTAGCCCAGTGGCCCTCTTGACCACATTTGAAACATTTATTTCCATAACTTTTACTTCGCTCGCCAACTTTCTTCTTCCACTGTTGACGTTTGTATTGCTTGAAGTTCAGCTTGGATTTTTTGGAGAATTTCTTCACCTTCATGTTTAGCCTGACAAAGTTTTCTGAGGATATGGGCTTTGGAGCTATTGTCCTTTTTGATGTAAAAAGAAAAGTAGACATCATTATTTATCTTAACTCATGTGTCTGTTTATAGTTCTTTTTAATTGCCCTTTTCAAACAACAAATCTGAAAATAACAATGAAGAGAGATTGTACAGATTACTACATAATGTGAAAAAAAAGTCGTACTATTTACCAATGTTTGTTGAATGGAATTACTGTCTTCTTATCACCTGTGGTCTACTTACAACTGAGTGAAAGTCAATTATCACTTACATTATAATATATAAGTAAAAAGAAATTCCATTCAAGTCTAAACTACCTAGCTTTTGTCACTTTTCTCTTCTTTGGTTTTATTTCCTCTTCTTCAGAAAGATCTTGGTCATTTTCACTATTCTGAAATGAGTAAAATGTAAGATAAGAGGCATTTCCACAAATTCCTAATAACTGTCGTCCCAATTTCAGCATTTGAATATCAATCTTTTGAAATACTGTTNAATGACTATGGGTATTATCACAATGGTTAAGACAGATGTAGAACATCTCACCATGTGGTGAGCCGTCACTGTTCGGCTGGTAGTAAGGCTCCATGGAGGGCCTGGATGGCAGCGACTCTCTGGTTACTCTCACCACCATCTCATCCTCAAGTTCAACAGCACTTATGTCTGGCACAGAGGGAGGCTCTTCTTGGACGGTGCCTCCATCTTGTGTTCTGTTTGGAGCTTTGTTTGGAGCTTTTCCAGTGCCTCTTTCTTTTGTTGAGGTTTCTAAAATTGAGAATATTTGATTTTTCTTTTTCAAAAATAATCACCTTCTTATTCATTACATTAAAATAAGTAATACCATCAGTTAATCTCCTTTTCACAAACCATCATGGCATTCAGTCTGATTTCCAGTGGAGAAAAGAAATTTCTTGTTATGAGCCTTATACCAACAAGGCATGCAATTTCTTTCTATCTGTGTTTTACCATAAGCTTGTTTTTGCCTAATAAACAATCATTAAGCATTTCCTAACTTATTCGAGATAACTTGCCTTCTTTGCCGTCCTGTGTTCTATCCGAAGGTTTAATTCCCCTTGCCATCATAGCTGCCTCTCTCAGACTGGGAAAATCACTGGCATCAAATCCATCATCTGCCTCCTCTTTTGGTGCACCAAAACTGTTCCCTAAAATAATTTTCCAACATAATATGAGACAGAAATTAACCATGTAAACATCAATAATAATCTAACACCACTGTAGAAATTGTATGATGCATTTTATACCCATTTATTATGTTTTATATATTTCACCGAAACAATTAATACAGCAAATATTGCTTAACACAGTATTTTAAAGCCACCCACCTTTATTGGGACACTTGTTAGCCCAGTGGCCCTCTTGACCACATTTGAAACATTTATTTCCATAACTTTTACTTCGCTCGCCAACTTTCTTCTTCCACTGTTGACGTTTGTATTGCTTGAAGTTCAGCTTGGATTTTTTGGAGAATTTCTTCACCTTCATGTTTAGCCTGACAAAGTTTTCTGAGGATATGGGCTTTGGAGCTATTGTCCTTTTTGATGTAAAAAGAAAAGTAGACATCATTATTTATCTTAACTCATGTGTCTGTTTATAGTTCTTTTTAATTGCCCTTTTCAAACAACAAATCTGAAAATAACAATGAAGAGAGATTGTACAGATTACTACATAATGTGAAAAAAAAGTCGTACTATTTACCAATGTTTGTTGAATGGAATTACTGTCTTCTTATCACCTGTGGTCTACTTACAACTGAGTGAAAGTCAATTATCACTTACATTATAATATATAAGTAAAAAGAAATTCCATTCAAGTCTAAACTACCTAGCTTTTGTCACTTTCCTCTTCTTTGGTTTTATTTCCTCTTCTTCAGAAAGATCTTGGTCATTTTCACTATTCTAAAATGAGTAAAATGTAAGATATAGAGGCATTTCCACAAATTCCTAATTGCTGCCCCTCATTAGCTATTGCCAATTTCAGCATTTGAATATCAAACTTTTGAAGTACTGTTTAGTTTGACAAAAAATAACTGAATTACATGTATTTGTATAAGTATTTACATTACTCTCTTAAAAACATTTTTTGCATTGTTTGATAAAGATGAACCAATTACCCCATTCTCTTCTCTCCACTGCTCACTTCTTGAAGATTTTGCATCAACATCATCATTCATAACTTTACTTGGTTGTCTCTTTCTCTTAGACCCAGATGGAGCTGCATTGTTCTGTAAACAACCATTGTTCCTACTATCTTCATTCTTATCAATAACAGCACTGTTCAAACCGTTTTCAGAACTTTGATCCAAATTATCAGGGATATTTTTTTTATCCTCAGATGATACTTTGTTTCTTCTTTTATCACATATTGGTTCCCAAGCAACCCCCCTGGCAGTGTGTACGAGGTCAGAGAAAGGCACATCTGTCCTCTCTGTGGATAATTCTTTTTGTAATGAAACCAAGGTCTGTGCTTTCATTTCCTTTGAAGTGCTGGAACGTTCTTCAAAATGAGTCTCCTTTTCTAATGGGGGCATATTCATGGTGACACTTTCTTTTCCCTGTTGATCCTGGCTTGGAACATCATGCATACCCATTTGATCAAGCCTTCTCCAAGACTTTTTATTCAGTTCACTGTCCCTTGCCTCACCTTCAAAACTTTTCTCAGTACCAATTATATTACCTCTACTGGGACTTCTTGAGGATGATGGTGATATTTCTGGCTCTTTCACCAAACTGTCAGCGTTGGCATGCCACCCTGGGGGCAACGATGCCCGCTTGTGAACCAGAGAGGGTCTGACAAAAGATGGCGCCTCATCATGGTTTCTTTTTCCCCCTGGTGTCGCTACACTATGGCCAAACTTTGACAACTGAAGAGCTTTTGAAAATATTCCAGATTTTGGAGAATCACAGGATAACTTCTCCCCCTGTGCATTGTCTTTTATATTTTCATTGGGAGGTGGTTGAGTTTTATTGCCATATGTATTCTTTTTCTCTGCAATATCATGATCTCTGTCACACCTGTCTTGGGAATTTGCTTTGAACACAGAGACTTTTCTCGTATTTCTAACTGGTTTTGGTGTATCCTGCCTTACTGCAGGAAGCTTCTTTGTCTGAATCTGAAATATTAGAAAAAATCATTTCTTACCTTCAGATTCAAACGTTTTGGATTAAGGCATCTGTATTTGCCTGCTATCCCCGAGGTTGTATTCATATGATTTGGTTTGTACTTTCTTTGATTGGTAAGCAAAATTTTTTAAATATGCAGTAGTGTTCTTGGACAGTAACTGTGCTGGGGTAGCGCTAGCATTTTTTTCGCTTGGCCAAATCACCACATTTTTGTCAATTTGTTACCAAAATGGTTATAATTTGGCTAAAACATGTCAAATCAAGCCCTTTTTCTTTAGCCAATTTAAGTCAGTTTTAGCATTTGGCTAAATTGGCGAGTGTAAGCGCTACCCCAGCTGTGGGTTGGTACGAGATATCCCTTGCTTCATTGTCTGAGTCTATGTTAAATTTCTTTATCTGTGACAATCATAAAAACTATTAAGTCTACAGAAAATGGACATTTCATTTTACATAACCAAACAGTAAGCTATCCAATTTTGATAAATCAAAACATGAGCCAACTACAGAAAATGTGATGTCAATCATTCCTTAATGGTAAAACCTCTATAAAAGAAACAAAGGTATGATATTTACTAGTGCAGCAGCTTTCAGTTTCATTCCTATTTTGTCCATTACTGAATCTCCACACTTTGTGATAGCTGAAGATTTTGCGGAGTCCTTGAGAGGTTTAGTCTTGTTACAATTAGGACCCCAAACATCATCTGCTGCTGCCTGAAATGTATTATAACATATTGTGACTGAACCCTTTTAGCAGTTTTTATTCAGAGGCAGAGATCAATAAGTTGTGAAATAATTACATTTTTCTGATTTTTTTAATCACTTGTGCTAATGAGATAGCAACACTCATAAAAACAAGTATTATGTGATGCAGGTACTGAAACTGATTTTCTGGTATATATCTTTCATTCATTCTCTCTTAGATAGAATGGTAATCAAGAACACTTGAGCAATTATCTTATAACTAAATTTTTAAAAGAGCAAAGTGATGGAAAAAATAGTTTAAAGTACGCTATGCAATTAATTAAAGCTTGACAAGTTAGCAAAATTAAATAGATACAATACTTTAATTTTCAGATTTATACAAACTATGCACTCAACACTTACTGATTTGGTCTGCTCTTGCTGTCTTTTTAATTTTTTATATTGCTGGTAGGCATCTGTAAATTATTCACAGCAGTCAGCAACAACTATTTTTTTAATTTTTTTGTAAACTTCTTACATTTTCCTGTCCTTATGTTTAAAATCAATTTAATGCTTTTTTACTTTGGTTACTGGTTATGTATTAACTTCAGCTAAGGATTATGTTATAAAAAACTTAAGATACTGAAACAGTTTCAGGGCATGATAAAATTTTTTGTTTTGTGCAATAGTTTCCATCACATGACAAAGCAAACTTACCTTTCACTTCTACTGGGCCATTCTCAATATCATCCTGGAAACAATAAACATTTCATATAGCAAACAGATAAAGGTATGCTGCTTGCAACATACACATCACATCTAGGGGATGGGCTAGGTGTATTCAGATATGACATACTAACTTCGAGAGATTATATCCACGAATCAGCCATGTGAACAAGAGTGTGTCGGTCAAAACCACGCAGCTTTATATAATTATCAGGTTGAAAATCATGTTACTGTATGTCTCTGTAGAAACAATTTACTTTTAATATGTCATTTAGCAACAAATGTCTTAATAATCTTTAGCACATGTGAGTACCTTTCCTGGTTTGTATCCCTCTTTGGAGGTAAACTCTGCTTCCCATGACTTCAGCCTTTTCTTCAAGGTCTGCAACTCATCTGTTATGCTTGGCTCTCCCAGCATGATTTTTTACATCTAAAAATTGTAAACAAACTTCTCACCTACAAATGCAACCGTGTTACGAATGTGAAAAAACTGAATACTTAATATTGATCGATTATACCATGATACTATAGCGAGGGTGATTCTCCACATGCAAAATCACAATGAAAATACACAGCATTTGATATACAATGTTGGAGTGGGGTTCGGAATTTCGGGCGCGAATCAACCAAAACAAATAGGTCCAATGCAAGGCTAAATAATAATACAATCTACATCTACACTCGGTATTTAGCAATAACTAACAAACTGTCATATAATTCTTTTTAACTTACCCAATTTTGACTCACAACACCGTCAATCTGACGCAGATTTTTACAACGAAGTGTTTAGTCTTCGCACTGCCATTCTTGAAAGATGTCACACATGACGTCATTACGACATTTCAAAACGAGGCTTGGATTTCCCTTCCGCATCTCACATCGAGACGTCAAGGCTTCCGTAGAAGAAGGCAGACGAGGAAAGGCGAAGACGACCACTTTATCTGGCTTCAAGATGGGCCAAATAGAGTGGGCGATGTGGGCCAACGAGCAGGCGATGGCTAGTGCCGGAGGTGAGATTAATGAAAAGTAACCATTATCTTACTTAAGGTGCCGTACAGCACAGATTATCATAGCGCTAAGGTAATTTAAGGGACTTGTGTACTAAAATGTAATATAGTAAATAGAATGAACATAGCTACTGCTAAGGTATGCTTATTTGTGTTAGGGCCAGCTGACGAGAGTGTTTACGGAGACACAGATGGACAGGACCCATTTCATTTTTCTGTTCTACTAGGCACGTGTGACGGTGTCTTGTACATTACTCATAAGTATTTGGGAGATTGGACAAAATTTTGTTCTAAATTTTATATTTTAACATTTTCCATTTATTGTTAACTGGGTACTTATACATTTGGTCATGATATATAAGTGTTGCCTTTTATTTTTTTGCAGTCCTTTTACTTGGTGGTATAGTGGGTGTTTCAGGAATTTTCAAGAACTGGGGGATAGCAGTCTATGGAATGTATCCTTTGATGGAATGTTTTTAATTTCACAAAATATATATGATATTGAGATGATAATGCAAGAACATATTGTTGGTCATGAGTGTGTTGCAGTGCTTCTGTTCATTTCCTTGACTGTTCTCAGTGTGATAGCAGTGCTTATAATTGTGTTTGAGTATCCACGTAGTCAGAGAAGGAAAGGGAACACAATAGAACGAAAGTAAGCAAATCTTTCTTAAATAATAGATAAGATGTATCATTAAGTTTAATTTACTTGAAGAGTGATATAATATCAATAATTGCATTCCAACAACAAGATTTCATTGTCAGTGGTAACCCTTTCTGTTACATATACATATATGAACCACAGGCTCACAGAGTAGGGGAGTTGCAGGGGAAGTTGAAAAAAAATACCCTGAGCCAAAATTTGATCTTATTTCTATTGTATTACTCAGTTCAAGTCATCTAAGGGGAAACAAAGGTCCTTTAATTTGAGAAAAACCTTTTCTCTCCCCCCCCCTCCTTTGAAATTGCTGGCTATAGGCCAGAAACTACTGAGAAAATATACCACTGCATTGTTACATAAACTTCCACATCTTATTGCCTTATTTTTAATACCTCTTAAATTTTCCTTCCAGGTTTCAACATATTCTTACTCCAGCTGTAGCTGCTTTGGGGCCAGTATCTAGAAACTATTATGTTAGATTTGCCTTGTATCTGCTGTGAGTATAATGTCAGAGTAGCTTCACTGATTTTTTAAAAAAATTATTTATTATTATTATTTTTTGGTTATCAGTTAAATTATTTGTGTGATACAATAATTGTAAATCTTTAGATTTAGATGATTATCTCATAAATTATCTCATTAATGAACTGAACTGCTAAAAGGGCTGTGCACAAAGTATATGTGTATCAATTAAATAGTATAAATGCAAATATTTTGTTTTTTATAATTTCAGTTAACAAACTGTAAGATGTGTGTGAAGTTGTGAAAACCAATGTATCCTTAATCTCTTGCCAAATAGCATTTTGTCACTTGAAGTTTTTTTTTTATTTTTTCTTGAAAATGCACTTTATTTTCCAGGTTCTGTATACCATGTTACTTCATCTTACCCACAGTTTTAGGTGGAATGTGCCTTCTTGTTACCAGTATCATATACTTTGTTGTGAGTGCCTTTCGTTCTTTTTCCATTGTTCAGTAAATTTTTGAATATTTTTTGTGCTGTGTACTACTGTGTACGTTTTATTGTATATGTTATATGGTTTTATGGTATAAAGTTTGGTTGATATGCATATAAGATTGAACATGAAACTGTTGTCTCCTGCATGCATGCACACACACACACAGACACACATACATTTCCTTCTGCATTATAAATACGAACGGATATACAGTATATGTGCATAGAGTTTGTTAAGAAATGAGGACTACTCCATACTATGATTAAAGTATACAATTCTATCACAGGCTGCCATAAAGGGAGAACAGTGGATTCCAATAAAGAAAACTGAAGAATCTCGCAGACTACAAACCCTTGAACCTCCATCACGCCCCCCTCCCCGCACTCCAGTCCATGCACGAAGGGATGAAGCCCGCGCGGCAGAACAAAGGATATAAAAGGGGGGTATGGATCAGTGCTTATGGGAAGTTTTCAGATAACTTTTAACCAAGAGGACTGTATTTTCCAAAAGTAGACATATGGATAAAGGGGACAAGATGACTAGGAGGCAATCAGAGATGTACAGGATACATAGGAAGTTTTCAAAAGACATCTAACTAGCTGACACTTTGTTTTCTGAAAGTCATTGTTCGGAGGGTGAAGATTATATGCAGATATCAATCATTTCTGTTGCAGTAGACACTGCTTTGATCTTAGAATTATTATCATTATTGTTAAATATACAGTATCTAGTCCTTCAGATACTTTACCATAGGTGCTTATATCTATACAAAATATACAGTACGGGAAAACCCAGTACTTTTCACGCTTTTCACTTACATCAGCTACATTTTTTTAGACCATATTTATATCATATCATGTCCATTTAGCAGTCAAGTCAAAATGACTTCATGTTAATAATAACAAATTAGTCTCTGGTTACATCATGTAGTACAGGGGCAGATCCACTGATATTTTCTGACAGTCTTCCTAATAATCTTTGTTGATTCTGCCGTCTTTAGACAGAAAAAATTAGATGCCCATCAAATTGACAATGTAAACTTGAAAGATCCAACGGTCTTTAGGAAGACCCGGATGATGGGTAGTCTACCCTTGTAGTACTTAAACCCCTCTATAAAATGGTGTTTTTATTGGACTCAGATTGGCAATTTAAAAGTTTAATTCTACAATTGATATTATTTTTGATATTTTATTTACATAACCATTAAAATAATATTCATGTGACAATCATAACATTGTATATTTTTGGTATTTAAAGTAACTTGAAATCCTTCCAAATACTTGGCATTGATAAATAATTTGACCAAAGTGTGTAAGTATAAAACAAACTTCTTTGAAACTCATGATATAGAAGTTGAAAATTCATGAATTATTTTACCATTTATCAGATTGCTTTCAGGTTTATGCAGGTATTCATTTGGTGCCAAGATATACTGTTTTATTTCCAGAGCACTGTTGCTCAACTCAAATACTCTCTGGCTTCTTCCTCTCTGCTTGATACTGTGTTCAATATTCAAAGGTTTCATAAAACAAACCAAGTGTCTATTGGGAAGTGAACTGGACGCTTCCTGTGTATACTACACCTTTAGCTGAAGCGAAAAAGAATAAAAACTTAATATTAAATAGTTTAGGTTATTTATATGGTTATTTATATGAAAAGCAAAGAAATATATTTAAAGTAAATAATAAACATAGTTAAATAATATCTTAGTTATGTTGGGTTTTTAATTTTTTTACAGAAAGTTGCGACAATCGGCTTCTATTTCTATTTTTTCTCTAACACCCAAATTGCAAATAAAAAAAATTACGGTGATTGCAAAACTGATTTGTGTTCTTAAAAAAGCTTACCGCTACCAGTCACGGTGTCTTGTAGCACCTCTCCACGGACGCTAGTCAACTGGACGCGGAGGGGGTACTGTATGGGACGCTGGTAACGGTTGAGGATGCTTGGGTTCATGATCCAGAAGCCGTCATTTGTTCTCATCATCGGGACGTACTCTTTAGAGGCTCCGTTGTATAGTGCCATGCCGGTGACTGGAAGTCTGACATGAAACAAAACCAGCATGATGTATTTATCTATTCGTTTATTGTTTAAGTTTTATCATTGTACACAAAAATGAAAAGTACCGAAGTCGACATCTAGGTAGAAAGTATAAACTTAAGACAAAGCATGCTTTATGCATAAGATAAGAATATATTTAATGTTTTACATTCTTAAAAGTTTAAATTTTTCGTTGTTCATAATGATCAGCGCGTAAATAGAACGTTTTTGAAGAACCCATCGACTCGCTTCCTGCAAAACAGGTCAAGTATTTTTTTAAAACAATTCTCGAATAAATTCAACTCGAGGTATTCGGGAATGATGACCATCAAGGACCCATGTTATGTTACGGTGCTTCAGATCATGGAATACTTCCATGTTCAAATGTGTTTAAATACGTTTTGGATATATCCAAACGATCAACGAATTTGTCACGCCATCTTCTGGCACCAATAGCTTGGTTTAGTACCAAGAAGCAGCTCGTTCACCCCATGTACATATTTTACCGAAATGTCCTCCAGCTACCTCTGGCTATAAACCTCAATATATAGTTCATTAAGGACAAACTCATTTATAGAGGTTTTAAGGCCAAATTAATCCGAGCAATTAACACACTCTTGACGCTGGAATTTGCTTTGGCACTCAACGGTCTCAAGTTGGTGACCTCTGTTGAGCGAGTTCAATCTTCTGAATCTAAGACTGCCGCTCGCAGCAAGATGTATGTAAATTAACCGTTCAAGGGATTTTACAGAGGGCTGTTTAAGCGCAAAATGATAGTTCTCTCCCCCCCCCCCCCCCCCCCATGTCGCTATATCAGTTGTCAATCCTTGGACGAAGAGAACGTTCGTCCAAGGCCAGTCTATAACTCCTTTTATTTCAACCATATATGCCGAGTGTTACGTACGGCTGCCTTCCTCTCGACAGATACAATTATATCGGAAAGCACGTGTCGCATACCTGGTGTTGCCAACTTGAATTTTAATGTACCAGGGGCTGCTGTCCTGGAACCTGTAGGACACATTGTCGTTGAAAGGACACGGGACAGCAGTAAAATCAATGTTCCAGCGGCCGTCCCCAACTAGGGCAAAATCGACGTCACCTAAGACACAAATAGGCTTAAAAGATATATAACAAGATATTGTATTTTGACTGTTATTTATATCTTTATGGTATCAGACAGCAGTTAAGTTTATCTCCTAGTGCCGTCTCCCAATTGGAATACATAAATGCTCAATCGAATCTAAAAACAACTTACAACGACTTTTTAACACTACATGCAGGCCTACACTAGCCAGCCATAATGCCAAAAAAAAAAAAAAAAAAGGTTCAGTGCGTTTATATCACCTTAGGACGCGCTGATGCGTAGGTTGCGACTTTTTAAGAATGATAAGAAACTGTATATAGCTTCTTGCTAATATCTTACAACATTAAGAAAAAATTACAAAACTTTACATGTAGGCCAAATGAAAGATCCAATTCATGATTAGATCTTGTCTGCATTAAGAAGGGGAGTCCAATGTTTCACTCACCTTGCTTGCAAGACGGACAAAGGTCTGTCACGTACACAAGGTAAGTGCCTGTAAGTGGATTTAAACCTAGTCCCTGCCCAGAACCTGTAACCTTTAAAAACACTGCCGCCATTAGAGAGAGAGAGAGAGAGAAAGAGAGAGAGAGAGAGCGTGCGTGTCTATATGCATGTATATGTTTGAGCGCGTCTGTGTTTGAAAGAGAGAGAGAGCAAGAGCAACAAATGGTACATTTCCATCATTACATTGCAGTTTGAACACTTTAAAAGGGTATCTAGAAATTCTAATCTTTTAAAACACCAGGAAAAAAGACTAACGAAGCGAGGAAAAATACTGACTCTTAGACAAATTCCACATGTGAGTGACCCTGTGAATTGCTCAATGTTTATTGCCGCGGTGCTGTCTATCCCATAGTCACTGAGCTTTCCGGGCAACATAGATCTCAGCTGGCATGTCTCCTTGGCCTGGTTATATGACTGTCCGTAATAAGTGCCCTAGAATTCAATATAGGGTGAAAATATAAGGTATGTTTCGTCATCCGGCAAAAATTAATAATAAATTAATTCAATTAAAAATTCAATTAAATAACGATGATCTAAAACAAAACGAAGGCGATTATTTGTATGAAAACAAAGTGGGGTTCACAACTGAGTGGCATTTTAATTGCTTCAATATGCCAAATTTTCCAACATTCAAACTGCATTAATTATAAGATAAATATGCCAAGAGGCGTAGTTGCAGTATCCAAGCAAGCGACCCCCGATTTAAATAGTGCGTTAGATGTTAATTAAGTAATCGATGTTCGCTTCTTATTTTGTACAGACAATTCTAAAACAAACAATGACATCGTTTGGAAAAAAGTAGATCCGTCAGTCAGATTTTAAATATCTATCAATCGAGGTAAAGTGTATTTTCAAAGACGTGACGTGACTGGTCTTTTTCTAATTGCCCCAAGTCAGCCTGGCATAATGCATTTTTTATTACCATTGATGATAATTTTAGGCTGTTAAACTGATAGTGAATCCTTCTAGCGCCCTAGATTTGTTTATGTCAGAAACGACGCACTTTTTTGAGTCAGTGTGGTCCTGCAAACATTTTTACAGTTTCTAGCGCGTTTTTCAAATAAAGGTGTGATTATTCTCAACAGTATAAATATGCAGAAATCCACACCCTTTTCGCAAGCCAAAGAAAGGGAAAAACTATTCACAACCCCTGTGACAGGAATGGTATTCCTAGGAAAGGATGTCCAGGGTCTAATATGACAAGTACAGGTTATTAGTATATGAGATGAATGTCACCTATACAAAGTAATGGGGAACGGATTACGTTGCCTAGCGGACTACCATTCCTGTCACTCCCCCCCCCCCCCCACCCCCAAGTACTCACCGGAATTTTATCTCCACCCTGTGATGCAACTGAACCAACAAGAAGGACGTGAGTCATTTGTATCGTAAAGAAATTAAACATGCGTGTACATGTATATATCCGTGTGCACAGGGTCGACTAAACCTGGGATAGGCACTGGCAGACCGAGGATATAATATACGGGGGGAAGGGGGGGGGGGGCAGTTAGTGGTACGCCCAACCCGCACGCACTACAGAAATCTTTTCTTTGTTTCTTTGATGAAGACAAAAATGGTGAAATTTATTTGAGGTCTTTTGTAGCAATGAGTTCACGAAAGACCTCGGGGCGTCAGTGCGTCTTTCCTACCCTCTTGAAAAAGAAATGGAGTCTGTTCTCCAGGCAAGCTGTCTCCCTAAGAAATAAGGAGCCTTCATAGCGGAAGATCTTACCGTGGATAAGTCAACTTACCTCTCCGAAGAATCTCTTCTGGTACAATTCATTTAACTTCGTTTGTTGTGCGCTTCCACCAGGAAGATTGTAGGCCAGCGTATACAGCAACGTTAGGGTGAAGATCAACATTTTTCCACTGAAAAGTTGAGCATTAATTCTGTCAATTTGACTTTTTTATTGCTTGCCCTAAATAAAAAAATAAATAAATACCTTTGCTCAAGGTAGGAAATGTTATATAAGCTATAGAAATCTGGTACATAACAAATTTCAAAAACATCTCAAGAGGTAAAATGAAATCAGAAAACATACATGCTAAAACTGATGTACCTTTTCTGGCAGAGCTTGATGACCGATGCTCCTCTAGCCTGTTGATATTTTCAATGCTCTTTGAATCTAAATGCTATTCAATGCAAATACTTGTATGTGCAATAAGTCATTCAACCTTCTACTGCTAATATACCCGTACAAGTTCAGTTTCATCTCCCTTTTATATGCTTTGAAGTGGCCTTCCTGACTCACGGACCAAATGATGTGTGTATTTCTAGAAAACTTTGGCATAGGCCCGCTGTCCAGTAAGAAATGACAGCGACCCAAACAGACGATCGTCAAACAATGTTGCCTTGGGAGAGGTTGTAAATATGGGATGAGTCAATAAAAAAGACATAAAAGCCTTTGACGTCAGTTATTAGTCTTATGGAGGAATGCATGCGATATTTTGATCGACGGGGTAACTTGGTGCACGCCCAAAAAAAGGGGGTGGGTGGGGCAATCTTGTCTTGAAAAGAGAAATAAAAATTAAATTGAAATATAAATTTAAATTGAAATAAGTAAAATTTTGAGGAAAACAATCAAAAGCGACTTTAACTAAAAGTTAAATAGAATTTTTACATGTGTGGGAATAGGCCTACCAATAGGCCTACTCCTGATGTACTCTTGAGCAAGCTCTGACAGCGCTTTCCCCCCAAGAAAGGAGAACGCTAATTGCAAAGTAAATTACTTGAAGATGTTATCTTCATAACAAAACAAAAATAAGGAAATAATAATAATAATAATAATAATAATAATAATAATAATAATAATAATAATGAAGGGTTACAATTAAGCGATTTGAATGAGCTTCTTTCGAATGAGAGAGAGAGAGAGAGAAAGAGAGAGAGAGAGAGAGAGAGAGAGAGAGTTAAAAACAATTTGCAAAAAAGCAAGAGACGTTTGCACGAAAATATAAAAACTAGAATTGCTCTTTTTGTGTACACGAGCTTGTCAATCAATGAATAAATCTAACCTTATTTCTATTACTTTATTTATTAATTTTTATTAAAATCTATCCATCAATAATAATTTGGTATTCAATGGATAAATAAATAAATGAATATAAACAATCAAAAATTTTAAATGTTATTTAGATACAAGTAATTATATAGACAGATGCAAAGATTGAATAGTTAATGTATTTTTTTATTTGCAAAAGAAAATACTTCAGAAAATTAAATTCTTATAAAGGGCAAAAACTTGCCACCGATAGCAACACCTACAACAATGTCGGTTCATCAACCACGAGTGCTTGGAAAAGGTAGGCCATAAACAGGTGATCGAAGGCATGTCTACGTTTGTCTTTGTCTAGTGCATTTGGATCTCACATACTGAATGTACATTTAAATAATTGGGAGGTCAAAGTTTCCACGAAAGAGAGTAATCGGTCAGCTAAAACTTATGCACGCTAAACGTTCGTTTCATTGGCCCAAGGCTAGTCTCCATGTCACGGTGACATATTGAATAAATTTGTCACAGTCTGTTAGAAACGTTGTTCTCTCCAGTAAATGGATTTATAGCTTCATCGTTTTGTAGACTCTTCACATTTCTATTCCAGGCTCCAGTAAGCCAGCCAGTACTGATAAGTTACATAGGGTGTATTGTCAGCGATTCTGCCCATTCAGCGAGAGAGTTAAACTGGTCCTCACTTACAAGGAGATACCGTAAGTCAGAGGGCGCGTTCCCAATGATAGTATCGTACTTTGTAGATCAGTCCAACTCTTGTGCGTTCGGTTGCACTCAGAAAGTGAAAAAGAAGCGAAAAGCTTCTAGAAGCCGAGCACACATGAAAGTTAATCACACCCTATAGCTACTTAAAGAGGCGGGGCATTCAGTTAATCTGATTACATTCAGCTAGAGCCCCAGCTGATTCCGATCGATCTACATTGCATAGTATGATAGTTTCATTGTAAACACGTCAGCCATAAAAGTCATCAAGGAAACAAGACATTGAAAGCCCGCTACCACTGCGTATTTCCCTATATCAGATTTATTAAAATTAACTTGTAAAATAGATGAATGAGTAATAAACAAATGAAGGAAGGAAGGAAGGAAAGAATGAGTAATGAAGATCAGGATAGTAAATAAAAACTGGTAGTGGTGGTGTTAGTTTATAAGAAACTAAATATGTTGTCATAACATTGAGAACAGCAGAGGCAGTTCATAGTTTAAGGTAATATGTAAGGTGACACATGTAATCATTATAAGAAATTCTTATGTTATCAGTATTATCAAGGCATTCTTGATGTTATATTACATTAAAATTTTTATTTTTAGGTATGAAATAGTGAACATCAATCTTAGAAGCAAACCAGAATGGTATTTGGAGATAAACGAAAAAGGAACCGTGCCAACCTTGGAAATTCCAGGTGGAAGGACACTGACCGACTCTGTCATCATTTGTGAATACCTAGAGGATGTGTTTCCCAGTCAGAAACCATTGACACTCTCTGACCCTTATGAGAGAGCCTGTGGGAAACTACTGATGGAAGGATTTGGAAAAGTAAGATAATTTTTTTAAGTCCATTCACTAAGAGACTATTCCCAGAGACTATCTTACTAACTTTGGATCGAACTATCTCCTAGGGGATTTTTGCTTAATTAAAATTAACTTGAGCGTCTTAGATGTCTGTCACGCGATATGTCACTTGTGCACATACGTTTTAAGAGTAACCAATAGACTGAAAAATGTAATTTACATACCTTGAAATCGCCAAGATACAACACAGGTTCACCTATGCAGGAACAAAACAGCACTGACTCCTTTCCTGTTCACAGTTGTAGCTTCTGCTCATCTGCTTACCCTTTAAAGTTTTGCCGACTGTCCTATCCTTGCATATTGGGTCTTAGGTTGTTGCAAATGTTATCATTTTTATTTCAGGTTATCGGTTCCTGGCACAAGGCTGCCTTTGACTCTGCAGGAAAAGATACCCAGTCTGCCAGAGATATGTTTACAGCATTAGAAAGATATGAACAGGCAATCAAAGGACCATTCATGATGGGTATGTACATAGCAAGTGATGCACTTAAGTTATCTTTACTGACATGCTGTTAAGGATGTTGTTATTACATCTTCAAGGTGAGAGCAATTCATTGTGGAAGATATATTTTCAAGTGAAATGAAAGCAGTGTGAAATTGGTGAGAAGAAGATTTTTAGATGTCCAAGCTAAAAAAATAAATAAATAAATAATTGTTATAGTTTTTTTATGACAGAGAATAAATGGCAATTTAATCGTGAAAAGAAATTTGACATACAGATAAATGATGATAAAATTTTAAAATAATCAAAAAACACATTAATAAATTATCTTATAACAAAAACTGCAGTTTGCATAGATTACATCAAAACTATTCCAGGTGACACTATATCTCTTGTGGATCTGTACATCTGGCCGTGGCTGGAGCGTGTGGGGATGACATCAGTGGTGACAGGGGTGGGGTACCCAGAGGACCAGCTACCAAAACTGAAGGCTTACATGTCTCACATGATGAAGGTGCCTGCTGTGAAAGAAGTCACTTTGGACACTGACGTACATGTAGCCTTTGCCAAAACTCATTTCACGGGAAACCCAGATTTTGATATCGGACTGTGAAGTTTGGATAAATGGGGTGAAATCTGAGCAAGTGCTATGGTAAAGAGATCAAATCAAAGTTAACTGGGAAGTTTTATATTGAGTAATGACTGTCATTGACATTGTAGGTTGATCTGAAGTTTAACAGGCAACAGTTTGCTGAAATCGGTATTCTGTGATCAAAGAAATATTGCAAGATGTTTTCATCAGGACTCAAAAAATTTTATGAAATCAGAATGTCACAGATAGTACAGTACAATAAGTACATGTAGTTATAGTTCATCTTCTACTGAACACGTCTAAGGACGAGAGGGAGAAAAAAGTATTTTTTCTATGTTAGAAAATTTATTATAAGCATTTTGATAATAGTCATTTATTTACATTGCATATTTACATTGTAATAATTTACAACATTAACAAATACTTGGCATTATTTACAGTTTACATTTACATGATGTGTATTCAGAGGTGCTTTTGGGAATGTGATGTCTTCAATGCAAAGAAATCATTCACATCATTCTTATATTTTGTCACTTCATGTCAAAAATACCTACTGCCTTATCAAGTTCAAAGTCTCACAAAATAAAAAACTAACATTTTTTAAACCACATTTCTGAGTTTTGCTTTGATTGTCACAATTTTTGCATTTGATATACCTCTCAAATATACTAAAGAGACTATCAATTACTGTGTGAGAGCAAACGTTTTTCTACGTATGTGTATTGCACAAACCTCTACTTCTAAGCAGCCTTCACATTGCAGTGCATGTGTATCTGAGATACATTGAACCAGCACACCAATTAAAAAAATAAGACTTTAAACAGAAGAATAAATGGGTGGGAAATGTGTAGACAAAACTAGCGCATCATTCTGCAGTTTCCAGAAGAAGAGAGCCGAGAAATGAATTTTTTTCAGTTAATAAAATGACAATGTATTTTCTTGAATGCATATTGAATAATTCAAACATCTTATAAGAAGAAAAAAAAATTTATAAAAAGTCCACTGTTTTACAACTTGATGCCAACTCTTTTGAGGTCCCCAACCAACATGCGTGCATTCATGTCATCAATAGTGATGGTTGGTTTGGGTTCTATGTCCAGAGCTTCTCTAGTGCATGCATAGGTCCAGGTCAGGTACTTGTCCATGTGTGGTCCATCTATCTCTGGGTCAGCCACAGTGATGCCCATTCTCAATGCATCCACATCCACTTCCCTGGAGAGGAAAATACAATGTGTTAGGTGTGAAAGTTTGATATTAATAATTGTTTTCAGTGTGCCAAGAAAATTGGATGAATTTTCCTGACACTCCCGAGGAAAAACAATGAGCAATGTATCAGGCTGAAATTTTGATAAAAAATGAAACGATATTTAGTTGCTTCTCATGCATTTTCACAGTCTACACACAATTTATTAAAGAACCAATAAATCGATATCAAAATATATTTAATAGCTATAAAAACTATTACAAACAGCTCTAAAAATGAACTGGAAAATTGAGTTTTGTATAAAATTTGTTTCATCTTTGTTTATACTACTTCAGTGAGATGCTATTAATCCATATACTTACGTTTGCCCCTCCTCCAATGTCAGCTCTGCCTTGATATCATCTATGTAGACCTGCCTCTCTTTCTTAAGCTGGTTTTTGATTGCTGGCACAAAAGGACCCGTGTTACCTTCATCATCCTGCAGGAGATTAGAAAGGGAAATTTCAAATAACATGAACCATGAAACTTCACTTAAAAACTCTACTTGTAACACCATGCATTACTGGAATTATTGCAAAGTAACTGCTTACACTAGAGAGTGAAATTCAAAGAGGATGAGATAAAGTTTTGGGCATTTTTAATAAATTATTTGCTACTTGGGAGACCCCTCCTCCTCTCCCCCCCACCCACCCACCCACACACACATACACTTTCTTCTTTCTTGTCCTTCCCTTTTCTACCCCAATAGTCGCTCTCACCTCCATAAATAATTTCTTATATTCCAGAGTGTCACTCTCCACGGCCTCCAGCTCTATGACAGCAGCCTCCATGAGGGCATCTATCCCTTCATCATCAGCATCAGGGAAGCATTCCTTCAGTCCTGCCTTGAAGTCAGTCTTAGCCACCATCCCCTCGTTACCTTTGTCCATATCTATCTTTGTCATGGTGTTCTGGACCTTCTCTATTGTCTGAAGCTCTGTGTGGAACAGGTCTTCATCAAACTGAAACATTCAGAAGCAGAAATGAGTGGTGAATTGTGTGATACATTGGGAATGGTTTTATTTGTATTCTCACAAGAGAAATGTCCATTTTTTGAAACTAGTGCTCCTGGTTCTCAGTCCTGACTGAACTCTAAGTGAGCTTTTTCAGACTGATTATGTTGTGTGCATCACTATGTCTAAAAGTACCCTCTACCAGGGCAGCAGTTATTATAGAGGACATTTTTTTGCTTGACTGAGAGCCAAAATGACTGTCTATTTATCTATAGACATATCTGTGAATACTTGTGGAAAATCAATCTGTTGCCTTGGTAGATGGTAGTCTAAAAGCATGCAAACGCACTTTTTACTATTTGTGTGAGAAGCATTAATAAAATCTACAATTTATAAATGAAACAAAACACCTTTAACAGTTTGGTAAATTACTTTTTTGGAGTATGTTTGTTTTTGTCTCTTCATGGAAACATAAAGGCAGTTAAGGTCACAGATTGTGCAGTGTTAGTACTGTATTTCATGCTGCCTCCACCAAAGTCCACTTTTTCATCTTTTAAAAAGTATTATTCCCACTTGCATTTTACTTCTATGCTACAGTCTGTTTTGAACACTTACCTCATTAGTGAGTATTGACCAGAAAGTACCAATGGTGATATCCTGAGAGAACCTCTGACAGGCGTCGTGTAGATTGTACCCCCACTCCACGATCATAGACTCTACACCAAACCTACGCTGCAGGTACAGGTAAAGGAAATCATCCAATGTGGTACGGGTGCCATCTGTTTTCTATAAAAAAGAATTATTATTATTATTATTGTGTCAGTTTCTTAATTTACTCTCTCCATGAAAATCATAAAAGTTAAATAAATTTGATGCATATTTGAAGTTGCAGTTATCATTAAGTTATAAAATTGATTTGAAAAGCCTCTACACTAGTAACTTACATCACCATTATTGTGACAGTGTAAATATAAAGAAATAATTGTTAAAAAAAAAAAAAAAACTGGAAACACAACAGTTATCTGGACTTAATGCTACATGTACAATTTACATCAATCTCTCAAGAGCACACGAACTAAACGGGGTGCCTCGATATGAAACCAGACAACTTTTGTGTTTTTAATCTCCAAATACTTTAAAAAATCAATAAAGCTAATAAATAGGCCGTCTACAAGAATTTATTATATCGTATCTTTTATATTAATTATTATTAAATATCAAAAAGATTAACAAGTCGCCTTTTGATGTACGCCCGGCTATGACCTCTTTTAAAAAAATCCATTTTTACGAGATTACAAATTGTATCGTATTATTTGGTTCCATTGCCTCGCTTTCAAAAATTAGAACAGGTGCTCCAAAAGCGTAAGACGAAGTAAAAAATTTTATATTGACTGAGTTCCCCCCCAGTAAGAATATCCTTACAGCATTATCTGCAATTAACCTTCTTACGATTTTTAATGTGTTTTGCAATATAATTTTCAATCTGCCCGATGAAGAATTTTATTAATCAAGAGTGGGGGAGGGGTGGAAAATCCAGTTGGGGCCACATATAACACTATAAATGCAAAGGAAATCCCCCTTACAATGACAGCAAAATGAATGTTAATCAGGAAAGTCCGATGGATTTGCTTTTTAAAACATACAATCAACAAAATATTTCTAATATGATTTCTCAAAACAACACCAGAAAGCAAATTAAATCAAATCAACCAGACGGTAAACACCGGCAGGCTTTGTCAATTTCACCATTTGTTTATTTCAAACAGCGTACTTTTCGCGCATGCGCAGTAGTTTGAGACCTGTGCTTCTCTCAAGTTAAAAATACCTGACCAGAAGTGAGTCTGTGTAAAGTAAACAGGGAATTGGACACAGCTCTACCATTGTAGTAAGTTATATAAATATTGCTGCATTTTCTTTACCTCTGCATCATGAGCTGCCTTCTCTCTCCAGATGTCTTTCACAAGGAATGCAGTGTCTCTCTTGCCTAATCTTCTGTTCCTCACTTGCCCCTCATACCTCAGGTACTTAGGAATGCTTTCATCAGTTCCCTGAAAGTGTACCATATTCTCAGATTTATACATATATGTATGATTGTAGCACTTTGAATTTTTAAAAAAAATTCTTTATTTTCTTATTTTGTGGGGATTCCTAATTGCAAAACTGAAAAATGACACCTTTTGAGATTAATTAATAAGGTTTTGATTCTGTTACTTCTACCCTCTCATTTTTGTCCATTATTCACTCTGCAAATTTCATTCACTACTTGATAACTACCATTGTTGTTTTTTCTTTTTTCTTTTTCATTTCAACATGGTTGTACCATGGTACTTAAGTAAATTCCAAACAATTACATCTACCTTATATACAAAATGTTGATTGTAATGCCAAACAATAGAGGTGCAGTAAGCCTACCTGGCCCTCAAAGTACTCAGCTCCTTCCTCCTCTCCCTTGCCACCCAGCTCTGTGAGGAGCACCTCCACCAATTCATTGCTGGTCTTCCCCTCAGACAGCTCTGCCCACCTCTCAGCACCTCCCTGGAGGACCTCAGCCACCTTGCTCCAGTCTGGCCTGGGGGAGAGACAGAGGGTAATGGGTTGTATTAATTTTTTAAGGTTTAATTGATAAAACATTATGATTCTTGTTGAGAAGGAAAAAAAGGGGAAATTTTTATTTTATCTTTGAAGAATATGAAATGGTATTATAAGATGCCTTTAAAGAAAAAGAAAACATTACAATTTGATACAAAAAAAATAAATAAATAAAAATAAAATAAAAATTAAAACTGGGACTTTTCACAGTATTCAAATACAAATGGCAACTTAAAGTAAAATCTGTTTAAAAATACAACAAAACAAAAAAATTAAAACAAATTAAACAATAAAGATAAATGCTTTTCTCAAAGCATTGCTCTAGCCTGAAAATTAATCTAAGACCCCTCCTCTTACCTTGGAGTTGAGCATTCTCTGAGGGACACACTTTCCTGGTAGAAGTCATTCCTCTGCTGTTCAAGCTGCTTGTTGATGTCCAGTAAAGTGCTGCAATATAAATATGAAAGGTATTACAGTCTATAAAATATCAGTTTGAACTGCAAAGATGGATCTTCATTGTAGCAATTATCTGTTGTACATGTTGAAAAAAAATTGATGGACATTGACACTACATGCCGTATATTATACACCTAGATGGTCATGATAAAAAAAAGAAAAAAATTAATTTAACACTTCCTCTCCATTCTGTAAATTATTACATAATTTTTTTCCAAACACTTACTCATATTCTTCTTTTAGTTTGTCAAAGTCATCTTGAAGTGTTGTATGTTTTTCTTCCAATTCCTAAACAAATAATAAAGTAAAAAAAAAATTATATGATATAAGGATACATAATTTACAATTAAAATGCCTCTGTAGCAGTCAAGATAGATCAATATAGAAAAAAAAAAAAAAAAACGACAAGAGTGAAGTATGAAAGGGAAACAGGAAAATTTTAGAGAGTCAAGTAATATTAAATCAAACAAAAAATCCAGAACAATATGAAATTGCTTATGACCAAATGCCTACATTCTGTAAAATATCCACCTATTCAGTTGTCTAAACACATGAAAACTAAACATCATACTCCATGCAGTACACTGCATATTATTGTATGTTTGACAATATATGACAAAGAGATGAATGGAGTCTACTTACAGCTAGTTTTGCTGTTATTTGTTCAAACTCCCTCCGCGACACGACCTCCCCATAATCTGCCTCCATGATGGCCAGTCTCTTAGCAGCTGCACGCTCATCTTCTCGCGCTTTTCTAAAAAATAAAAGAAAAAACTCTATGACTACATTTTCTTTTTACAAAATAGACATTTTAAGTTCTTTTTGGTCCAATCAGAGAATAAAAACAATGACACATTTGAAAGCTTCTCAGTGGAGAGGATTTCATCAGCTGTTATTGTTACTGTTAAAACAGCTACTTAAATAGACACAGATTAATCAGAAGGCAAATAACTCTGTTCTTAATCCTTGTTTCCAAAAAGCCCCAAAACTTTTACTTACTTGAGAGCAATCTTCAACATGACAGGGTCATCATCTTTGTCAATCTTCACCTCCACCTGTGTGGACATTAACAGGTCCTGAGTCTGAGATTTCAAGTCATTGATTTCCGAGATAAGAAGTTTCCTGGAATCTGCCTCATTCCTGTACATCTCTTCCTGACCCTCCAGCTCTTCCATTAGTTTCTTCACTGTGGCCTGCAGGGTTCTTTGTTCATTTGTCATGTCATCTATTTTTTTATAGAGACCTGCATTTTCTTTCTTTAAATCAAATATTTCTGAAAGTATGAACAAATGTGATGATGAGGAGTTTTGGAACATAGTTTGGTTGATTTTTCTTTGATAATGATGTTCATGGAAAATGAATAACAATAACTGTCTTATGTTACATTAGGTAAAAACAAGTGTATCAATCTATTTCTGTCTGGCAATCATCATTTTGACTAAGGTAAGTTCAATAATATGTCAGTAAAATTTAATACATCACATAAATATCTCCTTTACTCCATGAAGTAGTACAATTACAATAGTTTTTAAGAATTTTCAAAAATCAAAAGAAAAACAGATGAATTTTTTAACATTCAACTTGCAAATCAACATTGGCAATATAGTAAACAGGATGAAGCTATCATTCTCTCACCTTGCTTTTCCTGTTCTCTGTGCTGCATTATTTTCTGATCACACTGTTCTGATACTGTCACCAGCATTTGCTGAAATTATATGACATTTTGGTAACTTCAACTGTTTTAATATAATTAACACCATATGTTTCTTCCATTATCATTACTGTTGTCATTTTTACTGCCATCATCATAATTTTAATTACTTTCATAATTTGCATGATTGAAATGAATGAAAAATTGCAAGACCATTTCAGTATTTTCCCTTCTTTTGAACTTTTTACCACCTATATTCCTTCCATTTACCATAATTTCATAAGAATATTAATAAGATGCAAATGTCTTTTTTTTGTGTTTTTTTTACTTTTTTATGGGAAACAAATGGTGTAAAAGTAATAAATAAAGGGGAAAATACAGTGAAATGTTTCTACAAAAATATACCACACAAATCACAAAAAGATCCATGTCAAAAATCTACCTTTAGTGGTTCCAGCTGCCTAATTTGCTCCCTCTGGTAAGCTAGCATCATTTCATATTCATTCTTTATGGCTGACAGAAGTGGCTTGTATGTCTTGAAGTCTTCTACCAGGTATTCAAATACTTCTCTGTGAGCCTGGAGTAACAAGAAACACACATATTTAGAAGTTGCTGTTTTTTTTCCTATAAGCACCCTGAGTTTCAGAGGTTACTGACAGCTAGCTTTAATACTTATACTGGGTAAGTTTGGTATGCATTGGCAATTCTCAGTTTCTGAAACTCAGTGAGAATTGTTGGTTTTATAGCTGAATTTTTTTTTTATAAATTTATACTTGCAAGTACCATAAAACACATAATTACAAAACTGACAATAACCTTCAGATATTTTGTTTTATACAACCATTAACCTAGGCTGTAAAGAAGAGATAAAATATTTTTGCTAATTAAAAAAAAAACTGTCTAGCAACTTTTAGAATTTTAAATCAAAGCTATGACATTTCACTCACTTGTAACCTTAACTCATCAGGTTTAACATCTGTCACGCCGAGAGCCCTCAACTCTTTCTTTAAGTAGGACTCCAATTGGTCGAGGAATCTAGGCTTTGGTATCATCTGTGGTTTTCCCATCTCTTCCTCATTCATGATCACCAGCTGTTTATTTCTGGACAGGTGTAAGGAGGTCTTGGACACAGAGTGACCTGAGGCATGTGCTGGCCATGTGTCCAACTCACCTGCTTTTGTATCCACATAAGGCTAGAATACAGAGAGAGAGATAGACACATGATATAGAAGAAATTATATAGAGAGACAGAAAAATAATATAGAACTAAGAAGAGAATAATATAGAGAGAAAGGGAAAAAATGTACATGAAATTAATATAGAGAGAAAGAAAAATAATATATATGAAAATAATATAGAGGGATGCAAAAATTAAAATAGATGAAAATAATATCAATATAATTATAATATTACATAATTCACATTCAACTGTAAAAGCCCTTTATCTTGAATTTTAAAGTTGACAAAATTAAATTAGAAGCATGGCTACAATGGGGAGATACAAACTTCCAGACATTCAAGTTTCAGATATTTCCTTTAAAATGATAATGAAAATAATAATAATAATTATTTTACCAAGTTAGACCAAAAAGTAACAAACAGCACTGTGGTTTACAACGATTCTTTTACCTTGAGTGCATGTGGCTGGGGAAGATTGTACTTGATATTGGATCCAGAGATAGTGTATGTTGGCCCTGAAAACCCCTCATTCTGTCTGGAAGAACCTGGGGAATATTCTGCTATTTGCCTGGAATTTAAAGAGACTGTTTAACAGAATGCTTTCCAGAAATGAGATCGATTTATGAATGCTGTAATCAATGGATTTATTTTTAAGCTGGTCATACGCCACTGGCGTACATGAGTTACCTGTCACCTACCATAGCGTTCTTGGTACTTTAAAACATGGGGGTATCTAAATCAAAGTTTCCTTTATATGATGATACAATCCATGTGGCTTAATAATTTATCTTCAGTCATATACATGTGTACAAAAAGGCTGCAGCCACTGTATGCTGTCCACAACAATATACATGTACCTAATAAAATAATTCAGTGTTTGTTTGATTCTAAACTGAAACAATATTGAAATTGGTAAATAAGTTGTTCATCTCTCGTATTCATTAAAATTTGTCATTGACCGTCTGCATGCCCCATACACTGTAAGTGCAATGTGTTGGTGTTTTAAAAACACTGTAGTTAAATATAAACAACACAAATTTCATCAACTTACCCTTGAATAGGCGGTAATTTCGCAAGAGCTAGCTTTCCCGAAGACATATTAGCTGTCACTTAGTTATTCTCTCTCGCTCCTTTTTAAGTAGTATGCTTTTTATGTCAAATACTTGTTTAAATTAAACATCAATACAAGAACTTTACAATCCATGCAGTCTGCTCATGTTCAAGATGGCGGATTGTTATGGTTACAGTTTGTCGTTAAAGTCAACCTGGAATTGCAATATAGATTGGTACCGAAGGAAAAAGTTGGAGAGTATAAAAAACACTGATTATACTGCAAAATGTCTCAAAAATCATTTCATCAGGTACATTGAGACACCAAATTTGAATCACAAATTAATTGTTTTGTTAATATTTTAACGACAATGGTTTGACGGCTCTAATTATGAACCGACTTGCGGTAAATTTCATCCGGGCTATGAAATCACAAAGATGGCTACGAAAGGTGCCCCTGTTCCAGGGGATGGTTCAAATATCACGCCTCAGCAGCTTACTGATCGTCTCAAGGTCCTGTATCCAGCTGTAAATGAAGACGAGACACCCCTTCCGAGATCATGGAGCCCTAAAGACAAATACAACTTCATTGGATTGTCGCAAAACAATCTGAGAGTACATTACAAAGGTAAGCTGAACTTCGTCCAAGTTCGTCTTGCCTCGGCTTGCTTGCCTATACAATACTCATTTACATAGTGTAAAAGTTGATTTAATCCACACGAGTCTCAATGGCTGTTGGTATAAGGACGTAAAAAGGGAACATACTTAATAATGTCGGCACTGACATTGTCGAAACTAGTTCGGGTGATTTTTTAAAACCAAAAGGAAACAAATCACGGAAAAATGAACAAAGACCTTGCCATGGGCGCATTAGTCATTACTTTGTGTGGAAATCGTGCACCCTTCCGGACTCAAATGTTGCTGTGCAACAGTACCCATTCTTTTACAAGCTTAGACCTGATAAACCAACAGCAGCTGAAACACAAATTCTATATTTTTTTCATACAAGTGACAAGTGACAGAAAATGTAAGGTGACAAAAATAAAAATGATAGTAATTAATAATAATGATAGTAACAATCTCAAATATTGTTGCACTTATTTTTTTGCACTGTTTTTGCAAAAACGCACGAAGTCACCATTATAACAGGTATTTGTTGGTTTTAGTGTAATGTAGAATAAAAATGTTGTGCTAGTTTATTTAATATAATTTATCATTTAGTAATTTATCAAATTATTCATTTGAGGGGGAAGTGACTTTTGTTGGAATATGTCACAACTACATTGTAACACATATTAAAAAAAGGTTACAGAAAATACACTTTGAATAAAAGTAAATCAGAATTTTGTATTGAAATAATGAGTGTAGGTAGGAGTCATGAGTGCAGCATATTTAATACAAGATTATAATTATTTGTAGACTTTTCTCAGAAGATATATTAACAGCTTGTGCTATCACATGCAGTGTACTGAAATACTTCTGTGATCCATCAGAAGTATTGTTAGAGAGTTACAACATGACTATTGTTATTCAACATCATTATTGATCATGTTGTTAGAAGTTTACGTAACATTATTTCTGGTCAGTCTATATTTGCAGGGGCGGATTTAGGCCGTCTTCTGGGTCTTCCAGAAGACGGTCAGATTTTCAAGTTTACATTGACGGGTATACAATTTTTAATGTTGGAAGACGGTCAAAATTGGAGGATGAATCAACAAAGATAATTTGGAAGACTGTCAGTATATAGCTCTGGATCCGCCCCTGATTTGAATGATTTTCCTTGCTATCAAGGACCAAAGAAGAGCACAGTAATGAGTGATCATGCTAAATGGTAATGATGCAGGTGGCTGGCACTAATAGATTGCTTGTGTTGGTAGGAATAGCATGTGTTTCCCTTGCCTGGACCCTGCATGCTGGCTGCCATTAGTATTACATAACTCTAGTCCAGTTATAACAGCTGACTCCTCCTAGTGTACAGGCATGTTCAGATGTATTTTTTGACAAAGAGAGACATTTTGTTTTTCGCACTGTACCCAGTTGTCAAGGAATAGGCAAAAGGGCCACATTTTACCTGACATCTGTGAACTATATTATTGGTCTGACTGGATTGATTATGTAGCTCACTGATATTTCAAACCGCATTTTCGGTTTGTCCTAGTCTGTGTGCACATATTCATGTTTATGTCTTAATGCTCATTTTCTCTTTCCATTCATTTGCTTATGATGTTTAAGTACCTTTGTAAAGAGCACATTTGGTGATGTTCTCGACCAGACCTGTGTTCGTGAAATCAATACCAGTGCTCTGGTCTATTGCCGTGAGATATGGATCCACGGCACTGCACATGCTGTAATGGTATGATCATGAAAGAAAGGTTCATTAAAAAATGATAAGAATACCATGCATTGGAAAAATCTGAACAGCTGTGTGAAGTCATCTTCCTCTTTCCTATTTACACATGCAGATATGACTTCATAAACAAGATCAGGTCATTTTTACCTGTGTCAGCACTGGCCCGTGTTTGTAGGCTCAGTTTGAGTTTGCATTTGGTTCACTATTTAGATAGGAAATATCTAAATGGGTTCACTTCTGTTAACGTAGCTTAACTAAATGAGTACACAGATGCCATGTTAAATGATGCACAGCCAGATTTGATTTTCAAAACTTGTGCTGATGGAATATGCCACTAGTGGTATTTTGTCTCCATTTGAATGGATTGTTGCTGTTCAATAATTCATTCATAGCTAATGAAGAATGAATAGGGTTATATTGGCTCATATTGGGAGAGGAGAGGAGAGGAGAAGGGTCTGGGTGTGAATTTCTCATTGTATTGCAATTTCGTTGAGAAGATCATAATATAGCAAAGTATGTCTGACAGTCTCAGCCCTGGTGCCATGTTATAGAACATCAGAGTCCCTGAACAGCTTCAATTTATAACCTTACACATAAACCTTTCCAGGGAAGCTGCCTGCTTGAGTTCATGGTCTTAACACCTAACCCTGAGTTTACCAACACCTTTCAGTGCTTTATGTATATGTGCAGAATAAACCAACTTCAAGCTAGCCAGCAAAGAGCAAAGGCACACATCATATTACACAGAGTCAATTTAGTTTTGTTTTTGAGGTAGCTGAAAATGATTTATAGTTGTTTGGCATTAAAAGTTTTAGATCTCAGAAACCTTGTGCTTTAATTTAAAGGCGCCAAGCATTAGATTTTCCTGTGAAAACAGGTTTGTTTTTCTTCTACCCATTCCCTGCCAACTGTTTGAAACACCAATCAAAATGAATTCATTTTACTGGCTGTGCCAAACATAGGGGTTGTTTATAGGGGACTCTCTTACGTAATAGTCATGTTTTGTTCATAACAACTTCTAAGTTGTCAATTTTTCAAAATGGTGCTATATGGAGAAATAATGGTGGTATATGGAGAAATAATAGTGTTAATTGGAGAGCTACAGTATGTGACTTGATGTATTAAGGCCTAGGGCTCTGACACTCAGGGTGCACCATGGCTAAAGTTAAATCAATAGGCACATGGTATTACACAGAAATCATTATCAGCAGGCATCAGTTTAACACTGGGATGTACATTGCTAATCTATATATATATAGCACTCCTATGTATGTACTATCACTGCATTATATATTGAACTGGATCCAGAGGCAGCAACAGTGATTGTTTATATATTATAATATACTTTGGCATCTTTCCATATTTATGATAGTGCAGTATATATAGCCTTATAGTTGGAAGTTATCAATGTTTCATCATTCAGAATCACCTTGAACTATAAAATTTTATTTCTCTATTTTTATGTATCAGTATGTATTTACAGATTTCACATGCTTTGTGGGAGATTTTGTTTTTTGGAAGTGTTTTGCTGAGATAAAATAATCTCTAACTAAAAAAGCAAAGAATGTAAGCCAAAGCAGTAGATAAAATCTGATATGTTTACAATATTTACATGTACGTTTTGAATGTACAATAGCTAAGTCCATTTATAGGCACTCTTATTTAAACACCAGGCCTCTGTTAAAAAATATCGAAGCTCAGTTTTTCTAGCTAAATTTTTAGTTACTAACTACTAACATTACAGCTTTTAAAACTTTGCAACACACTTATGCCTGTGTAATCAAGCTTTTAATGCACACGAAGAAAAAATATTACAGGGTTTGCATGGTCACAAAGGCTCAGTTTATCTTCTATTTAAGGGCAAGAGCTATAATAGGAAAGTGGAAACATGATCAGTGTAGTCTTTAGGTTTATAAAGAAAAGCCCAACAAAAGGATAGAGTTCATGGGGGGTCACGCCGCCCTGCTAGTAGCTTTTCAGAAACATCATTCTCTGATTAATGAAGCCGTGTTCACACTAGACATACACAAATTTTAATTAAAATGACTTGAGCCACAAATTAAGTACCCCAATGTCTGTTAGAATGTATTCAGAACAAGTTGATCTGCGGACTAACAGATCTGAGGACTAAACATGGCTGATCCACATAAAAATGATGTTGCTAAAACCCTGATGGTCTCTCCGCCTCCACATATGCCGTCACTGCAAGGGCCTAACAATTTAAACTCGGGAGCTGAGATTTAATGGCGTGTGTAGAGGTGGACAGACCATCAGGGTATTGACAGTGGCCTGCTTTTAAGTGGGATCCACCATATTTCATAGGCAGGACCCCGAAACTCGAAAGCATCGCGCATTGCGAATAGCGATATCACATAGAGGTTACAATGTATTATATGGGGCAAGTGTGGGTGAGTTATGAAATCCAGACTCGTGCGCTCGGCCACAATGTGCGACGCTATAGGGGGCCAAGTCTGATGGAGAATGATTCAAGTGTTATGTTTTTAAATGGTATATCTCATATACTGTTCGTGATCTAGTCTTGTAGCCTGTAGCTTATTCTTGTGCAGGTGCTGAGCAAATTGATAATTTATTGAAGTGACAAGCTGTAATTTACTGACATGGAAGTGCAAGTCTATAATTATGTGGCAGTGAATCTGTGATATTGAAATGCTGTATTCTGGGGATGAGGAATTGGGATCCCATTTTTATGCAGATAATGATTTATGTTACTCCAGATCTGGCTAAAACTTCATAGGTATATTTCCTGCTGCATATACTTGTTAAGATCCCAAAAACTTTTGAGTACAAAAACTGCAGAGTGTAAGCTTAGCACTAGGTGACATACAGAACTTATTATATTTATATATTTTGTAATGACCCTTGTCCAATCCCAGATTATATATATATTTAGATTATAGATTTCTTTCTTTCTTTTTCTTATCACTTTAAAGTAATTTATAACCCAAACAAACTTATTTGCTAAATCACTGACCAAGAGGGATACACCAGAGAACAACGAAAGATGACCAGGATTAGTCACTGGGGCTTAAGGGGCCAAGGGATCATCTCTTGACCTTAGTCTCACCCTTTGTGGATTATATCTGGTCAGGATAATATTGATCTTTTTCTGTAGAGGTGGAGAGAAGTCTCTGAGGTTGGGTCAGGTGTGTGATGCCTTCTATCTTGACAGGTGTCTGTTATGTGATGTCTTTGATACTGTTGTCCTCACTGAATGTGTCAAACACAGTGTGTGTGTGTGTGTGTGTGTGTGTGTGTGTGTGTGTGTGTGTGTGTGTGTACTAGTATGTGTGTGCATACATGTATACACGCATGTGTGTGTGCTTGTGTTTGTGTGTACGAGCATGCATTTCAAAATATGTGTACGTAAATATATTGTATTTTGATGGAAGAGGATTAAACATATTTTATACAGCTTATAATGTGTTTCCCTTATATGCTATACATCTTTCATCTGAGAAAAAGGGCAATGCACCGTTCGGTTACTACTATAGGGCTTTGCCTTGTGAAATCAATAGCTGTGATAGCAAGTGCTCAGTAATGCCAACTAGTACTTGGGCCTCCCATTGTCACTCTACTGAACAATGTCATTCTGAAATATATCTGAAATATTTAATGAATGATGGAAATAGTTACTCAGCTAATGTTTACACCAAATAGATAAAGAGCATGAACAAATAAGTGAAGTAACACAGTCATATATAGTGCATTCACAAAGTGTTACAGTCATATGTGGTACATATGTCACAGAGAGTGTATGGACAAGTACTCAATAGAAGAGCTTGAGTCATATGTAGCACACATAATAGAAAGTGCATGAACTTATAAATAGAAGAGCCTCAGTCTTAAACATAGCCCATATCATGGAAAGTACATAAACAAAGAAAAAATAAATGAGCCACAGCCATATATATATATATAGCACGTATGATATCATATACAGTACATGAACAAAGAAATAGAAGAGCCTCAGTCATATATATATATATATATATATTTACATATTGGACATATCCTAGACATGGGAATGCCCGGGTGCTGCACCCAGTACCTTGTGGGTTGTCATTAGGGATAGTCTGTCCTGGAAGATAGATGTATTTGGTGAAGTCACAGAAATGAGATGACTGCATTAGGGAGTGAAGTCATGTTCTATCCAGGGGCCCCTTCTTAATCATGGTGTTTGTGAGGAGGCAGATGTGTTGTTAACCTGTATTTTCTAGTATAGAGTATGTGGGCTCACTTTTGCATAAGAAGAATTTTCTAATTTGGCCAAAGAAAATATATTTCATTTTTTCTTTTTTGACAGATTTATCGGTATGTAGTGTCATTGTCTGATTTTGCCTAAATTATTCAGCTATACTGCTGACAGAAATAAATCCGAGAGTATGCTTAGAACATTCAAGTTTGACTAGCTTTTACACACGCACGCATGCATGTGCACACACGCACACACACACACAAACACACACGGCTTGATATCGGTATCTGGGGCACCTACAATATATATTTGAATTTCCCTGTTATGGATGATCAATAATTGAAGCTTATTGCATCATTTGTACCACACACATTTTGTACTTTTCCAGGAGTTGGCAAGACCCACAAAGATGCAGCCAGCGTGAGGGCAATGCACCCAATACCAGCCTCCTGCGGAATTTATTACTTTGAAGTGAAGATTATCAGCAAGGGCAGAGATGGGTATGCTTTTGAATGTTGGAGTGTTTCTCTATCTAAACACACACGCACATACCCAACCACCCACCCACCCACACACACACACACACACACACACACACACACACATGCATGCCCATTCTCAGGCAGCCAGGCAGGCACGCACACATGTATACATACACACACACATACACACATGTATGCAGTCGCACAAAAAATGCATACTTATTACATACACACATATGGATGTATATTTATTCACTCAAGCATACACACACACACACACACACACACACACACACACACACAAATACAAAATTATTATAAGAGACTCAGTTCTGAGTTGCTCAGATACAGCAGTATCTACCCAAAGGTGTGTTGTTTTTGACTAACCTGACCTGTAAATGCAAATAATGTGGTTAGATAGACAGATTTATCAACAGTTACTGTAGTGAAGTGTCTGGGAAAAATTCTACAGAGAAAAGGATAAACAAACAGATAACGAGCTCTTTCGAGTTGTGTCTTGTGAGTAATGATAACGTCTGATAAACGTTATAGTATAATTCCAGTGTTATTCTCATGTTTTTTGTATACCTTGGCCCTGTATTTACCTGACCTACTGACAGTAGATTATTTTGATCATGTCTGTAGTCCATATCTTTGAATCTTTATGGTCGAAACTTCTGTCATCCCAGGGCATGGCTTTTTTTGTGAGACAAAGATCTTTAATTTTATATATTGATATGCTATGATACAATACTTCAGCTCAAAAAACTGCACGCTTTAATAAGATATATTTAGCACTATATTGTCTGTTCTAAAACAGTATAGTATAAAGGAAAAAATATTTCAAAAATTAAAAACTACCCTATTTCAAGAAAATTTTTAACTACCCTGTTTTGAGCCCATATATTTCATTTATGGTGGTGTTTTTATTAAATATGTCTGTCTTTTGACAGCTTTCTTGCCTTGTTCAACCAAGATATTTGATCTTTGACATGTCAGACCTAAGTTTTTTTCAGGTTATTTGGGTTTTCCACTAGACTTCAAGCCACTAAAAACTCCATCATGTGACCTTAACCCAAAATTCTCCTCTGTTTTGTTTTGATATTGTACACAAATGTTGCACGCCATGCCTGACTCAACCCCCCCCCTCCCTTTCACTGACTCTTAATATTAATGCATTGTCTTCTGATTTGGGCTGAAATGGATTGACCACATTTATATTCCCTTAGTGGCTCTTGTCAGGTGTGAATCTATGTCATGTCAGTCAGGTGCAGTTAAACCAGCACTATTCCCTTGTCCTTAGTTCTAGTCCCAACAGATGTCCTCACATACGGTGACTGTCATAGCTGCTGTACCTATTGTCTGACAAACATATAGAAGAAAGACCAAAAAATTGGGTCTCTGAAAAAAATGCTAAGTTTGATTTGATATAGCTTTATCCAAAATGCAGAATTGAGTAATACATTTTATGTCTTTTCCTTTGGACTTTGTAAGACTGTTGAACTTTCGTATCTATATTTAAAAGACTAAGAGTGAATGATAAATATTTGATTAATGTATCCTTAAAATTAGACATACTAGTATTGAAATATTTCAGCTCTTTTATTTGTTTCATCAAATTTTCCGTTTGCCTGTTCTCTGGTGTAAACTTCCCTTTTCCCTATGGGTATAAACATCAGTTTTATAAGACATTTTGATGATTGCCTTCAAGATATACCATAAAACATAGCAGCAATCTATATATTAACCTCAAGTAGAAGACATAAGTTGTGATCAGATAACCATTGGAAAGCCAAACAAAGGACACGATAATTACAGTATGGCTGTGGGCAGGGCAGGATTAGATTGGCTTGGTTCCATGTGGTTAGAAATTTGAAAAAGTGCATACTGTGATAGGTTGACCATTCTCTGTTTGAAATGGGACTTAGGAGACATTAAGAATGAGTTGGGATGACCTAGCTAGTGCAACCTAACTCCACGTGAACACTCACTGAATGCAGTCAGATTAACAGACTTGCATGCCTCTTTTTGTGTCTAAAGTAGTCGTAGATCACCACCTTCTCTATATTCTCCTCAAGCCCTGGAGGATGTGTGTTGGCCTGTTAGTCTGATTATATTCAGCGAGAGTTCCCATGGAGTTGGTGATCAGTAGCTATCCCAATCAACTCATCCTGAAAGGCCCCTTATGAAGGATGGGAACACCCTGAGATTTTTAGAGATCACTGGGAACTTGTGTCTCTACTATAAATATTCCTCTTTCCAGTTTATTTAAACTGCCTGAGAAAAGATTATGATACAGTTAATCATTATGTTCTTATATTATGTGCTCTCTTTTTCCAGGTACATGGGCATTGGTTTGTCAGCACAGGGAGTGAACATGAACAGATTGCCAGGTGAGAGAGAGAGGGGGTTGTGTAGGGTGTGTCCACAATGTAACCATCATACTGGGTAGTACACTTTAAGGAAACTGTCATAGGTAGTTTGAACTATTTCTGCTTGGACTCTCACTGAATGCAATGAGATTAACAACAGAATAATAGATTGTCATTGTGGATTTTTGGAAATGATTTTTTCCTGGGTTGAAATAGATGGAAATCTTCAGATAAAAGATTACACAAAAATTTCAACTCAATAAAGGGAACCGGAGAAGATCAGCATTGGTCAGAATTGTGCCGGAAGTGACGTGCAGTGGTGTTAGAAACGAAGCTGAGTGGTCATTTTAACATAGAGGTGAACGGCAGTGAAGACGGGTTGTCGGAGGAAAAAGAAGTTTTCTAAACAACATGGTAAGATAACTCTCTTTTTTTACGCATTTTGGGCAGAGAAAACTTGTAGAAATAATAANTCATGCATTTATTATTTCTACAAGTTTTCTCTGCCCAAAATGCGTAAAAAAAGAGAGTTATCTTACCATGTTGTTTAGAAAACTTCTTTTTCCTCCGACAACCCGTCTTCACTGCCGTTCACCTCTATGTTAAAATGACCACTCAGCTTCGTTTCTAACACCACTGCACGTCACTTCCGGCACAATTCTGACCAATGCTGATCTTCTCCGGTTCCCTTAATTCATCCCTCCCCCTCCCCCACCGCCTCAATAGATAAATGATTATATGTAGTTAAATGACTGAATAGTAAGTACTAGTACTAGTACTAGTAAGCAAATGATAAAAGTCAAGTACAGAACAAAATAAAATAGTAATGTAAATAAATAGTTAGACTGACTAAGAAAGTGAGAGAGAGGCACAATGTGACAAATTTAGTGAAATTATTTTACTTACAAAATGAAATGATTTAACTTACAAAAGAGTACAAAGAGTTCATTTGAGGTAAATTGTTTACAATTCTCTAGTGGCAGGGAGGACGGATGTATTTAGTTCTGGAATTAAGGTTCAGGTCTTTTAAAATGTCATGTTGCTCAACTTGTGTTACTTGAGAAGACCACAGTGACAGATGTGTCCACATGAGATAGTTGACAGTCCACTGGGTGGGTTAGAGTTAAGGTGTTATAGCTTTACAACATTCCATTTGGCTCTCTACAAGCAGGATGTTCACTTGTTTGTACACCATTTCTATGTAATAAGGTAACCAAGGCATTCTCAGTTGGGAGCTAGCTTGATGCTCCTAGTTTTTAGAGCTAAAAGTACTTTTAAGCTTTAAAGCCTAGGCATGTTCACAGTTAGAAGTCTCGAGTATCATCATTGCAGTTTACCATGTGTTTTAGTTTAAGGTTGATCCTCAGAAATTTTTTCTAAGAATTTAAGGAGCTTAAGGCCTTCTCATCCTGTTAATCTAGGGAGAAGAAAAAAAGGAGCAAAATCACCTGCTAGCTGAAATCTTGCCAAAATATAAGGTTCAGAACTTCTAATGGAGCACAGCAATTATTGCCTTCACAAAAATCAACAAATCCTAATTCCCTAGAAAGATACTTTGTCTTTCTGCAGTCAACAGTTAGATTTTTAAAAGATCTGAAATCTTGAACACCCCAATTCTAATTTAAACGTATTTAAGGCCCAGCATGGAGGCATATCAAGTTGACCCAAAGTGACCCTGGCAGTGACCCTTCAGTTATAACCCAAGAGACCCAAACTGATCCAGTGCAACACACTTTCATGATGTAATAAGGGGGGAGTGTGTGTTAGTAGGGGCTCTGTAGTGTAAAAACATCCCTGCTCCACCACCAGGCCAAGTAGAGTGTGTGTAATCAGATTACTAGGAGGTGAACTATCAGCTTATTCATGGCTGTGCTCTGAAAGCATGATTACCTTGGCAGGATATAAATAGTCTTAATACCTGTCTGGGAGAGCAAAGCCATATGTTATCTCATCAACTGAGCTTTTAGTTGTGAACCTAAGCCAGGTAAGACGGCAGCACTGGAGATAGTGCACTTCTGGTCTACTATTGAGTGTTACTAAATGGTTTATGATAATGGAAATTCCTTTCACCTCAAGTACGCATTTTCCCCCCACAACCCATGCTAGCACTAAATCTAAGTGCGTGATATATGTACATGGTGAAAGAAGAAAAAAACTTCAGAATAAATTGATTTCCTGCTCTTGCATAATAAACCATGAGTAATAAGCTTTAGATGAAATGAATTTAAGAATAAGTTTCCTGTGGTTATTTCAGGCAGAAAGTAAAATAGATACAGAAAGGAAATGTTAATTTTATATTGCATGGATAGTTATTGTTCCTGTATCCTTTTATTTTGTTCTGTTGCCCATTGTGTAATCTAAATGTTTAAGCTCTGTGTAATCTAGATGGCTTAGCAAAAAATTGTAAGACGGATAACAGATTAGTATTTGTGATCATAGTAAATAGTGTAGATGACCATACCAAAGTCAATATTTATGGCTGAAACTAAGTGGCCATTTATAAGCCAGACCCGGCCTGTGTCCAGCTCAGATCAATAAAATGTTTGAACCAAGAAGAAATGTGATTGATTTCTAATCAATTTCAGGTTGGGACAAACATTCGTATGGTTACCATGGAGATGATGGGCATTCATTTTGTTCCTCTGGCAACGGTCAGCCGTATGGTCCTACGTTCACCACTGGTGATGTGGTGGGGTGCTGCATCAACTTGATTGACAACACCTGCTTCTATACCAAGAATGGGGTGAATCTGGGTGAGATAACTTAGGCAGTTGATGTGTGTGTGTGTGTGTGTGTGTGTTTGTGTTTGTGCATGCGGGCTTGCATGCGAGGTTGAATCTAGGTGAGACAACTTGGTCAGTTGGTATTTGCTTGCTTGTGTTTGTATGTGCATGTGTGCATGCGAGGTTGAATCTAGGTGAGAGAACTAGGTCCGTAGGCGTAGGTTGTATGCATGCACGTATACTACGGAGAATCTAGGTGAGGTAACTTGGTTAGTAGGTGTGTGCGTGTGTGTGTGTTTGTGCATGCATGCGTGCCTGCTGTGGTGAATGTAGGTGAGAGAACTTGGTCACTAGGTGTGTTTGTGTTTGTGTGTGTGTGTTTGTGTTTGTGCATGCGGGCGTGTATGTTGGCTTGCTTGCATTCAAACATGAGTGCATGTGTCTGTAAAAATATTGATAATATCTAAAGAACAGAGTTGTCTGTGTCTGTGTTTGCAGAGATAAGTCTCATATTTACTGTGATGCAGAATGATGGAAGGACAAAACTTGTGTTCACATATCAAATTGCCAGGATATCATGAAATTAGATCAAAACATGATTGCATAAATATGTTATTATGTACATAACAGTTATTTTTAGCCACATTTTAGCTAATTTGTATTCCAAAAATGAAAGCTTTACAAAATGTTTTTCTAGTGCTTGGCATTATAATTTCCCAGGGTTCAGCTTCACCTCTTGTCCTGTTGTTTAGTCATTGCTAATTAAACATTGCTGTCTTTATTTCCTAATGTTTTCTCCTTCAGCTTGACAGCCCATTTTCCTGTGGTGATTTGTTATGTTCACTGTTTTAAAATATTGGATCCTGTTATTCAATTTTGTTGGGTGAAATGCAATGTCTTTGTTAATTGATGAATCAGCCATCACCCTATTTGATACTTCAGGTGCTGAAAAACTTGATTTAAAAGGCTTGGTTCATGTTTATTGTCACATATATAATGATTACAGACAGTCTTTATGATTAAAAGATGACCCTTCTTGTTTAACAGTAACTTATTTTGTGTTGGGAGTGTTTTATTGCCTGTGGATTCAGTATTGTTGTGGCCATATGTGCTTCTTTGCTGAGATTAAAAGTCTTTGATTAATATGTATGTTATTTATGAAACAGTTTTATTATATAATTTTGACAGATCGCCTGTGTGTGTGTGTGTGTGTGTGTGTTAGAGAGCATGTACTTGTGTTTGTGAGTATTTGTGTGTATATGGATGGGTGTGTATCTTGGCATTTAAAGTGTTGGTTGGGGAAAGCAGCAAAAATATGAAAATTGCTGGTTGAAAGGCTGTGTGTAGTCACCTGTAGGCAAAAGTAGTGATTAGTGTTCTTTCTGGATACATTAGCTGTCAGATGTGGGTGTTCATTGATCTAAAAAGATATTAAAAGTGAGTGATATTACATGTACTACTACATGTATTATGAGCAAAATTAGTAACATAAGAAGTTAATGTCTATAATAGAGAGGCTCATAGTGGGTAAAGGGTTGTAATTGGATTTTCATATTCTTTTTCAGGTGTGGCATTCACAGATCTCCCAGTAAGTAGTTATTTATAACTTTAAAACTACTCCTGTTAAAGGCTGTGTTTAACGTTCATGCCAGAAATAAAAAGGGAAAATACTTCAAATTTAAATTGGCCACAATTTGTGTTAAATCTTCTATTAAGGAAAAATGAGAATTGATGTCAGTGGGTAATTTGTGTGTTAAATTTGAACAACCCAGAATCGACTAACACTTGACATCTAATTCCTTTTCCAGCTAGAGGAGGTTTTTCCCATAATAGGCAGATTGGTAGGACCGTAGGAAGATATTTTACATCCCTCTGCTATCTAACTCCATGTTAGATATGTCATATTAAATGATGTACCTCTTCTTCCAGGGTAATCTGTATCCCACAGTGGGTCTCCAGACTCCAGGGGAAGTGGTGGAGGCCAACTTTGGACAGAGTCCATTTGTATTTGACATAGAGGACTACATGAAGGTAATGGGCCTATAGTCCTGTGGAAGCTAGGGAATCCTAAAGCCAGCATAGTAATTTGTAGCTACAGTGATTCTTTATATTGAATATGGTAGTTTTATTAATACCATATGGGATTTTGAAGTAAAACTGATGTTTGTGGTTCCAGGAGTGGCGTCTGAAGACCAGGACCACCATTGAACGTTTCCCTGTACCAGACAGAAGAGGAGAGTTCCAAACAGCTCTACAGAAGTAAGTCCAGGGATGCATGCCTCACCCCTTGTATACACACTGTGCCTGTAACGTGAAAATGCTGGACATGTATACCCTAAAAGTCAGCCAGAGAGCCCAGTTTAACACACTCTGCCCATAAAGTGAAAATGCTGGATTTGTATAGGTATAAAGTTGATCAGAGGGGCCTTTCACAGTGAATTTTATTGGCCTAGCTACTGCATGCCAACTCCATAGAGACTCTCACTGAGTGCAATCAGATGAACAGATTGACACCCATTCTCATTGTATTGTCTCTTCTGATTGTGTTCTAGCTCATATGTATTACTGTTATGTTTTTTTCCCCCTGTAGGATTGTGTCCACATATCTAGTCCACCACGGTTATTGTGCTACAGCAGAATCATTTGCCAGGAACACTGGGCAGGCGTTTGAGGAGGAGTTGGTGTCTATAAAGAACAGACAGCGTAAGAGAACTCAGGGTTAAGAGATGGGCTACAGTGATCTGACAATGCCCTGAGTAAAACAGAAACTGTGCTATGGTTAAAACATAACTTCCTGTTTTATAGAGGTTTTAAATGAAAAGAGAATGAATTTAATTTTTTTTTTTTTTAATGATTAAAAGTGTGTGATAGTGCAATTTGGTTGTTTGTAATATGGCTATATTTTCAAAGACAGGGAAGCATATAAAAAGTGTCAAATATCTTAGGCCTTACAGTATTAATTGGTTACAGTGTGTTATAGCATGAAAAGATCATGGGCATTTTGAAATCCTGCCTGCTCAGTTGTTCATAGTGGCTCATGTAAAGTGTTTATGATATTCTGTGGTTGCAGGAATACAGAAGCTAGTTCTAGCAGGCAGGATGGGAGAGGCTATTGACACCACACAACAACTGTACCCAGGCTTACTGGAGAGCCACAGTAACCTGCTGTTCATGCTCAAATGTCGCCAGTTTATAGAAATGGTCAATGGAACGGACAGTGAAGTGCGGGGCGCTGCCATACGCAGCCCCAAATCGCGTCACAGTAGTGGCAGCGGCAAGTCCAGTCCTAACATGAGCCCTGTCCACCACTCCTCATTTCACGGTGGACAGCGGTCAGCCTCCAACAGCTCTGGGAACAATAGTCCTAATAGGATTACTATAGCAACTAAAGGATCCTTATCACAACAACAGCAACAACAACAACAACAACAAAGTACACACAACAATGTGACATTGATTGATCCTATGGGGCTACCGTTACAGACTATATCTGAGTCAGATATGAACCATATGAACTCTATGAATGGCAATGCTGCCTGTACTACTACCACAACTGCTGCTGCTGCCACTAACAGGCTTATAGACAATGATGTGGAGATGGGCTCTCTAGAAGAGGAGTACCATTCCTCACACAGTAATGGCGTTTCGAATGGAGTTTCGCACACAAATGGAGTTAGTCGAGAAGAGCTGGAGTGTGATATGGGTATGTGTTTTGGTTGAATTTTTTTTTTCGTCAAATAGAAAAAAGTAATAAAGTTTTTAAAAAAGGATACCATAGAACACATGCATCTTTTATATACTATTCTTTAATGCATATAAGCTTAAATGCATTGATGGAATTACACAATAAGATGATGGGGGATGTAACAAAAATATGTAATGTACTTGGATAAATATTTGAAATTCCCAGAAAATGCCTTCATAAGAGCACAAATGTCTGATATATTGGTTTAAAAATGGAAAAAGCTATCAAGTTGTAATTTTATTACTGGACAATATATCAAGTGGGTAAAAATTGTAAGAAAACCTTGAATTTTAAGAGTTAAATTATCTGCAGTTGGTGTGTAATGTAACCTTATCCTATCATTCTTGAAGACACTAGTGAGTTTCCGCACCAGCAGAAGCGTCAGCTATGTGGAGGAAACCAAGCCGCCATTGAAAAAATGCTCCAATACGGCAGGGAACTTCATGCTATGAGTGTACAGCTACGCAATGAATATGGAAAAAACCAAGCCAATAAAAAGGCACTGCAGGTGGGGGGAAGTTGTTATACAGCATTATTTATCAAAGTTCTTAAACTGTCACAAATCTCAAAGAATTTATTTTATAAATGATATAGAATGTCATTCATGCAAAACTGGTGTAAGTAGTTATTCATTTCTTGGCATTGCTGTTTAGTTATATCCATAATATATCTGTGTATGTACCAGCATTTCTGTCTGTTTTATTTATAAATATCTGTGTATTTACCAGCATTGCTGTCTGTTTTATCTATGAATATCTATGTACTTACCGGTGTTGCTGTCTGTTTTATCTATTAATTAGTTCCATCTATAAATATCTGTGTATTTACCAGCATTTGTGTCTAGTTCTACATAGAATCTCTCTGTGTACAGGATGCATTCAGCCTGCTGGCCTACTCAGACCCGTGGAACAGTCCTGTGGGTTTTCAGCTGGACCCTGTCCAGAGAGAACCTGTCTGTGCTGCCCTCAACAGTGCCATCCTAGGTAACTACAGGCACACGCATGCACGCACGCATACACACACACACACACACACACACAAAGTAACATAAATACATATTCAAAACTTTCATTTAACTTTTGTCTGCAGAAAAAAATCTTTCAAACAAGAAACATTGGAAAGTAATCAATTGGAAGATAAATTGTAAAATAAAATAATAATAATAAAAAAAAAAGACTGCCTAAAACATAATGTCTAATAACAAAACCGTTACGATGAAAACATTTATTGTTGTCGTTCCAGAATCACATGGCCTCCCTAAAACCCCTCCACTCCAGCTTATCATAGGCCAAGCCACAGAGTGTATGAAGATGATGGCTAAAGTGGGCGCGGGATCCTGTGCTTTTGCCTCAGTTACGGACTACTTACACTAACCTAGGTGCATGATTTAGCTGGACAGTTTTTACCATTGCACTGCACAGAACGACCACTGACTCTTTCTCTCTCTGTTTAGACTCTACGGTTTTTTTGTTTCCAATTATGCAAGTCATCAAGATGGCTGCTTGTTGTACATGTAGGCTGTGATTGGCAATAGAAAGCACATCCTTTGTGTTTGATTGATCTGCAGTGTGTAAAGTGCCACTGGATATAATATTCTAGAGATGTAATAGGTAGGCTGGTAGCTGAATTGTTATAAAGCCTGATGGACATGGAATTACTACAGTTTATGATGTGTTTACTGAAAGAATTTTTGAATAAGAATTTGTAAATATATTGTAGGGCTCATCTTGATAATAGGTGGTGCTGCTCCACAGTAAAGAACCTGATGCTGACATGTGAAGATGACTTGCACAGAAAAATATTTGTAAGACAGAAGTATTGAAGTACAAGCAAGGATGGTAGAGATATTGTAGTTCAAGCAATGGGAATCATCATAAATAGCCTCAATCCAGACTGCCAGTATGGCGGAATGTCAAATGAGACTAGAAGATGTGTGAGGGTTGATGTTAGGTGTGGTTAACCTTATAGCCATTAGGGAGAAACTGTATGTGCCAGGAATGTGGTCTTAGATAGCAATACAAAAGTAACACACAAAACACAAAACTGTTGTGCAAATGACAGTCATTCTTCAGAACTTGAGATAAAACAGTCAGGAGATAATTTCTGGATAAATCAGTTTCTTATTCCTTGCGTTGCCATACTCGGTGTCTTTATTTCTTACCTCATTCTCCTCCAAATCCCCCCAAAAAAGTCTCTTGGTTGAACATTTAGTCACAATATTTGGGGACAACTGAGTTGATTCCAATTTCGCAAAGCAAGATTGCTGCAAAATAACGAGGTGTTAATTGTGTGGTCACTTGGGATATGTTTCATCTCGAGACCATAAGTGTTTATTAGATGACTTAATTAAGGGCTCATACCTAATGGAACTGTCATTCTATGTAGATTGATTCAACTGCGCGGGGACTCAAACTGAATGCAATCTGATTAACAAATTAACACACCTCATCCTGGCATTGAGTAGAATACAGAAAAACTGGTGATTATGTATGTTGGAAGCAAGAGGTGTGTTAATCTGATTGCATTCAGCTAGTCTTGGATTGATGTACTTTGTTTCAATGGGAATGAGCCCTGAGAGTTTGTTTTTATACTTTGAGGTGGCCACATAAACATGGGGTGTATGTAGGAGAGTTTTTAGCAGTGCTAATTGAGGTTTATGAAATGAAAGATTGTAAAGTTCATAACCAGGCATCCAGAGACAAGATGTTAATCCCAGAGGGAGAGAAAGAACCCCCCAAAAAATAGCTAGATTGATTCAGGTCAAACATGGTGTTATTTAATTTATACAATATCATAGTACATGGTGCTGGATTCTGATAATTATACCTGTAGGAATAGACAAAGGAAACGAGATATAGAAAGGAAAGCATGCAGGTTTAAAGGATTTTACAAATATTTATTTTATTTCCATGGAAAGTAGTGAGTGGCTTGCAGTGTATTGAATGGGTCATGTAAAAAAATGTGACGTCATGTAAAAAATGTGACAGACAGGTGTGATGTTGATGTGGCCATTAGACTTGGTATAAATATCTTTTGTAAATTGGCATTGGCCTTGCCTGACAGACCCTTGGTTTTGTTAGAATGCTTGAGCTACTACTGCAACAGAATGACACTTTGATGTGAAGTGTGATCACTTCTCTTTGGGTGATGATGGCATTTTTTTCTTTTTCCAAATTTGTTTGGAGGATAGAAATGTGCACAGAATAAGCCAGAAAAATATCTGCAGAAAATAACTCCTTGAGGTCATGTGTGAGCACCCAATCTGGCTGGATATTTTTATAGAGAACGTTGTGAAGTCTGGTGAGGTTACTGGTTGGGATTTTAAATCAAAGTTGCATCTTACTTGTGGTCAGACAAAAATTTCTTGCATTATGTGATATTGGGGACATGCTGTCAAGTAATGGGGTGAAATGTCACCTTCCTAATGTATTGAAAGGGAATTTATAATATTTATAATATTTGGAAAGAAAAGACACTTTTGAAACTTTCTTAAAACTAGGTTGAAATCAAAAACTTGATGTAATCAAATAATCACCTAATCATACCCTTAGTCTGACTAAGGCGATAATCACATGAAATGGCCTAATTAAGGTTTACAGCAGTTGTTGTAGTTCATTTTCAAAATAATATCTTACTCACTTATAAAAGAAATAGAATTTTTCAATACCCCTATATCTTTATAGCTTGACATACCTCACAGATTATAGATATTAGAAGGAATTTGGCAGCGAGTAATTCAGCAATAGGTTGATAGTATTAAGGAGAGCTGACATATTTTCTGACCAAAATCTGTTATACGAAAATCTGTTTATAAAAATATGCTGTCAATAATGAGAAACTATTTTGGTAATGTGTGCAAGTAAACGTGGATGCTTCATTTTCAACCTTGTGGAATTTTGAAAGTGGTCAGATTTGGAAGGATAGGGTGCTGTATGTATCTAGTACCATATGACATAGGCCTGATTTAGAATAGGGGACTTACTAGTCTGAGGATCAAATATGACCGACCCACTTGAATAATTCCCCACAGGATGTCCATTCAGTGTCTATTAGAGTATTAGATAGCAAGCTTTGTAGTGGGTCGCCATATTTGACCCTCGGACTAGTTAGTCCCCTATTCTGAATTGGGCCATGTAAAATTTTGGGTATTATAAAAGCAATTGTTTTCCTACACTTTTATTTTCTGGTGAACCATGTAGAATGGTGCAGATTGACTGAAAACTCGACACACTCAGGGTTCCATTACGCTCCCCAACTTACACAAGATGGGGAACTAACTCCCTAATGATTGATTTCTTTATTTATTTACATTTGTTGTTAATCTACAATAAAAGTGTACTCATCAGGGGGCTGTCAGTGAACAGGTTCAATTTTCTTCATGCAGGGAATGGGCCATGCGCGGTATTTTATTGCATATCTATAATTAATAGTCACTTAGTACCGTTCACATGATTGTAGACATTTGATATATATATATTATTGGTGATCTCCCGTTCTTGAAGTGTGAAGATTAATTATCAGTCAACCTTTAACATATTATTGTCATATTAAACATAGTACACTCAATGTTCCTGTATTAAATGAATAATTACTGGGTTGTATGCCAGACTTTACAGAAAATAAAAATTATTATCAGTGATAGGTTTTGTTTCTCTCTGGGTCAGGGCTTCAAAGGATTTTTAAAAAAACCTTAACGGTATTAATTTGTCTCTGTAAATTGTCAATTTATGGTGCAAATCTTTCCTAAGAACATTCTGAAAACTTGTTTTCACTTTGATCATGTCCCATTCATAATGACCAGTAAATTTTTTAAAATAAATATTAAATACAATGTGATGTACACTAATTAAATTTTAATAATAACAATAAAGAATAAAAAACTAACTCAGATCTGACTAGTTTTATTTTATAATTCTGTTAGTGTGTACATCAATAACAATATCTGGGTATGAACACTCCCCATTTCCCCTAAAACTGCTCTTCTGATCTCTGCTAGGAAGCATTCACAACCCAAATGTTACGTACAAATCAAATATAAAAATTCTGCTTAAAAGCCTTCCTCTCTGACTTTGGTAAAGAGCAGGAAATATCCCAAACAGTTGCCACACAAGCCACTCAATAGAGCTTTTCACAATGAGCATTACATATATATTTGTGATACACCCATGCTAATATATTTTGTCAAGTTTTACAGTTGCCATCTTATTGTCACATAACATTATTACACTTTACTCCCTTTCACAAGTTCACTTCTTGCTGTTTAGTAGATACTCAAATGGCCATGTTGAGGGAGAGCTCCATTCTCATGACCCCCTTACATTATAGCCTGGCTGTTATCGTAAGTGGTCAATCTCTTAAAACATATCGCGTACAGCTGTATCACAAAGATGTCACTCTCTGTGTGAAAAGAACTTTTTAATTAACCACTCTCACTACAACAGAATGACAGAAATCACCCATTAAAAATAATAATAAATAAATAAAAATAAATAAATAATAAAAATAATAATTTTAACAATAAATAAAATAAAAAAACTAATGTATGGGTGGTATGTATCACCAAACCAGCAGCTAGAGTTCAGCTCTCTTAATGCTGATAACAAACTTCAAAAGGGCAACTATACCACATTCAGAGATATTTGAAAAATATTCTCTGTCAAAACAAATCCCTTGGTGTGGTACATGAACTAGCATGTTACATGGATAATGATGATTCTATCAACAAAATATAACATCATCTCTATGATAATAAATTATCACACAAACTGCTTTGAATGTGTATATCCAAGGATATGACATAACAAAAATGGAAAAAGGGTAAAACTAAATGACCAGGGGTTTGGAGAAGGGGCTAAAGATAGGTAATTTTTCTTTGACTAGCCTAAATAGGGAGGCCACTCCTCTCCATACCAAATGGTAAATCCAGTAATGAGCAAAGCAAGTGGAGGGCAGTATTTCACTGATATATACTGGCTGTCTATGACTAGCTTGGGATAACATGTCTACATATTTTTTTAGAGAAACTGGGACATAAATGGAGTGGGACTACAGCAAAGATATTTAAGCAAATATCTACTTCCAGAATCCTGTTCTGACTTTTATTTTCCTGCTTCCTCTTTCAGTACTGTTATCTGGAAAACACGGAGGGATTGACTTGGGATTCAGTTATTCAATTCAATTATTATTATCTTTTCTGAAAACGAAGAGATATCCTAGAAAAATTACTCTCCTCGTGATGATGATAATAATGATGATGGTGATGATGATGATGATGATGATGATGATGCAGTCTCTTATGGCTGAAGCTTAGAGTAACTTGGGGGTGAAAACTTTCGCCTGAGATATTTGAGGATGTAGAGAGGAATACAACTGACAGAGGTGATCACCAGAACTTTCCACACAAAGTCCCAGCTCTTCAGAAAGTCTTCATCTGGAAAGAATAATAATAATAATAATAATAATAACAATAATAATAATAATAATAATAATAATAATATTTATTTAGAGTCTACAATCCAATTATTTTCAGTAGACCTTACAATACAATATGAATATATAGAAAGGCTAGTATATAATCGACTCAAACAAATTGATTTAAATAATGTAGAATTAAGTTTTACTTCATGAAGTCCTGTGAAATATATATTCATAATGATGCAGTTACAACTTTTACATTTTCTTGCCAGCTTGCTTCAGTAAATACTGTGTTGGATAAATATCTGTATTTATTTATTTTTGGAAAAAATTGTATTAAGCAACAGAAGACCAAGAAAAAAACTTACCAAAGTAGAAATTCTTGAGCACCACCAGAGATGCAACGTAAATGCCAAAACTGAAGATCTCCGCCACTGCCATCAGCCAATGCCAGGTCCGTATCGTCAAGGCAACCATCAGTAATTCTGTGAGGATGAGTGATGTGAAGGTGATGGAGACCACATGGATAAAGTCTTCATCAAATAACAGGAATGCACCATACATGATTATACCACCTGAGTGGATAGGAAATAAAGCACTTGTTAGACTTACTGAAACCATACACTTAAGATATTACTTTGTTTTGGTATTTTCAACCTATAAGTCAATAAGTCAGCCTCTGCATCAATGACCAATATAGGAGTTTCACATTTGTCAGAACTGAATGCCAGTGTCGGATCCAGTGTTTAAGCAGAGAGGGTTGGGGTGGAATGGTGTGGGGGTGGGAGTTGATACTGTTTTACCATTTCTAGCTCCCCATTTCTTTTTGGACATGCACTGCTATCTCTTGCATTTTTAGTCAAATTGTTAATGTTCAAACACTGTTAAAACTGATATAATGAATCAGACAGCAGAATCTTGAAGTTTAAACTGATAAATTGAGCTGGACAGCACAATCTTCAAATATTGTCCTATCTGATAAATAAAACCAGACATCACAAATACTGCTGTAGAGCCTGTATAATACCACCTACCTTGGTACAGACTAATCAGCACCCATAAGAAGAAGGTTTTGAAAGAGAGTGACCTCCCCTGGAATAATAACAGCATCAGGCTCAATTTTTCTTTTTTTTTCTCAAAATCTTTACTCTAATTCATTTTTTTTCTTTCTGGCAAGAATCATCTTAATATTCAAGTGCCAGTTACTGAGCTAATTATGGGATGAATTTTATTACACCAAAAAGCTGAATAATTTTGGCCAAATGAGAAATCTAAACTATAATAATATACAGCAAAGAACAATCCATTAAAAACAGCAGTGAAACATTGTACCTTATCCAAAGCAATTATACAATGATGAAAAAACACGACAAAAATGTGACTTTATGCACATGAAACACGACTTACAAAATCAAAGCAAATATTACCTCGCATTGATCATTTGAATATGTTTATCATATTATGATAATTATAAACATACTCCAAGCCTTACCTTAGTGAGGTCTTTATACAGTTCAGGATAGGTCATTGCTATCTCTGCAGATACATCTTTATCTAACACCAGAGAGAATACTGGGTACATGGTGTAGATAGTGGCATAGCTGGAATGACATATTAATACAGGGATACTAGGAAATGTAGAGTATTTTAACCTGGTATAATAGTGGCATAGATGAAATAATACATCAATACAGTGGCATTAGAAAATGTTGAACTTTTAAATCTAAAAGTTGTTTTGTATCTCTTAATACAGCACCAAAGAGAACAACAGGCACATGGTGTATTGAGTAGCATAGTTGGAGTTTTTGGAGAGTTTGAATTAACTGCTCTTTTTGCCAGAAAAAGGGTAAAATTTGATCTAAAAAGATAGTTTCATGGTAAAAAGGCCTACTTTTTCAGAAAAAAAAAAAAAAAAAAAAAAAAACTCCCCTTGAAATTGCTGGCTACAGGCCTGGTAACAGACTTGTGGCAAACCAGGTGGTGAGAGAGCAGCATATTAACTTACCCAACCATGAGGAAGCCAGGGAAGAGAGCTATGGAGGCAAAGTAGAAGACTGAGGAGAAGATAGCCTGCATGGTGGAGATGATCAGACCTCTGTGGATGACAAACTGGCTCAGGGATGCTGATCTCTTGTAGCTGGAAGAGATGTTACAGGTACATTGTAAGAAGAATAATGAATTGTTTTATTCACTGACTAAAAAACTGTTTGAAGATTCTATGATAAAGGGATATTTAGAGTTCAAACAGTAATTGCATCATGCAGTTAATAAAGTTTTGGATTATGAATATGATGATGTGTAATTGCCACTTTCTATAACATTGCCTACCGTTTAAAGTGACGTGGGATATGAAACATTTCCTTTCAGAAAATATTTATTGGTGAAAAATTAACAAAGATGTGGTACTGTGTACCCTGTATCACTGTAATAATGACATAAAATGATCACCTGTTTCTGCCGTGCACCAACAATAACCTGGCCACATGACTGAACTGTGTAATAGAGAAGTCAGCTGCTAGCGACGCCTGCTTACCCTCCTATATAAAAAAATTAAAAAATAAATAAATAAATAAATAAATAAATAAATAAATAAATAAATAAATAAATGTCTGAGAAAATCTATCAGTAACATCCACCCTGCCTTACTGATTCATTTCAACATTCTACACCTAAAATCTAGGCAAAGTAAAATCTATTAAGATATTATTTAGTAATATACATATTAAGTTTGACTAGAGTTCAAATGATGTAATATAGGGTGGAGCTTACATGTTTGCTTTATACACTGGTACTAAGGTAATTTGTACTGAGGTAATTAAAACTGGTCTTACCAGTATATGCAAGTGATGTATAACTAGGTAGTTTAACATGGTGTAACTAGTATGTGTCTGCAATGTGTGATGTTTTTACCATATTTCTATTGGCTACATATAGTCTATGCTGCCTTACCTTTCCTACAATTCCTATCCCAGCATCTGCTGCCTGTATCATACTAACATCATTGCCACCATCACCTGATAATGCAACATACATCACAACATGGACAGCTTTCTTTTTAATATAAACCACAATAAAATAAAACAGGAAAATAAAACCAAAATTCAGAAAATATTGATTTAAAAGTGAGGGAACTATGATAACTGCAGACCAATATGAAAGAGTTATAAAAATACTAAACATCACTTTTCAACAGGTAAAACATTTCAGATAGCTTTTACACTTATCCTTCCTTCATTGTAAAAAGTGGTGAAAAGCATAAAATACAAAAATTCTATAATGAACTGACAACAAATGTTATCCTACCTATTGCACATGTCCTCTTCTTGGTGTGAAGTCTGAGCAATTTGACTATTTCTGCTTTCTGTGTTGGAGAGCACCTGCATACCACAACAGCAGGACACTGACACGCCAGCTCCACAAACTCATGCTCATAGTACTTGAGGCATATCTGAATGGAATAGACATTTTATTATTACTACTGCTTTGCATTATGCCTGTAAGGATCTGCACTTCTTGCTGATTCCAAATGACCTTGTTCATGTTACTTTCAACAATGACAAAAGAGACATTTCAAATTGACATTAAACTGTCAACTGCATTGGTAAAACTTACAGAAATTTACTTTTGTTATTTTAGGTTAGTATAATTATTTAAAGAAAATCATCTTGTTGGCAGCCTGCCATAAATCAGATGCTTTTGAGTGAAAGCAGCCAAGTGAGTGACAACCTGCTCCACCCACCTGAAATGAGTGGTATTGTAACATAATGCCACAGCCACCTCTATTGATTGACAATGTAATATGCCACAGCCACCTCTATTGATTGACAATCTAACATGCCCCACCCACCTCTAGTGAGTCCCCTTTTATAACCAGAGCAGAGTCACTTTTCTTCCTGAAGGTGTTCAGTTCCAGGTGGGCCTCTTCCCTGCTAGAGACATTCCTGAACACGTAGATACTCTGCACCTTGGACACCAGGCGAGAGCTGGAGGCGATACACGTGGCTGTCTCTAGCTTGTCCCCTGTCAGCATCCAGATCTGGGGGGAGATATCAAAGGGATCATATTCTAGGAGACTGAATAATTAACGTACAATTATTTAATAAGATTTTAATGGTCTCTACAGATTGCAAAATTGAAAACCGTCTTTTATTATACCCTGGTGGCCATTTGGTATAATAAAACAAATAGTGAATGGTCCCTTGGAGACTATGAAGAACAGAACCCAGTGAGAGGAAACAGGATCCTCCACTTCATGTAGGGGTCCCACTTCCTCTCAAGAGCCACTATTCTTCATAGTCCCCCCAAGGACTGTGGACAGTTTGTTTAATACATTCCACTAGCTCACTCACCCTGATCCCAGCATTCCTGAGCAGTTCCAGAGTGGGTCTGACATTATCCTGGAGTTTGTCCTCCACTCCAGTCAGACACAACAGCTCCAGGTCTCTCTCCAAACTCTCCACCACTGCTGCCACCTTGGTCGCCCTGTCCTGGACACTCAGCTTAGCCTGGTGATATCTAGACTGGAGACAGATGAATAGGGATGTGATAAATGATGGTCAACTCTCTCTCCAGTCATCTCCTCCCCATCTCTTTATCTCATAAAACTCTATCTCAGACACACAAACACTCACACAAGCTAACTCACCTTCTCTTACCCCCTTACTCTCTCTCTCTCTCTTTCTCTCAATCTGTTTTGCCTGTTCATCTCTAAACTAAAAGCAATCAAAGAAAGAACCGAGTGAAGAAATAAGATATCCCAACAAACATGGAATACTCCATTCAATATCTTACTTCAAAATCCTTATACTGGTCCTCTGACAGTGTCTTCTTTGCTACCACAAGAGTTCTCAACCCCTCCCTGGCCATGTTACCACACTGGAATTAGGACAGAAAACACAGTAAGATACATATTACAACTACCAGAGTTCTCAACCCCTCCCTGGCCATGTTACCACACTGGAATTAGGACAGAAAACACAGTGAGATATATATATTGGTACAATTTATGCCTGTTCTCTATGGATTTGTTTAATTCTGAAAAGTTTTTTCATATCTGACCATGATGATATAACCAAGGGGTAGAAGAGAACAAATATGTACCATTGTTATTTTGGTATTTTGATAGTTAGTTGTGCCAGTTTTTATTCATTCCTAAAAACTGTTATATGAAAATACTTTTAAGCTTCATATTACATTTCTGAGAATCTTGAAAAAATATGTGACATGGTTATTTTGGTGTATTGACAGTTAGTTGTGCCAGTTTTCCTTAATTCCTCAAAACTGTTGCACAAAATTACTTTTAAGCTTCATACTGCATTTCTGAGAATCTTGAAAATCTCCCCACCTCTTCTTCCAGCCAGTCATTATACTGAACAATAGAGATCATGACAACATCAGCACCCTTCATGTAGAAGGTGATCTCTCCTGTCTCCTCCTCCTGGAAATACCAACATCAATATCTTTTTAATTTTTACTCTGAGTATTACAAAATATATTTTATTCTTAAGGTATTTTTTTTCAAATTTATATCAAGCAATAGAAAAGAAGGATCATGCTAATCATAATTAAATAATATCTCTTTCTAGCTACAATGCAGATTAACCTAACAATTATGGTATAAAGTTTTAAGATGTATGAGATGAGAATTTGGAATTCTGAAAGGTCTTGCACTGCAATGAGGCACACTTAGATTTCAACTGTTCCTTTGATATCTATAGTCCATTATTATATCTATAGACTACTGTACATATATCTATTATATCCTCACCCTGACTATGATGCCCATTCTCTTGGTTTCAGATGTGAAGGGGAAAATTTGGAGGATCTCATATCTCACATGACGTCCACTTGGGATACTGAGCTGCATGGAGGTCAGATCACGCTTGACCAGCGCCAGCCCTACACTTTCTGTCCAGCTGACCAGTGCTACCTGCAATGAACAAAATAAAAAAAAATTCTTGAATCCTTATTGTCCCATAATCTTTCCTCACCTCACCAATTCAAACCCTTATCTCCCTTCTTTTTAGCCTTAAAAAGGTCCACTGTGGAGAACATTTGATATAGGTACATAAACGTTTCATGGTAAAAGGTCCAATTTTTCAGACAAAAGGTTCCCTTCCCTTTGAAATTGCTGGCAACAGGACTGCTTTCCTCACCTCAAACTCATAAACTCTTTCCTAATCTTGTCCTTCCACACCATTGCCTCAAATCGCTTTCCTGTACCCTTCCCACACAGAATCCTTTCATGACCTTCTCTTACTCCATCCTTTTGTACCCTTTCCACATCTAATCCATGCTAGCAAATATGTCTTCGTGGGTGGTTTGGCAACTTCTGAAAGAACCTAACCTGCTTGCCCCCAATAGCAAGACAACAAAGAGAACAACTCCCAATAAAAAAAATGTAAAAAATCACCTCATCTGGACTAGAGGCCTGGTACACAGCTTTCTGTGTTGACTGCTGGTCTGCTTCTGTGTCTTGGTTTTCTGTGTCCGTCTCTTCATAGACTGGTGTGACGTTATGACACAGTGCCAGCGCTTTCACGGCCTCGTACACGCGCGTTACGACTGTGCGTCTTACTTTGGGAAGAGTGGAGGACTTTGACGTCAGAGGAGCTTGCTGAGAGAAGGCAGTCTTTAGGTGTGCCATGACCTAGAAATAAAATAGTAAATAAGATAGTGAATTCAAACACATTCCCTACTAATGAATGCATCTGCATACATGAACATATAATAACCAAAGGGTTCCCATTAAAGCTAGGCTGTTGAGTTTCACACGAGACATATTTCTATTTACTAACTAGAATGACATGTACAATATTGTCATTACTCCTACAAAAGCACATTCTTAAGTATCATTACACAATGCAACTAATATCTTAATACATAGTTTCACTGTTAAAGTCAAACTCCTCACCTCATCCATGGTCTCTGGACTGAAAGACACTGTGCCCAAATGTAACCTCTTGAACACCTGAAATAAACATCATGATTTGTTTACTTTGTCAACTAACAAAAATCATTGCTTTATTTTAGATATCTGTATCTAAATGCCTGTGGCAGTCTACAGTATCCCAGGCTTCTGTTTCAGTGCTTAGTGATATAAATGTCAAGAGACTGACATGAAAAAAAGAGTCTGACTCAAAGGCCATTTGTAGTTGTACAATCCCTAAACTTACTGAAATATTACTGAAATTTCAGACCAAGCATGTAAGTCCATATCAATTTCAAACACTTTCTTATACAGGACTTCTAATTATTAAAATTTAATCACCATTTCATTCTGTGTGAGAGTTCCAGTCTTGTCAGACAAGAGATAAGTGATCCTCCCTAGTTCTTCTGGTATAGTTGTGCTGCGTACCACAGTCCCGGGAACGTCTTTGTCTCGCTGTATGAACCAAGAGTAGGCTACCTTGCCCATGTCCAGGTTGACCCTCAAGCTGGGAGGGAAGAGATTGGGCAATATTATTATTTAACCTTCCATTTCATTTGTTATTATTATTGCATATTAAGCGCACATTGTGTGCATTTTTAGACAGTCAAATCTCTGTTGTCAAATTATGCAAGAGAACCTTATTATTATAAGGCTAAGGTGCAATTTGATATAACATATACCAGTAAGTGTAAAATAAATCTTATCAATATCTAAGACAGCTTCATAAATATAATATTATGATTTGTTTGATTATACTCTGTCAAAAGAAAATTCTGTCATGAACCATTCACTTTCATTGTTGATTATTATGAGGGTGTGATAGACAATCTTTGTACACAGAGCATCTTTACATACATGAAATAACATCTAAAAGTTCTACAATTTTCTGAAAAGATGAAATGAATGTTTTTTTTTTCACTACTAGCCTCACCTGATTGGGATGATGTAAGAGAACAGAAGAACAAATCTGAACATATATCTGTACCATGGACCTTGGAATCCCTGGAATGAGAATCATACATTTTCAATACAAAACAGTACTTAAAGCACTCTAATGTCATTACAATAGGAATTATACAAATTTCAAAGATGTAATTTATTCTTTGAAGTATGACAAACTTGTCATACCTCAAAATAGTGAACTCTAGCACCATTTTTCTTTTTCTCCACAAAATCTCATATCAATTGTATCATTGACAAAGCTGTGCATGTAAATATCTGTACCATCACAATTTTGTCAGTAATTTAGCTGAAATTACATCTTTTCATATTTCTTCAAGTTAAAGCTTTTTAGGTTAAATAAGATAAATTTTACTTGCTTATCTAAGCCAAGATAAGTTGATTATTTGTCAGCAACCATCAAGCAACCTACCTTTATTACCATCATGACAATAGAGAGCACCAGGACAGAGAGAAACAACACCTTAGTCAGCGTATTCACCTCCAGGTCCAACAGTCCTACCTGAAATATATATATATTACAATAGAGAGCACCAGTACTGAGAGAAACAACACTTTGGTCAGTGTAATTCACCTCCAGGTCCAACAGTCCTACCTGAAATATATGGGAGGTCATCAGTGTATCTATCATGGTAATGTTATTAGTTCATAATGCAAGACACACCGCATTTTACCTTCTTTTAGTAGTGGACATAGTCATGGGGGCCACAAGCTACATTAACTGCTTTTCGGAGCTGAGGTATTCATGACAAACCACATATAAAACATTGCTTCTAAGAGCTGACTTTTCATGACATACCACACATTATGTAGGGTAATTTGTGCACATTTTAGTGCTCAATAAAGAATAACCTTTATGTTGTTTTTAGGAGTTGACATATTTATTCATGACACACCACACGTAACCTTTTCATTCAGAAGCTGACATTTTCATGACAGACCACACATTATTTACCTTGCTCTTAGGTGCTGATGTATTCATGACACTCCTGGTTTCAGAGCCCGTGTAGACCACCAGTCCCAGGGCAGTACCTGAGGCCACCACAGTGTTAGCCCATAGTGTGTTCTCTATGGACAGGGGATCCTCACACTTCCCTCCATCATCCATCTGATAGAATACATACATAGCTTATAGACAGATACACATAACTGTGTACAATGAGAAAAATGTATGTAACTCTGATACTGGAACTTACATTAGCAACAGACCCAGGTTGGGACCTCACCTGAGACCTTTCTTTCACTAGGTAATGACCTGGATGGGCTGGTCACCTGATGTATTGATATACATGTACAATAACATTTGGAGCTTATATATATATAGTTCAGCACAATACTCTGATAAAGAATAAGACAATATTTGCAAATGTTGTGGAGAAGGCACGATCTTCTGAAAAACATATTCTTTAAATTAGGCAAATAGTCTCAACTTTATTGAACAACAACAAACAGGGCTTTGGAATGCTCATTCTGCACAAGAATTCTGTATTTACCAGAAGGAACGTACTAATAACATAACTGCTGTAAATGGTTGTGGTTTTTAAGTCATTTTTTTTCACTTACCCTCTGAAAGGTTCCGACAAAACTATGGATATCTTTCTGTGGTTTCTCAGCATAGGCCTGACCTGTTATTTCATGTAGATCCTGCAGGGCAAACAACAATAAAACAAAATGATCTTTGACTAATACAGTGTATCGAAAGCTAATATAAGGCATGCCCTAGTGTATCACTTTGAGGTAATACGTGGCTATAAAACTTCCTCTCTACCACTCTCTGTTATGTTCCAATGATAACATGTAATAGTACCATGAAATATGTGTTAAAACATTGGCAGCCCCCAGCTCATCACTATTTTAGAGGTCTCTGATATCAGATGATAACATACACCCACTTCATCACTATTATTTTAGAGGTCTCTGATATCAGATGGTAACATACACCCACCTCATCACTATTATTTTAGAGGTCCCTGATATCAGATGGTAACATACACCCACCTCATCACTATTATTTTAGAGGTCTCTGATATCAGATGGTAACATACACCCACCTCATCACTGGGGAGTTTCTGTGTACCAGGCACGGCTAGCCTCAGTTTCCAGTCTGTCTCCCCGTCCAGCTGGTCTGTTCTGATAAAACAAGCACCTGTTTTCTCTGTCGTCCTCAGCAGGATGAGGTCAGCAGGCACACGCTGGTTCTACAAATATAGAAACTCACATAATTATAGCAGTATTGACCTGGGCACTTAGCTCAGAACATGGCGGAATCAAATATGATAAAATATGGAATGTTTTTTAAAGATTACATGGACATATTTACATACACAATGACTGAATAAACTTTATTACTATTTACTGAGATATATTACAGCTGATGGTATTGTTTATTATAACTAGCATATCCAACCGATGCCAAGTTTTCTGTTACCTTTTCCACTATGATAATGTCCCCAACTCTGATGTCAGAGCTTGGTGCACTCTCAATCCCAGTGCGGGTGAGTCTTTGGTACTTTTGGGAGTTCATTTCCTGGTCTCGTCTGAACCTCCTGAAATCATCCACAGCTTCACGTGCCATGGTGACAAATATCACAAAACCCTGCAGAAAAAGAAATAAACATGAAATTATTACATTTAAATTTTAATACATTGTTCAAATTTTAATAACTATATTTTTGGAAAAATATATTTGTAATTTAACATACATTAACTTAGGGTAGATGCATATTTTACTAAATTTTGAGAATTATTATTTATGTGTTCAATTTATGTCATTTCTGCTAAAAATGGTCAATAGCTTATGATGATATATTCAATAATAATATATAATTTTGTTAATTTTAGAAATGACATAGAAAAAAATCAGCTTATGTATTTAAGAACATTCATCAAAATGCATTGAGGGCCAGAGTTTACCTACCAGTGGGCCCCAATATGTATAAAGATAACCAATTCTGATTTCTGGGATGAACTGAGAACATGCCATGACAAGAAAATAGAGATTTAGGAAAAACTTGAACTGTTCAAATAACACCTGGAAAAAATAGAAATCATATGTAAAATTTGCTCTATCCTTCAAGATGAAAATATTATCAATATGTCCTACAGAAAATATGAAATTAATTCCAATCAGATTGATATTTCAATTCTCATTTTAAGCAGTGAATCACTTATTTGATGATGACCACTTCATGATGAAAAATATATTGTTGTTATTACACAGCCAGGTACATATTTCCAACTGTACAATAAAAATAAAATAAATGTATTTTTTTTTGTTTCATGTTAAGTTTGAATAATAGATCATTTTATATGTTAAGATTATATGTAATTCAGCACCCAAGTAAACATACCAGTGGTATAAAAGAGAAAATACTGTATTTCTGATTTCTGATCACATTTGGAGGGTAGACCACCCCATCTCCTATGTCTGTCTTTGCTCTCTTTCCAACCCATATCGTCCTGGGCTTGTATTCCACCTTTCTGCGACATTTCTCTACCAATGCATCCCAGCATCTGCAAGAAATACAACAATGATTGTGTGATAGATAACTGACATGACCACGAGAAGTAGAAACATAGTAGGAGTTCTAGGAAAAAATACTTCAGATTCATTTCAATAACACAATAATGTGCTAAATTAAAAGAAGTATTATAAATTATCAAATGTTTTCCATGACAAAACTGAGACAATAACTGACAGAAGTCAGAGTTGAGAACACTTAATTACTTTACTTTTGAAACTTAGTTTACAAGTTATGGCTTATTATATTCCCATAGACTACAAATTGGTCACAGGTAATGTAAAAATTAAATTTTTTCCTAAAAATGTCCATCTGTTCTTTTACGAGAAAAATCTACAATGATACCTGTTCAGGGCATCACTCCACCCCTCTGTAAGGTAGTACTTCAGTCCCTTCTTCTTCTTTGGTACTAGCAAGTCCGATTCGTCGATCTCAAAGTGTTCACCCATCATCAATGGCACATCATCAAGGTCAATGTCACTGATGCTTGTCTGGTGTCTAACTGGCTGATATCTAGGCAAGGAGAAAGGTCACAAGCATCTACATAAATGAGAGACGTGCACTCTTTACCTAATGTCCCTATAATTAAATTTTAGCCCTTAAATGCTGTCCCAGTTGGGAGTAAGACTTCTAGTCTCTGACAGAATGAACCTCTGCCAAAAGAGTAAAATTTTGTTACTATCAACCATCAGTGTTAATTTTCATGCTTATGATAAGTAGCTCAGGAACAGGATAATATAAGTATCTCATTCTCCTGAGCCAATTTACAAGTAATTTGACCAAAAATACATGAATATTGAGGTTGGGAAGATCCCAAGATTATAAAACCAAGTTAAACAGCAAACCAAACTGCTGTCAAATGTCTGGAAAAACACTGAATAAGCTGGCTAAAACATGCTTAATTTCACCTAAGCTACAAGTATTGATCCTATTGTGACCAGTGCAAAATATCTTTCATATAATTAACAATTGCCAGCATAATCACCTTGTTGACTTCGATTGGTTGTATCGAATATTTCATCAATCTGTTAAATTTCATTGTCAATATACTACAAGTACTAACTGCTAATTCCTCGCCCAGTGGATCCAACACAGCTGACCTCATGCTCATATATATCACTGTGATCTGTTCTACTTGAGATCTATATGTACAAGACCATGCACAATATATATATTCCAGTGTGGGAGGAGATGAACTATATTGTACATCCCATTGTTCATACTAATTCAATCTTCATTTGCGCATATGTGGATGCTATATATTTAAGATACACATATAACACATAGCTCTACACTATCATTATATTACAGTCTTCACAGCATCACACATCTCATGCGACTGAGAAATTTTCCACTTACTTCACATGCCTCACCCTTCGAAAAAGTCTGCGACAACGAATTAACACCGAGGTCATTAAATCCCAAATCCTCTGGTAGGCGTTCTACACTAGACACAGTCAATACAGTTCACATGCGATCAAATGGTGATATACCACAGCCAGAAATGCATCAGACTGACCTGCCTCCATTTGATACATTCAAGCCATCAATAATGCATTAAAGCGATCATGTAACTTGGTTATAGTGGTTCTAAATAATATCAGATTAAGTCCTGTTGTGGTGTGTATGTAATACCTTATTTGAAGCACCTTCTTTATAGCTGGGTGGACTTTTTGGGCACACACCATAATCAACTGTGTATCTTTATATTGCTCAAATGTAATTTCCTGCTGGTGAAATTATTCATCATGCATATCAACTGTCTGAGTACCATTCAACTTGTGATTTCTAAATAACCAGCAATGATGAGTGGATTGCCCATTGTACTTAGTTGACAAGTTATGGCTCAAAAGCACTGACTGACAATTTTTGTCATTATTTATTTTACAGATACAACAAAAGAAAGCAGTCTGGACAAGATGGGTTAGGTAAGAAACACTTTTCAATATAAGAAGAGGGTCAATTACTTTTAACAGATCTGTATAATTTAACACTGTCATGAACATATTATATCAAACTGACAGTTAGCATTAACAGGGCACCAATGAATTAACAACCATCCAAGCAAGTAAATCATTCAGTAGAGAGATGGAATTTGAACAGACGGGAATGGATGGCAATGAAACTGGTTGATGGAATACAGCCCACAGCAGTCCTTTCTGTGATAAATTGCACTACAAATTATATAAATGTGAGAAAAGAGGACTAAGGATTTCTTTCTCAGGTAAGTATTAATGATGTTGTCTGATTTTCAATTTCATTTGATCAAAATACTTAATAACTTTATATTTGTTCATCTTTATTTGAAGGTTTTGTTAATTGATTGATACATTTTTGAGTAGTGAAAAAACACTTTATTTTTACAGTAATGGCCATTATCTGTTGGGTTTCAACCAGAAGAAAAAAATCTAGGAAGATTAAAGTAAACAAATACTTTTTTAAAATCTTTATAATTAAATTGGGGGGGGGGGGGGGGGAAAGTATATGTTTTCATTGGAAGGACACCACTATAAGTGAATGTATGGCAATGACTATCTTTTCAATGGGTAAAACTAATCAGTCTTCCAGATACGTAACTTTAGACTTATATTTACATATAGCATCTGTGGTGCTTTTACTACAAAGAACAGACCTATAGGTGGCCTGCTTTTCAATTTTGTTTCTTCCACTCAATAGGGATTTTAAGAAATTCTGACGTAAGAAATACAGTAACTGTAAAATTCATAATTTCCCACACTGAAAAGGTCAAGTTGTCATCCTACTGTTAGTAAATGAGGCGTGTATGTAGCAATAATTAGGCCTTACATCCCATTTCACTGTTCATTAGTGAGAAGTCTTATCAAGTCATGTGCGGTGAGTCTACATACTGCAGTGTGCTGTTTATCACAACAATAAGAAACCACTATCTCCATGTAACATTCCTACATTCATTCATTCAAATTTCAATATCAACCTGAAAGCACGTCAGCTTTCCTAAGAAAATTACTGGTATTAATATCAATTTAAGTAGTTTTACTTAATGACAACAACAAGAATAAATAAATAAATAAATAAATAAATAAATAAATAAATAAATAAATAAATAAAACTAAAATTAATAATAATAATAATAATAATAATAATAATAATAATAATAACAACAAAATAATAAATTAGTAAGAAAAAAATCAAATTTAAAAAAGAAAAAGAATTCAATACACAAGCCAAATTCTAAAAGCTATTTCACAAACTTCAAAGCAAAAGCAACACTAGCTCTTAAATGTGACCACGGTTTAACCACCACCATCACCATCAGCAGTGCCACCTACCTTACTGTTAGTCTGGACATCACTCAGGTGGTTAAATACAATCACGCATCCATCTAAGCAACTCTACTGCTGTGTGCACATCAACGGGAAGGAGAGAGGAGGATTAGTGGAGGCACCACAATTATCAGGCCATGCTGGGGGAAAGAAAGAAAATTCCTAAAATTGTGGAAATCTAGTGGTAGATTAAGTGCTTTTTTTATTATTCTGTTTCAATTGTTTTAAAAATACTTTTTTGTTTTTCATATGATTTAACTACAGGTGGCACGTATAGATCTAATTATTTGAGCATTTTTAGAAAAAGACACAAGCAAGCATTTAGACATTGTTGCCACTAGTCTTGCAGTTGCACCAAAATACTACTAGTTTCATCAAAATTTTTTAAATGAAAGTGACATATCATTACTGTCTTATCAAAATTTCATTCTTTAATTGAATGACTTCTACATCAAACAGATAGAAAATTCAACGTACACAGAAAAAAAAAGTAGTTTTACAGCCTATTAGTAAACTATTCATGCAACACATGAGAAAGCAAAGCTGTGAACTCAAATACTGTATAGTCTGTATACTAGTACATATTGGGTCCTGGATAAAACAATATGGAGTGTTATTTCATTTGATACCAAATGTAACACGCTGTACATAATATGGCGTTAGGCTGTTTTCATGGTACTTTTGCAGTATTTTCCCCATCCTATAACTCTCTGAGTTCTAATATTCAAAACAATGTGGTGACTTTGATCAATGTCTCTGCTATTCAAATAAATTAGTTTGAAAATATAACTAATTTCTATGTTTTCTCAACTTCTTTGACAAATAAGACTACAGCAAATTTTCACCCATGCAAAGGCCTTGGCCATTTGAAAGAGCATGAAGCTTTTCTGAAAAAAAAAAAATGAAAAATTGTTCAATGAATTGCAAAACTTATTTGACTAGCTAAGGCAAAGCCCAAAGTCACCACATGACATAATTTAGAAAATAATTTGAAAATCAAAGACTTATGGGGGTGTTGGGGTACTGCAAAAGTGTTTCTTTAAAATTCTACTTTTGATAACTGACAGTCATATGGGTTAGGTTCACCAGTGATTTAGTCCTGCAGTAGCCCTAGAATCGCTGGTGCATTGGTGCCATAGCGGAGGACTGAGTAAAACAGATCACAACACAAGCAATTTCAAGTTGGCACTACACAAACACACAAAAATTGAATCGAAACCCGCCCAAAAGATTTGATATTATTTGGTTCACAGATGTAAAGTGAAACAAACATGAAATTACGACGTCGTAGGAATCTGTAACCATATTCAGGTTCTCTTTTCTATAAATAAAGCCCTACTTACTTCAGTTTTAAAAATGTCTTGTTCAAACTCTGGTTGATATATAACTACACAGTAAGACTAAGCTATTGCGGCAACACTTCAATTGTTATACACAGGTGACATAAAAATGTGAGTCAGCCGGAAGTCCTCAGCCAGAATCAAAGGCCGCTTACAGCATTTAGTTCATTTTATTAAAGCATATGGGGCAGGTTGCTATGCATTCTGGGATTGGAGTAGTGTACACAAGGTCTTGGAGACAGGTGATTATTGTGTACACACCACTGTAACTAATTCAATAGTATCGATTGATTGGGGGTAAATGGGCTGGATACGCTACTAAAGATGAACGCTACTAAAGATAAGGTAGGTGTTAGTTACTTGATTACTTTTATTGTCTTAAATTATTGTTTATTTATATTTGAGAGTGTTTTACAAATGGGATATGTTCCTAATATTGATATTTTGTAAATACTAAATGTCTTGTCAAACTGTTTTGTAATAGTGTCAGTCCAACTTGACATTACTTCAAAGAGCTCTATGTCCCCAATGTCTGTTACTCCAAACTCTTGTCAGTCATAAACCAATCTTTCAAAACGAAACAGTGTCGAATTAAGCTTCATTTCTACCCTGTACTGTACTGGTAATAATGGTATATGAGTACCAAAATATATTAGTATTACAATTACCGGGTACATGTTTACGTACAGTACCCACTGTAAATCTAAGACCTCCATACACCAGTGTCTGTATTAGTACACTGGAGTGACCAAATGTCAGTATTACCATGCTTATAAGTAATGAATATTTGGATTTATGATCTGTGCCAAGCAAACAATTGAAATTGAAAATAATAATAATAATAATAAATAAATAAATAAATAAATAAATAAATAAATAAATAAATAAATAAAATAATGCTTTAAGGTGTGTTTGCATATTTCACTTAGATCCAAGTTTAGCTTACCAAGACCAGGAAGTGTAAGCAAAGTTATGGTACAATGTAGTTCTTCATCAACTGGTTTTATAATAAAGCTATGAATAAGAAACTAAAAAATATGTATAATAAATTGTATTAGCCAGTTTAAAACAAGTATGTTACATAGGAATCTTTTTTTCTTTGTATCACCATCAGAAAATGTTGATTTAGCAAGTTGTTTGAAATGAATCTGATTAGGAAGTTACATGTATTACGTGTAATTAGGGATGATTTGTATCTTAACACCTACTGGGGTATGGTTCCTACAGTTATGTATGGTTCCTGCAAACATTTCCAATCAAATAATCTAAAAGGGCGAGTTTTAAACAAAAAATGCAATTTTTTTATCAATATTTGCTTCATCTTTCAGTTTGAAGTTGACCCCTTTCTGTGCACGTGTGGCCCCTGTAAACGCTTCTGGAAGGACAACTTTGATAAGAATGGGGCCATATTGCTGGAGCAGCCAGTGCCCTGTAGAGCTACAGATACGTCAACATTGTACAAACAATATCATGAAAATAACTTATTCAACATAGGAGACAGGGTTATTGTATGGGGGAAATATAGAGGTAGGTATTTAATTGTCCTATTGTTTATTTTCAATATCCAGTTGGCCAGGGATTATTGTTTGAAAGTATGTGCCTTTCGATACACATCTATTCATTGATGGCGGTGTCTCCTATTTCCCAAAATAAGCTTTAACATTCAGGTTATTTTTGTTTTCATGACTGGCTAGCTCAGGATGTTTATGCTTGATTTACATGTTTATACATGGCAAATGTTAGATATGGTTTTGCTAGTTGGTAAGCATATTTACACACTAGTACTTGCAGATTTTTATTTAAAAATTGTGGATATTTTTCTTGTTTTGAAAATATTCTGCATTATTTCTGCTTCTGTTTACCAGACTGACTGGAGTTGGGGGGGGGGGGGGGGTTGGGAGTGGGGCTAAGTTTTGAATACCATCACAATCTTTAGCAATGAAGGTGCATTGACAGTGTTAATATTGTTACTGCCTTCAAAATTAATGGTAAATGATGATGAAATACAGTGAAAGTAATAATTAACATAATATATATATATATATATATATATATATATATATATATATATATATATATATAAATGCTTCTTATTATTCCTGTACAAATGATTTTTTGAAGTCACAGCCACTAATGAGTTAGTAATTATTTATTCCAGGTGTAGTAAAATTTATTGGTCTTCTTGATGTAAATGCCATAGCTCCAGAGACGTATGTAGGGGTGCACTTAGATGACCACAGTAAGTGCCATTTCTATTCAAATAAATGTTTTAATTTAAGAAACAGTAATTTTCTATATGTGACATTTTTTGATAGCTCCCCTTAATTTTTGCGATGCTTGAATGGAAAATGATACCTTGATCACCATTTCTTTTCGCTACAAGTGTATTAGAAAAATGAGGTATTACTGGGGTAGTTTATTAATTTTTCATTAATTGAACTTAATTAACTTAGATCTTAATAGTGTAAAGATAAATGAACTTATTAACTTTATAAATTACTTCCAGTTGGCTCAGTTCACAATGGGGTATATGATGGCAAGCGGTATTTCCACTGCCCGCGGGGACATGGTGCCTTTGTTCCCTATGGTGACTGCCGACCCATCCAGGGCCCTGAGCCACGCCCACCTGTCACTGGCAATGACATGTTTCCAAGCTATGAAGAGGTTAAAAAAAGTAGGAAGTTAAAAAAGGAAAGGTGAGTTGTTGATTGCTTTCCAAGCTTTGGAAAAACTGGAAGAGTTGTACAGTGTTTTAATGAGTAACATATGTTCATTAATGAAGACAAGATGGACATTAAATGAGTAGAGGCTATCTGTATTTCAGTCAATTTTATAACATAAAAAATCTTAGGGTCTTTGAAGTTTTCATTTGGTTGAATAGTTTCTTGCTACAGAGTTGTTTGATATTTGGTACTAATTTTATTATATTTATATATATATATATATATTTTTTAATTTTAAGCTCAATATGAATATTATATTTGTCAGTGATGATCACTAACATGCAGTAACAACAAAAAGATTTCTATATATATTACCTTCACTTTGAAGTCAAATCTTCAGTAATATTTTATTTCAGAATAATAAATAAACAACTATAACTGTATTGAACTTATATGGTAATTAAACATTAATTTCTAAATTAAAATATTCAGAGAATTAGAAGCAGAACGGATCAAAGCAGAGGAATCCTCACGGTATGGCGTAACAGACCCTAAATTACTTGCCAGAAGACGAGCTGCTAAACGGATCATATTTGATCCTAATGACATAACAGTCAGGGTAGGTATTGGAATACACCTATTATTATAGAAAAAACGGCACATCGCATACACTGCATGACGATATTGTAAGACGACATAAAATATTTTCTGTGCCAAAATTATAGAACCTTTTCATATTGCAATTACAGTCTGTGAAATTTAAACAAGTCTCTGTCAAATGCCATTCAAAACAGAGCAGGATCAATTAAATTTTGTAAATTGTCTTTGCGGGCCCAGTAGATTCCTAGACTGGTGGCTGGAAAGGCCTGGCAGGCTGAAAAATTTTCAGCATGGACATTGGACTGATTGTATACTCTTTATCTTCAAAACTTAAAACTTTAAGCCTGGCAGGTTGTGAATATTTACTTTATGACTGAAAGGTTATATTTTGGCACAGATATAACATATTTATATATTTTAATTGTTTATTTTGTGGACAGTTTTTGCACACAGTTTAATATATACTAACTGCATGGTTATTCACAAGGAGCACCTTATTAGCATGAATAGAGGCACAAGTTAGAGTTACATATTTATTAATTAATAATTACTTACTATATATAGCATCACAAACATCATTATTGGATCTAATTCATAACCATGTTTTTATTAAATATTAACATTTTCCATTTTTAAATCCAGTCGGCTGCTTTGGTAAGAGACAATACTTTGCCAATAAGTTTGTAAGACTTTTCAATTGCTTGACCTTTTTCCCAAATCTTTATTTGTATCAGTTAGCCATAGGCCCAGCAAATACTTGTTCTCCACTGTGCACTAGTGCCCATGGTTTAATCAAGTTAATATAGTACAATACTTTTAGAATTGCATTAGTCTTTTTTCTTATCCTTTAATGCGAGAGTGATTATTCTAAAAATCAGTTTTAGTTTTGCATTATACCATAATTGTTGACTTCATTTTGGAATTGCACTGCTTTAAATAATTTACAAGCATTGCAATGAATGTGGAAATATCTGGAAAAAAAGAGAATGTCACAATCACCCTGTGTTCAGTGAAAACCATCTTACATGTATGCCCAAAATTACAAAAATGGTTAGACTGCTTGCTTGGTTTACCTTTTCTTTCTTGTGCTGATCACATCTTACCAGAAGGTAAAATTGTATTGTACTAGTAGTTCTTGTTTTTCTCTTTGTGTTTGTTGTTGTTGATGTTGCTGCTGTTTTTGTTCTTTTGTCTTCATGATTATGATCTTGTAGGTTGCAAAAGCAAAGCATCTTTGCTATATCTGGTGTAGTCAGGGCTGAATCTAGGATTAAGCAGACTAAGCACATGCTATGGACACCCTAGCTATGGGGGCACTAAGGCCCCATAGTACAGTTGTGTATATAAAAAGGGGTAAAAAGGGTGAACAATAATTGAAAAAAAAATGATATTTGGAGCTGGGAGTGCTTAGCTATTGCACCCAAAGACCTAAATTTGGCCCTGAGTGCTATAGAATAGGGTTCACAGTTTTTCATACATGTTATATCATTCTTATATGTAAGGTATGTAGTTGAAGGAGGTTGGACACCAAAGAACAAGGTACATTGAGTATATTCATAATTCTTGTATTTTGTCTCTTTTAAACACAGTGTTTTAAAATGATACGTGCACTGAGTAACTTTTATTATCTTGGCTTTTTTTTTTTTTTTTTTTGGGGGGGGGGGGTACAAAAAGTGCCTATTAAATATAGCACAGATGCTGACTTATCAGACTTACCCAATACATATACAGTGTATGCCCAAATTTGGTGAACATTTTGATGCACCTTTAAATATTATTTTGAGTGTACTGTGTGTAACAGAGGCAAAATGTCAAAATTATCAATATACTCAATGTACTTCTGTCTTGGGAGTTCAACCCCATTGTAGTTAAACACCATTCTTTTAATGCTCCATACATGTATGTTGAGTGATATCAAGAACACTGTCATTGCACCTTACAAGTTCAAAAACTAATTTTATTTAACCTGTACTGGTATATAAAAAGAAAATCTTAAAAGAAAAAAAATATCATAAAAGAGCTGTAACTGAGAGCAATATTTTTCCGTTCTAATAGTATTATGTTCTTATTCTATCTTAGGATGCAAAAAGACGAGAGGCTGCAGAAACAAGGAGAAGACAAATCCTGGCTGCGCAGCCTCGCCTCACAGCTAATGAAAAGAAACTTTTAAAATGGAAGGAGGAATTTGGGGGCGACACGCGTGCAGAGTACATGGTCAAAACTTTAGAGAAACTCATGAATGCTCACGAGGACGGAAAACAGGCCTTGGAGGATGAAAGGATCGCCAGAGAGAGGGCAGAAATGGGCTACAGTGACGATGAATCGGATTACGATGATGCATCCACACAGGTTTGATGCATGTGATGGAGGGGAGCTGGCCCAGACATTGACTGCAGAAACACACTTTAAAATGGGAAAAAAAACTAAACAGAAAAGAAATACATGATCTTCTCTTTGTGGTTTAACCATTGATATGAAAACAGTAACTGCACTCATTCCAGCATGTTACACTGGTGCCACTAGCTGTAGTAAAATAAGTATGAAACATGCTGAAACTTAATCATAAATGAAAATTATTAAACACAAGCTGAAAATCTTTCATACCGTTAACATTTATGCTGAAATTTGTTTCAAATGTAACAGTTATAACATCCATACTGTTTAATTTTTGATTTTTGGAGCTATTAGTGTAAAACAAAAGCCATGCCAGCAATAACCTCAAAGAATACATAAGCAGGTGCCATTGATAAAATTGATTTATCAACAGGTTTTATGGAAAAATTTCAAGTACATACATGTGACAGTTTGGGATGGCTGTGTGAGCTCCTACCATGACATATACTTGTCCTTGTGAAAAAAGCAGTCATGATTGTTTTTGTTTAAATATCAGTCACAATTATGAGAAAATACAGAAAATTGGTTTAAAACAGAGTGCATGGGAAGTACGCATGCCAGATAAAATTCACAAGGAATTGCACCCTTTTTAGTTTTCATGTTTATGCATTAATTGGACCATATGCTTTCCTTTTTACAGTATTCAAGAAATACCATTTTTTAAAAAATCATGCCATGAGATAGGGTTTTAATGTTTGAATCTCATTATTATAAAGCAGTATTAAATTCTAAAATATTTTTTCTGATATCATAGATAGAAAGGAAAGAGAGGAGACCCCTTCCATTTGTATGTCACCATCTTTACTATGAAATAGATCACTTTTATATATTAAATCAAGGTGATGTTTAACATTTTTTAGCCAGAAAAAATAACAGAGTTGATGTTTTTTAGCAAGTTATACTTATTGAATCCAATGTTCTTCATACAGAAAATTTTTATCATCAAAGTTTTTCTATTTTAAGTATTTATAGATTTGCTCTGAAATGTTACCGAATTGAAGGACTGACTTAAACATCTCGGGGCTGGTTCCTGTCTTTTAGCCTACAGGATACATAAGTTAAGACTTAGCATTCTGGCATGCCAGAATAAATGGTATTTTTTATGCTCTGTTGTGACATATATAACTTTATATGCTTCGTTCATTCCTGTGTCCCATTGTAGCAATAGTGACCCTCCCCTCACAGTCAAATGATGGTCACAAAATACATTTTAGGAATCATTTTTAATTCATATTTTCATGTGTGAAAGCAAAAAGTACATCACTTTTGAACATTGAAAATGCATTTTGTAAGAAAAGTTGATGTGTTAGGATAAAATTGGCAAATGAAACCAGCATGCATGAGACACTTTCATTTTTCTTTTCAAGGAGTGTTTTCACCATACATTGTGAATGAATACATACATTGTAATAAATCACCCTATGTCTGAAGAAAATTCAATAAATTGTACTATTGTTATTAAAAATGTGCTGATTATTATCATTATTTATTTATTTATTTTATTATTATTATTATTTATTATTATTTTTTTTTTTTGCGCCTCCCCAACCCCCATCCCATATCCTTCTCGTGATAGGGTTGTGGATTTTTGAGTTGTAGCTTGTTTTGACTGTGTAATCTAATGCTAAAGTGCAAATTTTTATCAAATTATCATTAAATATTTTATTAAATCTTCGTCATTTACATCGTGTCTTGTTAGGCTACATCGTGGGCTCCCAAGGGCTCGCATTCTTGGCTGTGACGTCTCTGCTACTGCATTCAAAGATATCTCAACTACTGCATTCACTGACCTGTGCGCGACCACGATAACAAACCAACTTACCGAACCAGTCTAGACTGCTCATTTCGTTTTAATTACATATCTTATCGCTTATTTATTCATTTTACATGTCACCTGAAAATTAAAATAGATACATAGTAAACATGATTTTTAGGGAAGGTCCTTACATCTAACCGAAAACAAAGCTTTAAAAAGTTTTTAAAAAATTGGGCTACGGCGCAGGGTTGCCAGCCGTAAAAACTACTGAATATCTAATACTACTAAAATATATGCGTTCAAAAGTTTATAATCACTATTAACCTTACCAATAAGTGTCCATATTGTCTAGATAAATCGAAAAAAGGAGGGGGGGGGGGAGGTTAAACGCAACATGAGCTAAGACCGTGACACGGGATTTCTTTGCTAAACATTCCACGGCCGTGAACTCTCCCACCTAGCAAAAATTTGCGTACCGTTTATGCTGTACAAGTTAATATAAGTGTTTGCCAAGATGTAACATCTCTAACACCCTAACACCTGTTATCTGTGATGGCTGTGTTTAACATCTGCATTTTTACTCAGATAGCTAGGAGAAATATAACAATTTTCTGTAGGTTACTTTTAAAGAAGCTTTTCATCGAAACTATGGTAAATTTAACTTTCAATTTATGTTTTGCTTTGCTCTGTGCATTGCGCAACGCATATATTTTCTTTAGGATTAGTACATACAAGTAAGTAGCATTCGCATGTAAACCTGTTTAAATATTCAAATAAATAATGTTAGTTTTAAGTTCTAGCCTATTAATTTTTACAGCCTGATTCAGGGTTGTACGCCTACAATTGCTCCAGACAATATAGAACTGGGCGATAAAATAAAGGCTTACAGAGATTTTTTTAAAGCAAGAAATTACTTAGAAAATTGTCAACAGAGAAAACGTTTAGCTATGAAATAGCATTTTCAAACTTTCAGCTCAAACCAGTATAATTATTTTGACAATTAAGTAGGCCTACAAGAATTCTCTTGTTACAACAGTTGTATCGCGTACGAGAACTGTCTGACTTTTCACTTTCAGGGCGGCTAATCCACACATCAATCAAAAAGATACCCTACCATATATCTCTTTATCCATCTATCATAATTATATTCTCATATTTGTCTGAATATGAAGAGCACAGGTCTGGGTTTTGCATTATCTTAGAAATATCACTAACAAATAAAGACAGACAACGGTTCCTCGCTTGTTGGAATTGTTCTTATAGATAAATGAATTATCAAACTTCTCCCTTGTATCAAAATAATGAGAAAAGCGGGCAGTAAGGCTCAGTCATGGGCAAGTTTATTTATACATCTGTGTATAAACAAACAGAAAACAAGCTACGAGACCGTGTACTCCGAAATGCTCCGATCCTTTGACGTCACGCTGGTTGCCATGGTGACGCTACGTAGGCCGCAGCGGCAGCATACATCTAGGTTGTGGGCTGGGTAAGCGAGGTAAAGATAGCTGGAGAGGAACCAGCATGCATACCTCGCGCTGGGGATCAGCTCCATTTTAGGCAGGGCTCGTGAAACCTGGCTAATGGGCAGGTAGGAGAGATGAGCGAGAGGGGAGACAGGATGAAACTTTTGACAAAATAAATCCCACAACTTGCTTTCCTTTCGTTTGTTTTTATGTTATCTGAAACCACGATATCTGTGTTTTATTTTTTCCAAGTGTAACCTATTTTTACGCCCGTTTTGGGTTGTGTTGTACCGTTTTTGTTGGTTTGAGAACACAGCTAGCTGACTCCCCCTTTCAACTGCTTGGTTTCCCGCCTGTACCTCAAAAGGCTTGGTGTTTGGTTTGCCGGCTGCTGATAACTGGGTCCTTCCTCCGTTTCCTTACCGTCCATGCTGGAGTAGTGGGGAGCAGCTTCAAACAGCTACAGGGTACGTACATCTTGTCAGCAACACTGGAACCGCCAGTATTTTTGACAATAACGACAGTGATACTAACAGTTCCAGACGCAGCTGTGACAATCAGTTCAGCCGCCACGGGGGGAGATGTATTACAAAGAGGCACAGGGACAGATGTAGAGTTTTTATTTATATCACCGGGGAGGCCTTAGTGGTTATGATATATAGTGGCATTTTCATTTTAAACGTACTTGGGTTGTATTTCTATTTTACACTGAGTATCTGAGACGAGTTAATTAGGTGGGGGATAATTAAGTTACCCACAGGGAAGTCATATAGAACTAGCTGACTGACTGCCTGCCTTACTGGCGGTGTTTATCTCTCATTGATTCTTAGTCGAGCTCAATTTTATACACTCAGGATGAAACTTGAGATCATTTTATTTCTGGAATCACTTGTGTACTTGTGTTTTGCTTTCTTTAGGTCTCTTGCCTCGAGCGATGTTTTTTCTTAGACATGCTTTTCTTCCGAGTAAGCGTTTAAATTGTGATTTCTTTTTTTTTTTTTACTTTTTTTTAGATTTGTTTTTGTGTTATTAATAAAAGAGCGTAAAATTGTGAAGTCACAATATGCATACACCAGAAAGGATCTTGGTAGATAAAGACGTAAATTGACTTGATAATTCTGTTATGCTTTATATCTATCTTACTGCATTTGATCTAAGAGACAAAATCTAGGTAATCTGCACAGACACACACTTCCGTGTAAAGAGCCAAAAGAGTATACAGGTTAGGAGCCCAAGGTGAGTGCGGTAATTTACAGTTAGCACACCTTAGACAGCTATTTATTTGATTTAAGAGCCAAGCTACTACCGAGAAGAGCGCACACATTTTTTTCTCATGATGTCATTGGTGGTTTTTCTCGAGTTTCTGCATTTGGGTGTGATGTTGTTCTATTGAAAATAATAATAATAATAATAATAATAATAATAATAATTGGATAAACCAGCAATGAGGGGGAAAGCTTACACATTTTAACAAGATGTATTGATTGGAGTAAATTGTGCCAAACTCACGATTTATTTCGTCCATTAAGTTGTTTGTACAATCAGGAGAGCTCACTGTCACTGGTCCATCTACAATTTATTTATAGACAGCTCTCCGGCTTTCAGATAGATGGATAGGTATTAGGGAACCTGCAGGGTAGTGGCTTCGTATTTGAAAGCGCAACATTCACTTGGAAGATACACCTAGCTAAAAGAAATACATTATTGTGATCACACACGGGGATTCTATTTTGGGAACTTGTCCAGGTAAAACCTTAGGTAGGGGTGGGGGTGGGGGTAAGGGGGAGGGGGTTCTTAATCATAGTAACAAAATGTAAACTATCACGCGTCAGTTGGCTGAGGTACACATTTTACTTTTCATTGCCTCTCCGCTGTAAGGTCAAATTCAAGCGCTCGTTATTTATAGGGCATTGCTTTTTACCTTAATCTCCCCCATAAAAATGTTAGGAGAGAAGGTACTTCAGTTTATATTCGCACTTTAATGGAGACGCTTAATCGCATTGTTAAATACACTCACATAGCAAAGTATGTTTGATTTTGGTATTAAATTCCTCAATTCTCCGTTCAGTTCGACTCACAGCGTATTTATCTTGACACGGATTCACATTCGCAGGCGATAGAGAGAAGCTATTGCAATAGTTTCACGTAAGGGCGCAGTTTGGTACGTAGTTTTTATCCCAGTCGACCTTGTTGGCATTTAAAGTAACTACTTGTGCTCCTGGGCGTATGTTTCTGCAGCTTACTTCTAGGAGAATATTATTCTACAGCAATGAGCTTGCATACAAAGGTAATGTGTGACATTTACGCATTTTACTAAGCCTGATGGCTTAATCTGGATATTTCAGAGGTATATCTTACCTGAGATTTGCAAATCGCGAAATGTATATCCCACCAAACTTTCAAGTTCAATTATGGTTATATATCCTATTGAAAAGATGATATAATCTGAACGGAATTTCTCTCAAGAATGTATGGTTCAAAGCGTGACTAATAACTAAACTAATAACTAAACTATATAACTATAAATCCATACTGGTAAATGTCTATAAAGAATACAGCTGGGCAGCTTTGCATTAAAATCAGAAGTTGGGTTATTTCCCCTGATCTTATTATCATCATTTTTTTATTATTGGCTCACCAAAACTTCCATTGAGTTCATCTGTAAATTCCTCACGCCCTCTTGTTGATACAATCTTTCCGTGATCCAGACTGCTCTCAACACCTAAGTATTACCATGGCCCATAGGAGCCTACGCGTGCATCTTTTAGACGCCCCTTTACATGCGAAAACGACAAGGCCTATGCCGAGTTCGTCTTTTACTACAGAGCTTTGAGAGCCGAAAATGGCATGGCTTTGTCTCTTTCACCACTTACTGAACTCCAGAGATGCGAGATTGACACGACCCATGTCGCGTTCGTCTCTCAAATGACACTGTTATAAAACATGAAATAGACATAACGTGTGATTTTCGCAGCTGAATAACTAGACCCTTATAAACGAAGTTGACGTAATTTGAGAGTCATGTCGCTTTCAACTCTTACAAACCTCCAACAAAATCTATCTCCACACAGACGCGCGCGACATGTACTATTGGACATGGGTCAGTTGAAACCCTATTAACCTAAGGGCTCATGTTACTTTCAGCCAACTCTTATATGTCAAATCCAATTAATTTGAAACAGTGTTGTGCTGTCCCAAAACATTTTTTTTTCATTTGAATCCCATCATAATTTAGTGCTATCTAGATAACAGTGTGGCTAATTGCTTGTAATAATTATATGGCCTCATATTTTTATTTTCAAGGATTCAAATATAAAGGGTTTTAAGACGGTCCTTCTGTTTCAAATTAATTGGCTGAAAGTAACATGAGCCCTTTAGGTTAATAGGGTTTCAACTGACCCATGTCCAATAGTACATGTCGCGCGCGTCTGTGTGGAGATAGATTTTGTTGGAGGTTTGTAAAAGTTGAAAGCGACATGACTCTAAGGTCACGTCAACTTCGTTTATAAGGGTCTACTTATTCAGCTGCGAAAATCACACGTAATGGCTATTTCATGTTTTATAACAGTGTCGTTTGACAGACAAACACGACATGGGTCGTGTCAATCTCGCATCTCTGGAGTTCAGTAAGTGGTGAAAGAGACAAAGCCATGCAATTTTCGGCTCTCAAAGCTCTGTAGTAAAAGACGAACTCGGCATAGGCCTTGTCGTTTTCGCATGTAAAGGGGCGTCTAAAAGACGCACGCGTAGGCTCCTATGGGCCATAGTAAAGTATAGCACTGTCTCTATATCAACACTCAAAGAGATTGAAGCACATCTGGAACTTTTAGATAAGGACTAGTCTCTTTACAAAGCTGGTTAACTTCAACCTTTGGTTTAATTCTGAAATTGCATTTCTTAGAGTAAACATAATAGTTTTATCGAGACGATATTGTCATCTTTTTAAGGGATCGTAGCTTTAACATTAAAAAATCTGAATGTTTTCATTCTATTTAAATATGTGTTGCATTTCATACAAAAAATTAAAAAAATATAAATGAAATTTGAAGACTAATACATAGAAAAATGAGTTAGTGGGATATGTTTGATAGAGATATTTGGATTCCATAAATTAGACACAAAAAATCAACGATCACCGAAAATTAGTCCAAACTTAAGGTGTAAAATACCAAACGACCAAGCTCCAAACAGGTTTCAATGCCTTAAAGTCGTTTATGAATGTTAACTATGTGGAGTGCTCCGGGCTAGGGGGAAGGGGGGAGGGGAGAATGGAGGGGGGGGGGGTAAGGCAGTATATTACTAGATCATTTATTTGTGAGTCTGGCGGATAAAGGGATAAAGACCTCTCTTGAACCCACCGGAGATAGTTTGTGATGTTGTGGGCCGTTCTGACCTTTTAAGACCTCATTTGACAGTTATAGCTGAAACATGTAAACTGGAAACAGGCCAGACAGGAGAAATATAGAGAGAGTGAGTGAGTGTGAGAGAGCTAGGTGATATGTAGACTATATACCTGGAGAGTAGCTTTGAAGGACTTCGTATTATCTGTAATTGCAGCTCTGAACTGCGGGCTATGTGTTCGACTGTTCGTCAGGCTATATATGGCAGGTGGGTCTATGGTTTGTGGAACAGCAAGGCCATTGGTGATATACATTTCATTACCTTAACTTAAAAGAACTGAAGAATTTCCATGTGATGTGAGTTCCATAAAGACGTACTTTTCCACGCATCAAACAAAAAAATGCACGTGCACAGACGGGCACGCGAACGACCTTGACAGTAGTAGCATGCAATAAATGCCATAAACGAATCATAAATAAGTGAGTCATTGATAAAGATGCATTCATTAAAATGCAAATAGAAACATCGAAATTGTACCCCAAATAACTTAATGTCATGCTTTTTTGTTGTATTGTTTTTAAACTAAGAAATCGTAGGGGAAACTACATGCCAATCAAAGCAATATTTAAGTCATCGCACCTGTTCGTGCTGCAAATACTGAACAAGATACATTCAGTATCATCAGAAGAATAGTATTTTGCAAAGCGCCGTAGCATCATTTTAAATTTAGATCTCATGCACTGTATTGACTGGAAGGGTGAGAGGAGTGCAGTGAGAAATAATGCACATGAAAATGTTCATCTGTTGTTTCAAAACAAAAAACACAAAAATACAAAAAAGCAGTAGCAGTAATAATGGCCCAAGCAAGGTCGACACGTTCTAGGAAATGCCTCTATTTCTGCCATGACGGATCGACCTTCTGGTAATGCAGGATTAACATGAAAAATGACCCGATAAATTAACCGAAGCAATACCTGTGTTCACGGAGGCCCGTCAGGGGTGTAATCTTCACAGGAAAAGGACATCTTTCAGGTGATCAGTATTAGAAATTAGTCATAAACCACACCGACAATGGGCAGCAAATGCCATTTTTGATGGGCAGCAAAAAACATTATTTTTTGGTTTTGGTTAAAAAATTAAATAAGGAAAATTTCTGTATTATTTTCAAATAAATTATAAACCCCCATTGAACTCCCCAAGCCGACATGCCAGACAGACAGCACGGAGCGCCCCCAAGCGGATCGCCTACCTAGATTCTCCCTGTTGCCTGGGAAAAACTGAACACCTCGTGTCCAATTTTAGTGCTACAGGAGCCGCGAGACCGAGACGTGCATAGTTGTAGTGTTGCTCATTTAGGAATCAACAAATTTCCGAGAGCACAAACTTGCCTCGGGGGAAGGTAGCTGGAGAGAACGGGAAGTAAGGTATCGAGTTTAGGACATATTCATAGGGCAGAAACTGCGTGTTCTTGTTGAAGATAACATGCATGTTATAATCTTATAGTTTACGCCATAGCGCAGTGGGGAAATATACTTTCAAGTCAACGTAAAGCAGTGTTCATGTAATTTGCAATTTAAAAAATCTTCATATATATTTTGGTTAAATTAGCTTCTAGTAAGCTTAAGCCTATAAAAGCCAACGCAATATCAACTGAAAAGCAAGTTTAATGTTTGCAGTCAGATATTCTTATCCCACAAATTGTTTTTGAGTAAGATTTTTAAGCGAAAAACAATTTAATATGAGTGTTACATCATATTGTATGAATAATCTAGAATAATGAAGGTAAATGGAATTTGTGTTTATAGTTACAGGTTTTGCGAAAAAATATATGCAAGCAACAACAATATACATTTTCAGATAGATACACCGATAGACGAAGGGATAGATAGATACATTGTAGATAGCTAGATAGACAGATGAACGTTAGGTACATTAACGTTCCTACAATCCAGTAGTCAGATATTTCTGTTAAGACTTCATAATGGATGCCTGTAACTGTAAGATCATTTTTAAACCACATGATTTTTTTGAGTCAGCACTGGGGAATTTCTGAAGGCGTAATAGTTTTGGTGGGGAAAGGTGACGGTTCTGATATCTGTCTTTCCTTGTACTACCTGGATGCACACTACTATAGGCGAATAAGTGTGTAACGTTAGATCTTGGATTTATCTTTTCATCCTGAGAGTATGAATCGGTTTATATAGAAGATCCATGGGATGCTATATATTATATATTCCACACCGGGCGGTCATCAAAGCCGATAGTAAAATGGATACTGCACCTGTGCAGCCTTTAAATATAAAAGGTTTTATAGAAATAAGACGCCGCGTGCATCGAAGGGAAGGTGTTTTCAATTATTTCAAAATAGATTTGACCCATGGATAAAAGGTAACTTTTGTTTACTGATGACAGGCTGCTAAAAGTGTTCAGTATTTTTGGACGCTATAGAAATACCAAGCGTTTAAAGACAAGTTAGGTCGGGTTTTGCTTACACTATCATACAGTCATTTAAAAATTTGCTTTAACTTTGTGCTATCCCGGGTTTCGTTAAGTACTAACAATTATATGAAACGCTACCATAGAATGTGTGCTTTTATCTTAGGAATTCATAGTGATTCATGTTTTGATTATATCTTTATTGATGAAAATCAGTAGCCTTGCATACTAACTGTGTTTTTAGAAAAATCATATAAATGTATTGTTAAGCTTTTAACTGTACAAACTGTTTTTACATTTCAGGTGATACTAATATCTTATTTTACTTACAGATGATGCGAATACGTTATTTGCTTTATGCCCCTAAATTAATTGCTATCTAAATGGTCATCTGTTTTGCTTTTTAACAAGATCTACCCAAGTAATAAAAAAGTGCAAAACTCTTCGCACAGCTACTTTCTTCTCATAACAAAACGTTCATGACGGCAAAGTACCCGTATGCAGTCAACCCCTTTAGATCACGCCACGTGCAATTCAAACGATACGCCACACTGTATCTCTCTTCTTTTGCATAGGGTCCGCTCGTTGTGTTCCAAGGGCTGAAAATAGTGAGCTTCTTTCGTTCTTCGTGGTTTCGCGGACGGACACTCCCCCACGATGGTGTACTTTTCCCACTACAGGCCAGATGATTACTCCCGTAAGTGCACTCTAAAATATGGTCCAAAAGTACGCCGAATCTTTATTTATTATAAGAAAAGCATTGGATTGGCAAACAGCTGAGTATGTTGATGCTCGTGCTGTTACACAATTATAAAGCTATTCCAAAATTTGCGTTTTCTGCCTAAAGCTTTCCATTAAAATAAGTGAAAGTTGTCAATTCTGCAGAAAACAGAAAAATAAATGAATGCGTTTGAGAAGGTACGCAGCCTGCTATTGTACGCTAAGAAGTGTATGCGTTGCTAATTTCGTTATCGCATATACAAAATAACAGATACATGAATACTGATGCTTTATTCATTGCAAATTTTGTTGCTTTCTGTTGGTCACTTTAAGCAAAATTGTTGCTTTAATAACGAGAAAACAATTTTTTGCATTGCTTTATTGTTATCGTTGAATAAATCACAGTTGAATTGACACAAATGACACTGCACATTGACGGTAAGTCCCTAGGAAGCTGCAAACATATGTAGATACCGTGCACGCATTCCTATCTGTTGTTAGGTCCCTTCAAAGCATGTTAGGCCCACATGAGGTTGAACTCACTGATAAATATATCTTTTTCACTTTTTATCCTACCAACTTCTAGAACGTTTTAGCCAAATCGGTTTCTTCTTTTTTTCACCATTCATTGTTGACCTCCAACGGTGTGAAGTGGATATCACTCTCGTCTGTCACTTTTTTCATCATTAAGCCCCCAAAACCGTATATCTCTTCACCTTCCAGTGCCTTCCCCAAAGCAAGGAAAACACCCAAAACCCGTGGTTGCGCCAACAACAGCTACGACCCATTTCCTTTTTTCGTCTCTCGTTATACATGGATTTCCTGTCAATAGGTTTTCTGTCAAGCCTTCAACTTTAGCTTTCAAATAATCTATAAATACACAAATACACAGATTTATTCATTACCAACATGTAACAAACTACGAAGAACACCGACGATGTGATTGGAATTCAACTTTATTTTCCCTTTCCACCTCCTCTTTAGACTCCCGAATGGATTCTTATCCTTGCCACTTGTCCACATATATTTTTATCTCATTGTCTGCTCATATAATTAAAATTATATTTTTGCATGCGCTGATTCAAAGGTTTATCACTAACATATACCTTATGAAGATGCTTAATATTCATGTAGTATGTTCCATACCTAAAATATATTCACTGTGATAACCTTCAGGCTTAGTACAGTATGGCTCACATTTAATGCCACTACCATTGTTCTAACGTGTTAATTGTTGCACATCAATATAATAACACCCATATGTAACGCTGTACTCTAATCGGTTTTGTTGTAATACTATACTCTTATGGGTATCAGCTGGGTATTTGGTTGTTATTCTATTGCCATTGGTACTCTGCAGCATGTGAATAATTATAGATTTCTTTGCCTTTGCCTCACATATTCTTTGTTAAACTATGGTAGACTTTCAGTCAATGCTGACGTTCGACACGATTTTCAACGTATTTTCCTGTGAAACGACATTTGCACTCTGGGTCCAAGTTCAATACACTTAATTATTTTAACTGCACAGACCAAAGCTATAGTATTGGGTGCTAATTATTGGTATTCTTTTACGGCTGTATCATTTTAGTTTACAAACATATTATAGGACATGGAAGATTTACAGTGTCACTAATATTTTCGGATTTTTTATACACAAAGAGCCCAATTTACAGTAGGTTACGCCAAATTTGCTCAATATCAGTCATCATTCATTTACCAAATTCTCAAAGCGATACATTTTTTCTAACAAACCTAGACAAACACCGATTAAGTGGACGCAGTTTGTCAAAGTGGCATAACTTTCATCAACGTTGGATAGCGCTATCCTATATATAATACTGTCCACTGTTAATGACACGTTGGTATCTCTGGATAAGCTCTCCAGAGGATTACTCTCTACCAGACGGAACTTAAACGAATTTTGAAACAGCAAGAAGGACCTCTAGTAGAATGTAAATGTGGCAGAGGATAACAGTCTTTTAAACCACTGGATAGCACTATCCAACGATAATGAATCTGGGCCCAGTACATAGCCAGTCCTTGGTTAAGTGCCAGTGATTTATGTTTTCCCTTTCCCAGGCGTGGAGTCTGACTTCTTAGCACATAGTGCCAACAGGGCCGTTTTCCTTGCTGAAGACGCACTGGGAGAACAGGACGACGTGGTGAACCGCTCAAAAATCAAGGACGACCGTCTGCTGCGGGACATAAACCACAGAATGGTAAGAAATGGTCGATAAAGAGATATAACGACAATCGAATATATTTAAAAGAGATAATAAGACATAACTTTGGTGGGTGGAGAATGGCGGTTTTCTAGATTTTGAGAGCAATTTTATCATGTTGCATCAAATGTCGTCGACTTGAAATAAACGTAATTTATGTTTATGATGTTGTTGCGTCTAAATTCACAACGTTTTATTGTTGTATATTTGTCAAGTATATTTGAAAAAAGAGGACTATTTGGTGTATGGTAAACACGTTTTCAAATATTTAGTATTTCGTCTTTATGTCAATGCCGACTCAGCTATTAATACTAACTTCTTGTGCAGCACCTATCTTATCGGTAAACGGCTTAATATTTAACTTCAAATTTCAGGTAAACAGATGAAAAAATAATTTCCAATAGCACTTTTCTGCTTGTCATTGTTATTGCACATTTATTTTAATGCTTGACTGTTTTGTAGGTGCTCTGCTTCTCAACATTGCAATTAAAACTATTATTTTTTAATTATAAAAGATGAAATACACGTGATCGCTTAATTAATTCTTGCCAGAAGATTATAATGTTTACCTTGACGCTAGTTTTTGTGTAACTCAGCGTTGGTTGGATCTTGAGAGTGTGAAACCGTCCTCAGAGGTTCGCTCAAAACGAGGTTTCCGTAAGAAAATCTACAGTCACAACCACCCAACCTCAGACGACTACATCGACTTCCTCTTCCAACCACTTAAAGCCAAACGCAGAGAAATGCGCCGCCGTGTTGAGAACTGGGAAGACCCCAAAGAAACAGTGAAGCAGCGAATCCTGACAAAGAGCTACCGTTACGAACAGGAGGAGAAACGGAGGGCGAGGAGCCTCCCCAGAACGGCCCTTGATGTAGGTACCAAGGTGGCAGAAGAAGGAGATGTTGTTGCTGCCAAGTCAATAAAGTCGATCACAGATTATCCCAAGACAGTGTTGGGGCGTTTATATGAAACCTTGATGAGCACCTATGAAAACCTGCACAACCCATTAAACAGAGACGTAGACGACATCCTTTACGGCTCCTACCCGCGTTCCCTTTCTCAACCAGCCACAGAGCCTCGCCGCCTCAACCTCCCGCCCTCTACCGATGACGATGACGATATAGTGTCCCATCGTCGCGTGGGCGTCACTACATCTGGCGCCATGTACGAGAAGCCTAAGCGCCTTGACACCACCGTGGATGAGCGCTACTGGAACTGGGGCTCCTACGTTCAACAGCCTCGAAAGAACGTCGTTTTCATCTCTGGCACTCCCATCACATCTCAGACAGACATATCGGACAAGCTGGTGGATGAATTGGTGGAGAAAAGTGTGTACGTGGATCCCGATGAAGTGTACGAGACCCCCATCGCACAGCGTATCAATATCAAGGTAACAATCTCAAGAGGACCACATCCTGTTTCCCTCACCGACCAATCTCTACTACCATGTCATCGTCCATCTAGGAGATAACATTTAATATCTTTATGCCCAATTTAATTTTACTTTTCTTTTACTAAGATATAATGGTTTCATTCAATTTTGTATTTGAATTTTACAGATTTTGTATGTTATGAATTTAAGTAAAATGACAGTTTTGCTTTCCTTTAGAACTATAAATTAACTTGAGAACCTTCCCCATCAAAAGGAAAAGTGCAACTTGAAGGAGCTCTCAGAGTCAGTCTACGCGTGCAAAACTGTACTCTTCATGGGAACAAACCATGTGTTACGTGGCAATCAGCTGGGCGAAGGAAATCTTGGGAATGAAGCATTGCCTGGGGAGACGTCGCAAGCCACAAACGCATTCCGTTAGTGAGTGGTCGTTCCGTGAGTGCGTATTGGTTTTGCTCATACAAGCACTGCATGGGTCGCGACTATGTGTCCAGGAAAAACTAGCGCTATAGGCGAATCATCTTTTCTGCGCCTAACGTCTGTGTATGTAGATCTTTTTCATTTGGCGTGCAATGGTTCAGTCCTGTGTGCATCCTTTGAATACCAGTGACACATCTACATAAAGCATGTCCATACAACCATTCAGTATCTGAACACGTTTTAGGATGCATATGCATGATGAAAATACCCCTCATCAAGTAGGTTGCAGCGGCCAATCCCCAGCAGTGTTGTGGGTTACAGTTGGTATATGAAGGCAGTTCATGGCAGACAGGCAAGAAGTGGTGCAGTGATGTATGTGATTTCTACTGAGTTCAGTTTTCACACTAACAACAGCTGAGTTTGCTTTCAGGATGTGTCATATATTATGTTAGTTTACCCTTATTTTCAATCCATCCCTTTCCGCTATCTAAATCCAGAACCTATCTATCACACATGCATTCTATGTCTTCGTTTATTGGTTTTTGTTTCATTTTCAGCGTAGATTTCCAGAACCGGCCTATCTTTTCTCTATAGCGTAGTTATAGTACTAGTAAACCCACTATCTAAACTGTGCTCTGTTTGCGTTTCTCTCCTGCTAGGCTGCCGCCTCCCCCAAGGTACAATTCTCTTCTCACAGCTATCGCTCCAGGAGTGTTGGACGCGCCCCCAGCGTTCCCCCCATGGGAGTCAGCTACAGGGCCTCCAGTGTGGCTAGAAGGGTGCGGCAAGATTATTTTCCTTTTCGCCAGAGTTGCCAACAGAGAACTTTTTGAAAATCTCGCAATCCATTGTGCTATTTATGATAAAAGAGCGTTGACGACAACCTATTGTCAAAAATTTGCTTCAGTACCCAGTGTTGGCAACTCTGATATTTCCTGCGTTGTGTGATGCACTAGCTCCAATAGTTTTATGACAAGTTTAAAAAGCCTGGAGAGTCGTAACAAAATTTACAATTTACAGAAACTTGAACTTTTTATGTTAACACATTTGTAATGGTGATAGTAGAATGCGTCTAATTTAAGTCTTTTGTTTGACCAAAAGGGTATTTTATAGAAAACATTGTTAATATATTAAGAATTCGATATATACAAAACATGCGCATCCTTAAGATGAGGAAGCGTTTCTCAAGTGGAGCTAGTAGGTATTTGATGACCTTTAGTGCCTAAAGACAATTGGAATTCAGGTCCTGTTTCACAAAAAGTCTTTAAGTTATGGGGCTCAGCATAGACTGCTAAATTTGAATATCAGGAATCGTAAAGTAGACTTGGTGATATTGGCAAGCATGATGTTGACATGCCTGAATAAACCAAAGTTGTCACAGTGAATAAAAATCATTGTCAAGAGCATCTGGTTTTTTTAATGGGCACAATTTTAAGGGGCGAAAATACGAGCTAAATACGGAATTTAGGCGACTGTCAACTATACAGGTAGCAGTCTATACTAAGGCCGATTTTGACTTTAGTCGTTTTGTGACAGGCACCAAGAGTAAGCAATAATGGGTGGATAAGGTGTACTTAAAACAAAACGAAAAGTACAAATCGAAAACAATCAATTCAAAAGAGCAAATGCATTTTATCCATTTATTTTTTGCTGTGCGTGTACCTTTAGCAACAGTGGTGTAATTCTTTATTCCCAGCAAATAGTAGCCACTGCATATTTGTGAGAATTTCTTGTTATAAGTGAAACACTGTTATCATTTTTGTTACTTCGGGCTTTGAGAAAGTCATCAATGTATAGCTCATTCCCAATGAAACTGTCGGTTTACGTAGATCGATCCAAGGCGGTTAATAAGATAATCTAATTGCATTCAGCGAAAGTCTCCTTGCAATTGGATCGCTCTACGTAGCACGACGCTTTCACTGAGAAAGAGCCCTAAGATTGTCCAACATTTGCTGTTGGAACACTCTGTAGTCTTTTCTTGTTTCCCCAAACTCTTGTTTGTGCGTGCTGTTCTATCACCTCACCCTTACCCCCTCATTTTACAGCGCGCCAAGTCCGTGGAGCCCATCCCAATCAGCGTGGACTACTCTTTAAGAGCACACAGGAGACCCATGCAGGACTCTTTGATCACAGACCGATTGTACTTGGACAGAGCCTATGCCGCCGCTTCTGGCATTGCAGACAGCACCAGGGGCTTGGATTGGGACGTATGGCAATCCTACTTTTTGCCTTATTGTCAGTCATTTAAAGGCAACTATTGCCGGGGCACCAATGGGGGCTGTAGTGATGATATTATCGGTTATTTAGATGAAGATAATTCACTCGAACGGGGACAGCGCGTTCTTCTTATCCCAACGTAGTGTCCTTGTCTTCTTAAGCTATAAAAATGTTGATACATTTTAGATGTTTTGACTAATTTAATAACATTGTACCTCTAGTTCCCTTAATCTCTTGGTCTATCAAGGAGAATTTCTTCTGTCACCTTCTCTTGTTTTTCGGAATGTCGTCTGTTAACGTATCTATGATAATCACAGCGACCTATTTTCAATAAACCTAAAGATCATTGGAATGTACCTTGCAATTTCCTCCAATCAAACTTGTGTGAACCATAGCCTACCCTTACCTTTTGTTTCATATCCTTGCACCCACAGACCGGAAGGCACTCCATCCTGTCCCCGTCGTTCACACCTTACGGCGTCTCGTCCTACTACTCGAGCGTCTCCCGCTCTCGCCGTGCGTCCTCCGTGCCTCCTCTGCCGGTGTATAGTAGCTTGTACAGCAGGTCCGTGCGCAGAGGTGGAGGAGAGGACAAGGAGCAAGAGTACGTGTACCCAGGGAGTCACTACCCGAGCTTCAGGAGCCTTGTTGGGCACGTCTCACCCTACCGGTCGTACTCATCATACGGACTTGGGCAAAGCGGGGATCGGCTTAGCTACTCGTACGGGAGGAGCCACCCGGTCCCGTCAGGCACGACCAGAATTAAGGTGGATCTGAGTGGTAGAGGAGGCGAACCTGATGTCAGGTTTTATCAGGTGAGAATTTTTTTTGTGCCACGACAACTTTCTGTTCTGTATTACCCACTATTTCTCTTACTGAGACAGTACACGAAATCACCTATTTCGGAAAAGAAGAGCCGCGCAAAATGGTAAGTTTTAGATAACAGTATTAAAGATAATTCTGACTCACGTGTTTGATTTGTGATTTCTCTTTGAATTATAATACTAGTGCTTATCTTAACAAGAGGCATTGACTGACGTTGACGGATAGTTATTTCTTATCCAATAAACTTTTGCGTTTTGTATTTTGCACTCATCTGCGTTTTTGATCTCACACTTACTTGCTTTTAACCTCAATAGTATAGCTAATGCGTTCATGCATGTATATGTTGTCAGTGACCATCTTCTTTTCCTTGTCTCCAAGATTCTTCTCTGAGACAAGTTTCTGACATAAACATCTATAACACTGCGCATTGTTGCCATCACTAGTCGCGTGAATTTTTGCCAGCGTTAGCTTTTTGTAGCGTTAGTTTTTTTTGTAGCGTGTGAAATCTTCCACTTTTGGAGGACTTCTGGCGGCCACGTGATGGTCACGTGGGCACACACTGCGTATTCACGGACTCTGAGAGCTCGCTCATCTTGTAGTAACATTTCATGCCGTGTGCAAAGTTTGCATTTTCACTCATTTATTTCTTTCGTTCTGCTTTACATTTATTACTAATTATGTTTAGGCTGCTTTGAAGTTAGGTGAATATAATCCAAAACCGACTAAGTTCCAACGACGAAAGGGACAATCCCAAAACTGGAAAAGGTAAAGGCGTGAATGTGAAACTTTCAGATTTGCTTAAATTTGTAATGACTAGATTAATTTTTTGGAACTGATCAGTTTCACGTATATAAATAAATTATGTTAAAGAATGAGTGGGAACATGCACATCAAACTTTTGTTATGGTGCTTTGTTTTTATTGTTATATTTTTAAAGAAATATGTCTTGTTACAAGGGCTGTTTTTTTCAATATAGCACAGTAAGTTTGCTGATTCATGACGTACGTGCTGTTGATAACACAATTTACTGTTATTTTATAATACAAGAGCACTTCAATTATGCATTCATTATCATCACGTTCTTTCATTCAGCTTTAATGCTTGGCAAATAGGACATTATTTTATTCATGCTCCGACTGCAAGTTTACGCTTGACCTTAAGTTAATTAAGATACTGATTTTCAACTACCGGATTTGCAATTTGCCTAGGCTAACTGTCAAATGAAGTGGTGCCTGGGCACATTTTGAATAGTATCATACAGGGCACCTCGCTGTTTGACTGTCAGTGTGAGATTGTTCAAAACTGGAGGCTTATGTACTGTTTTTTGGATACATGAGATTAGAAATATTATACTTCAGACCATATTGCTTCTTCATTATTTGTCGAACCTTGATTTATAAATAATTACCTTAAATAAACTCTAAATGCAATTCGAAATTAAGTCAATAATGAAAATAAAAGAAATTAATGATATAAACAAAAAAATAAAACACATGCTTCTTCACTTTTCAGGGGTTGAAAGATTTAAATGTACCAGAGACCATTCCTAGCGAACAAATAACGTTATTATAACGCTACTATAACGTTAAATAACATAAAAACGTTATGGTAACGTTAGGGAACGTCATAAAACTCTTTGTTTGCTGGGTCTTTTGTTTTATTAGTGTCGAAAGCAATTGTTGTAAACCTTTTTTTGTTATTCATCTATTAAGTTCAAAATGTACTATTTGGACCTTGGCTTAATCCACATAACAGACTGACAAACTATTCCAGTGAAACCTCAGCTAGAGGAAGTAACCTTCATAAGTATGTTTTATACTTATGACTTTAGTACGGGATCTATGGCTCTATTCCCATAGATTTTAGATCGATCTATCCCCGCGGGGAGTCTCACTAGAATACTTTCAGATAATCCGGCTTAAATGTCCGTCCCGCCTACTACTAGCTGTAAGGGGGTAATTAACTTTCGTGTCCGCCCGGCTGACAGCTATTTAGCGTGAACCCCCAGGGAGTTAGGTCGATCTAAAGTAGGTCGATCTAATCTATGGAAATGGGGTGTATCGCTTCCGTTTTCCCTTTCTTTCCATTTTCTGTATCTGAACGTGACATGAAAGGCAGCTATTACGTACAGGAAGTCTAATAATATGCACTCCCCTTGTTGTGAGAATGATACTAGGTGGCTTTTTTCAGCTCAATTTTTTCTCCAATAAAAAGCGATCTAGAATCAGAAATACGAACCAACATTGATCTTGCTATTAGTAGTTACAAAACTTGCTGCTGCGATCCGCCCTTTTCAGGACCACTTATTGTGTCGTCAATTGGATTTTTACAGATATTTTGTTCATAAGAAATGGGCAGTTACCATTTGGAAAAATGAAGAACAAATTGCAGTTTTATTAATTAATAAAGAAAGTTTATTAGATAAGTTAGTGATGTGCTATATTTAGTTTTTTTAAGTGACTTGGAAACGAGCATCACAATATATTGTTTTTTGTTTTACTAATTCATATTCACTCTTGCCTTGTAAAGCCCAAGTGAGGTATTTCCCTCAATGCTTTATAGGAAAAAAACCAAGGGGTCCCGTAACATCTCCGAAGGTGAAAATATATTTGAACATGGATAAACTGCAGTTTTTAACAATCCAAAGCACACTAAGGCAGTCAAATGCATGAACATTGTGTTTGAATGCCGCCTAGGCGAACTGCAAATCTGCTTTAATGAGATGCCAATTGATATTTTGACAAGGCGAATTGCCAATCTGCCTGGATTTGAATCTCAACTGTGACAAAGCTCATAAACGGGAGGCGACCGAAAGGGGGACGAATCACCACATACGTAGAAAACTACACATAGTATCACCTCCTTTTCCACAACACTCATCGGCATTGTCATCAGCGTCATCCTTCCATCCTCGCCCGCAGAATCTTATTTTCCCTTCCTCTTTCTATTTTGATCTTGTTAGCATATGCCGTCCATAATATCAAGTCCCTGGGCAAAGGTTCTGAAAATATCGGATGTTTCTGATAGGGTGAGTCGAAACTACACGAAGTTCAGGGTATCCTTTCTGTTACAAAGCCTCGCTTTCTGGTTCTGATTTACACCATCCTCGTTTTTAGGACAATGCAAATGAAAAAGTCAGTTATCAAATAGAACTGTAGTAAGTAAAAGCAGTTCAGTGCTATATAAACCGAAAACGATACTTGGATAAAAATGATCAACTGAGATCTCCTGAATTTGTTTTTGTGTATTAAGTGTTTATTCGCTCGCATTTCTCAAAAAGAAGCAGCGAGTTTGTGAGGTTGGAAACGATTGAAGGATACTCTGAACAAGACGTCCAAGAGTGTTTGGTATATATTGAGAAAGCAAGAAAATGTCAGCCAGACAACTGTTTGGTAGTTGAGACTCACTTCATCACTGCCATATCCCCTGTCATCACGCCCTTCATTTACAAAACTCCCATGTAAAATTGGACTCGCTCTTTTGCATCACACCTTAATGATTTAAGTACATATATGCGGAGACTGGGAAATCAAAACTGTTTGCTACAAGTGTACTGTATTTTTCACTTTAATTTGGGACTTTTTGACACGTTTCGCAAATTCCCACTACGTCATTTGTACATGAAGTATACCTCATGATAATATCCACTATAATTCCTTCCTTGATGCAGAACGTAAGTCAGTCATATTCATCCGTTTCATATGATGACATGCTTCAGAAAAAATGAGGCGACCATGAAATAAAATTGCATTAAATTACATGTGAATGGGGCTTTGGCGGGGCTACAGTAGCTGTATATTTGTCAATATACTAACTTATGTCTGTTTTTCTATCTTTAGCCTTGGAGACACTCACTTGTAACTTCAGCTCCGAAACGTAGCCCCTTGCACATCGAGGTAAGTGTGTTTTGGTTTTAATTGATATCACGCCCACTATCGTTCTGTAACTGAGTACCTGAATCCCAGTATGGGACGCTTATATATAGACTATGATCTCTTAAATGGGAGGGCGTACGCTATGATTGGTAATTAGTTTAGAATTTATCGATTGGATTTTGTGACATCATTTAATTCAGATGAGAATGATTGTGCTTTGGGTAAACTTATTGTGATCAGATATACAGCATATAAAGTTTTGCCACTAAAAGTGTTAGAAAATGTTATACATGTAGTTTTGCAGAATATTTCTCATGTAAACTGACTCAGGAAACTTTTGTAATAAGTCACTACAGCATCTCCTTTAAACATTTTTAAGCAAATGGATAAATGGATATGTATTTAGTCAGAAAAACATTCTTTGCTTTGATTACCTTCTATTATTTTCCGTGCATTTTGTAACTACCATACATGTAGAACGTAGACAGCACACGAATGACCACCACGTTGTTTCTTCCTGCAAGAGACAGGCAGTATCCCTTGGAATTAAGTTTACCTGTGCTACCAGTTCCGAAATTGCCTCACGAAGCTTATCGTAGATCTATATTTACACATGTCGATTTGTATATTTGTTAAATGTATCTCAAAGCTGCCAAGTGAAATGCTTGTAAAAATGATACACTCAAAGGAGGGTCTGAATATACTGATACTTTTCGAGAGATCGTGAACGGTAACATTATATGGTGCAGGTTGAACTTCATTTACGCAAGGGGTACGATCACGTGGCATTAGTCCTATTCCTAATTACCATGTCCCCTATCTGTACCCATTTCAGCGGAGCTACGAGCTGCCCCACTCTTTTTTGTCTCCCCGTACCTCCCTCTACAGCTCTTACACGTCACACCGACGTGTGTTCTAAAGGTGCGGAATTCAGGTGGTATTTATCAGCTACGACTTGTGACATGCGCAGCACTTCTCCTTCCGGCAGCCATATTTGTGTTCACCAGCTTGGTCCCATATTTATTATTATTATTATGATTTATTTCTTGAAATTGGTTCTTTTTTCATTACATTCATATTTAGACTTTTCTTTTATTTTGCTGGCTCGAATATGGTTGTCACCTGCACAAGCTAATCCCAAGAAGTTCTCTAGCGCATTATTTTATTTGTGCATTCAGTTAATCAAGACTAAGCGCTCGGCTTGTTGTTGTTGGCATTTCAATTGTTCTCTCTTGCCATGTTTCACAGAAAAGGCTCTTGACCATGACCGAGCCCGATTTCCCTCCCCCATCCCACTTTCGACATTTACGAACGATGTTGGGTGAATTACACAACACAATGGATAAGGAGCGTATGCTGATTGACAGATACTTAAAGGAAGACTTGGGACCCGAGACAACTAGTCAAAAGACAATGAAATCGGTGTCTTCCAGGTAATAGAAGGCATGGTGTGCCTCACGTGGCGTGCGAGCCTCTTGCCTGCTTAGAGACATGTAGCAGCTTGTCATAATTCGATGACCTGGTTCCTCATTGTATCGTTTAAAAAAGCTTCAAAAAAGAGGAAAAAATATCATTTTCTGCACATTCACATTCTATGTTTTCACTTTCTGGATAAGCAAGAACAAAATTTATCTATCGACTGAAATTTAAAGATTTTTCATCAGCTGTTCTGCCTTTTGTAGCGTAGCAAATTTTAGTTCGCAAACGTTTTCCTCTCCAAATTTCAACACCCTACTCCATTCCCTCTTCCCTATGTCTGTCTGTCTCTATTCCCCCTTTCTCTCTCTCTCTGTCTCTGAGATAACCTGTATAAATTGCTTAGTCATCACTAGGTTTTCGTTTCGTAGGCTTTCGACGGTCCGCGAATTATTCCAGTATATAAAGTTCACCCCAAAGACCCCCACATTATGGTTGAGCCATGGCAAGTAGACCTTTAAGGAAACACTGACACTTCAGCATGAGGAGCTGGTGACGATATCGCAGTTTTACACTTTAGACTATAGTGTCAGCTATAACGTTTACAAATGTTCAAAACTGCCTAGAAAACATTTGTATAGCTACAGTATCAAAAGCGATACGCGATGGAACACATTTGTTTTATACGCCGTAATTGCTACAAATTATATATATTATTTTAGACACGTGGTTTTCTCGCAGAACGAAACAAACGCGTCTATGATGATCGACTTTAAGGGTGGTTGCACTTTTACTGAACAGCTGAATGACAAACCAATCTTTAAGAGCGATAGCTAACGGAACCAGCTCATCATGATACAGCAGAGATGCCAACTTGCGCCCTTTGTTTGTCTTAAAAGTCTTAAAATCAGTTTGGAGTCGCCATTATTTTGACGTTTGAGAAAAAATGTTTACAACCAAACGACTGATGATTGTTTGAGTTAACATTCATGGAGTGAGTTGGCATGTCTTTGTTTAAAACTGAAGGCGAAACTATTGTAATGAATTATTCACTGAGTGAGACTTTCCCAAATACTAAGCAAAGGGCTTACTGTTGGAACCAAATTATGGCGAAAAACAATGCAAAAACGAAATAATCTACCTGCTTTGTTAAAAAAGAATCAAAGTGTTTTTTGCAAATTTGAAAAGACAAATTTTCAGGCACGTTTTTCTTTTTATTCGTAGTCAATGAGAAGTGATGCTCAGGCGATTATAGATACGCCATTTAGCGGTTCCAACGGGTGGGCTCGAACCATGGTCTCACTCGGTAAGATAAAACGCGTGTATAAATTTGACTTTCCAATTGAAATTACCACTTAGGTAGAAATTTAAAATAGTTATGTGGTGTGTTCATATGGTACGCTTATATTTGCTTGGCTTAATGTGAAAGCTTTTGAAGAATGCACAGTGGAGTATGTGTAGTGTAAAAGTAACTGTAGCCACGTTAGACCCCACCCTCTACTGGTCACTCTCACACTCGTGTTGTTGAGCCATGTCAGATAGCTGTCAGCTACTGATGTGAGCTGTACGTGGTGGAGTCTTAATTCTAACATCGTTAATGTTCGGCAATGCTATCGTTTACTACATACTGTATGTCATATAATGGACTTGGAGAAAAGATAAATTAACAGTCGCCTTGATGATGGGAATGATTACCGCTTGAACTTCAGTTTCAGCTAAATGTTTTTTCTTTTCGATTTGTCCACCAAATAAATTATCTTTTATCTTTAGATTTTAAGCGTGTCGGAGTTATTAAAAACTTGTTTCGGTAAGCTTCGAGCGTAATCTAAATTGAGGAATTTTCTTAGTGCTGTAACAAAGTTCAATATACGAAAACCCCTCAAGAAACAACACTCACACGCACAAACACTGCCCCATCTACTTCACACACACACACACACACACACACACACATCTTTGTCACAGCTGTCCAGTTGTGGTATTTGACAAACTACGATCTTCCATTTCAGCGAAAGCCAAGGCAGCTCGGTGAGTTGGAGGGCCTCGCTTGGTTCTGAATACATTTGCAATGTTCAAGCCGTTCTTTCTTATGTTTAACATTGTTTTATTTTCATTTTTTGCTACTTGTTCACTCTTTACGTAATGGCATTCAGAGTACTCAGACTATTTATTGGAAGTTTTTTTGTTATTTTGTGGGAAGACGGGGCCACTTTCTATGCAGTTTCTGTTGTGTAAACATTCATCTTATAGCAATACATTTTCTCTGCTTTATCTTATATTCTAATTTCGTTTCTTTGAGCATTTTTATTATGCATCTTCCGTTCTCTTGGCGTTCGTTATATTTCAAAGCGTTTTATTTATAGATTTAGCATGCGAATAACTTCAAATAAACAGTGTAGTTTATGGACTGGGTAATGTACTATAATCTTGTAGGAAGTTCCCATTTTTTTAGAATAAAAAATCTATGCAGTAGTAACGTAGTGACATCTTCTGAATAGCTGCGTCTGTCGGCCATATTGCTTTTTGCGGCGTGGGTTGGGGGTCAAGGCATTTTGACAAACATGCCGATCCAAATCTTGACGCGCCTTTCGAACCGCTGATAACCACCCTATTTTGGCCATATCTTTGCTCTGAAGTCTCCCAGTCTCTCCATTTCTTTCTGTTTCTTCATTTTTGCTTCTACATTTTACTCTTTTCTACCACTTTTCTGCCACTGTGTTTTAAAACAAAGAATTTGTAGTTATGATTTTTGCTATTAAGCAATGATAACCTGGGTAAAGCATTTTTATATATGAGATATACGATGTGACCGTTTACTTGTTTTACTGTTAATGGTGTAAAGCAAACGAGTGTGGATTCTTTCAACGTCACTGTTAAGTGTGCTATTACATGTGTAACACCACGTAACACATATATTGTATTATACTCACGCACAACTGCTTGGCGATGTCGAGACCCCGTCAGTACCGCTCATAGAAGACGATTTCAAAACTACTAATTGCTCATTCATATATACTGTGCCGATATATATATATATATATATATATATATATATATATATATATATATATAACCATGGTTCGTTAAGAAACCGTCTGCCATGTACCTGATCACAGTACGCACTTACAAATGGCTGAACACTTTTTGCCAAAAGATTAAATAAAAAAAAAACATAAACTTAATTATTATCAGGGGACAGTTTTGTAGACTTTTTGCACAATGCGACTTGTCTGAGAAAATACGCATCATTACGCAGTTGTGGCGGGCACCATACCCCTTAGCACGAAAATTCATGCGTTAGCACTCCTTTTGACGATTCTGATATGTACTGTCGTTAGCACAGACAGTACATATCAAAATCGTCAATAGGAGTGCTAACGCATGAATTTTCTTGCTACATACCCCGGATCAGTGTTTAGTAAGCACATATTGACGTAGATCTTACCACGCCCCCTATAGTTCTGTAAGCTGCAGTCCTGTAACTAACAGTGTATCGACTGTTCTGCAGCTACATCCTAGGTAATACGTGTATATGAGCGGTACTGGCGATCTTTTTAACCAAATGCATGAGCCTGTGACCTCACTACCTTCCCTTGCTTTGCACAGTCTGGGCCGCCTCAAAACAATGGTGTACCCCCCGTCTCTGATACCAGACAAAAGTTGCGAGAACTGATCTGCAGGGGCAAGAACGACCCCCATTACTTCTCAACCTAACTGCGCCCTCTTTTGTGAGTTTTTGCGAGTGATGGACGGTGAGTAAACGTAGTGGTTAGATTTCGTCGAATGAAATACAAATTCTACTTAGATTGCCCCTTTTAAAAAATTATATATTAGTTTTGTCTCTATTTTTTGAGACAACATTAAAACCATTTTGACAATATTCATATTAATTTAGATAAAATTGGTAAAATCAATCGCCCAGCAGTAACCAAGAAAGCATGGTACCATTTTTAACCTTTCTCTAATTATGAATATTCCTGACCTTGCTGTATGCTTCCCCCACCGTTTCCACGCCCTATCATTGTTGCACCAGCTTGTCACCAATCTGTATATGGGCTATTTTCAACAATACCCCTCAATCTTCAAACATACCACTATTTATCATGCACTTAACTTGATTGCTGTGATGCGTGGCTATAACCATACACGCCAATATCGGCACATACATATACGTTTATGTTGGTATAGCATGAGGTATTTCTTTTTGTAGAATGGGGAACATACTGTTTTAGTCAACTTATTTGTTTTGTGTTTCAAATATACCTCGTAATTGCATTTGAATTGTAAAGGTACTGGCTTTCCAAGTTAGAAAACGAAATCCTAAATATCAGAATATAAGTTTTTTTTCTATTTTCAGCAGTAGAACGATGAGCTAGTAGCAGACGATACCACAATTGAAAATTACCCACTTTACCGCCGAAAATGAGTGAACACTCATCCAAACAAACAAAGAATAAGAAACTATAAGCTGAATATTCTCCGCGAGCTGCCGGTGGAGACAGTTGCAATTTATTCTGGCATTATTATCTAACACTTGTTATGCGACTTCAGCTCATTTCGTAATCAAACGGCCTGAAGCTTTGAACGGTTTGTCATCTGCTCGAATGCTTTATGGAGTTTTGCCAAGTTTTTGATGCAGTTGACTGCCGCCGACTGAAAGGTTCATGCTGAAACAAGACGCTCCAACGTCTTGGTCACTTGAAAAGAACGAGTTAAAAAGGTTTAGACGGAAGAAAGCAACGGAACTAAAAATAGAAAATTATTTACAAAAAGCTAGCTTATTTCGTATTCATTTTTCAAATCTCATCGAGCCATCAGCTGAGTACACTCATGTTATTTTCTCATATCTATTATCTCATATTATCTCATAATGACGCCGTACCTAAGTAACGTGATAAATTGAAGCTAACGTGGAAGGTCAGAGTTCGTTCGGAACTTAGTCATTAAGTCAACTAGATCGTCAGCAGATATAAAGAGGGGAACTGAGGCAGAGTAGTGGAACGGACTCGGACTCAATAAAGCTTCGAAACCCAATCAACCAACAGGGAAAACGACAAACAAACGGACAAAAAAAGATGGCGCGCATCCTAACGCTACTCTGCCTTATTTTCCCACCACGAAAACAACGGATGCACAGAAAGGGAAGTTAGCCAAAAGTTACAAACACTGCCAACGGCATTCACACCGCAGACGAACATGTCGATTACGTTTTCTCAGCAGACGACAACGTGGAGACGCATACGACTGTGGACTGAAATGTACTGTGTTCCTCCCTCTGGATCCCACTCCTGAGGCTGTCTTGTTGTTGTTAGTGTAGACCCATTTGGGTGCTGTGCATGTAGAATCTTCCACTCACAGGGCAAAGACGTTCATAGTTATAATCTGCCGTATATAAGCCAGTAGTATTATTACCCTGTAACGTGAATGCGTATTATTAAGAATTTTTGAAAGTCGAGACACGTGTGAATACTGAATCGGTACTATGACGGATTTAAGGTTGGACGGTACGACTCCTTTAATGTATCCCGTTGCTTTAATAAAATTTTATAGAAAATGCGTAATTTATTTGATTTTTTATGCAGGCCGTTTTACGAAGCAAGCGTTATATATGAGATAGCACGTTTAGCCAAAGGGTATAATTGGGCCTATAAAATATTAAAGCCTATCTTCCATGGCTTCCTCAGCCACTTACATAATTCTTTTAGCATTTACTTTTGTTTATCAATAAACCAGCGTATCAGATAAGGAAACTGATCAACAGTGGAGGTGCATTATTGCAATCATTTGGTTTATTCGTTCAAAAGAGTTACTGCTTTGAAACATGGAACCAACTCTTATTTCAGTTACGGAAAGTTGTGGTTTTCTATTCAAATACTGACCAATCATACCGTTACATCTCCATATCCGCTCGAAACTAGAAGTAGACAGAAGGGTTCACATTTCGATACTTAAACTGTTGGCTACCTTTCTGGATTTTTTCATTCGATAATCAAATGACTTATCTTTCGTAATATGAACGTTTGAAACACCATTAATGCAATAACACCTATGCACATTTTCTATGAGGCAAATGCAATGCATTAGAACCAAACGTGTTGTATATTGAAAGCGTTCTTTATCAAAGTACTATTAAAGCGTTTTATGCATTACCGTACCGAGGATTGCAATTGTTTTTTTTATTCTGAGATGCCAATCAAAGCTGGAATACGCTTTTTTAGTTTAGCGTTCTTTATTATCATTATAATGCTTTTTTCCGCAGTACATCGTTTGAAAGACAGATTTATAAATTTCTTTTAATTTACAACCGTGTTAAAACGGAAACATTCACAAAATATTATAAAACGCACGGTGAACGTGTGACCAAGTTTTGGCAGATTTAATACTCAAAAGTTAAACAGCTGAATTCCCAAAGTTAAATCTGTCCAATGGTTCCAGAAAACAAATGCTTAGAGGTAGTGGGGATTTTTTTCTGGTTATATTGTCTGTAACACTGTTTGCAAACAAAATCAATCAAGTTATAGCATGAAATTCAGTTCCAATTTGATAGAATTTTTAATGAATTGGTCAACCATATTTCAACCTAACGGAGGCGCACCTAAATCTCTTTTTTGACAAAGATATCTTAATAATAAAAATAAGAGTGGTTGAAACAATTATTATTAGATAAAAACAGTCTGTATTCCAACGAGCTTGACCGAAGGTTTGAAGTATCGTTGTGTCTGCAGTAACGGCGGTGATATGGACATGTACAGGTCATAAAAGCATCAAATTTAAAAGCTGAATAAATTTGTGAAAATTTGAGCTAACATTTTGCCCTGATACTCATAACCAGCAGCTGGTGCTCTTTTTTTGTGGCTAATGTTACGTGTAGCTAATATCAGATTAGCGTTACATACACCTGCACTTGTATACAATAAACTGACGCCTGCTTGTATAATTTGATATCATTGTTAGATCACAATCAGAACATAATATCTTTCCACAATTGATGTTCTTCATTTATTGACATTGGCATTATTTTACACGTGCACGTATTAAAATATTACTTTTTTATTTGAAATACTCAAAAATTAGTATACATAAACTCTGCTATAAAAATCATAAAAGTGGGAATGTTGGTCTTTATCTAATACGGTGTGCATTCGTCAGTCCGATTTGCTACATGTTTGTGCAAAATATCTTACGAAGCTCCCAAAGAAATTCGACAAAGATACATTTAGCTATATACAGTATATACACCCTCCACCAATATAAAAACGAATGAACGTGGTGCAAAATTTGAAAAGTGCTGGTCTTTTCGAGTGGGTTGTTTATAATTCTTAAGTTAAAATTGGAAATCCAAAGTTGAAATTGGACTGTTTAAACAAAGAGAAGGATTATACATATAGTTTCAAAGAAGTGTAAGCGTTATACTGAACAGCTTATATATCACAGACTTCTTAATGGAAACGTGGAATGGTTCATTGATCGTCGTGGACCTTTATTTAATCAAAATATTATTTTGTGAAAACTGAACTGAATATTCAATTCAGTTTCGAATATTGCCTTAGGGGGACAATAAAACATTTAAGAGATTTAAATATCTAGAAAGCAAAAATATATGCAAAAATAAAAGCCACAGTGGAGGAATTTTTTTACACAAAGCCTGCGGGAGAATGGTTATTTCTAGTGAGTAAATATCAATTTAAACTTTGTGTTCTTCTTCAAAGGCCTTGTTCGCGTGACCATTTTGTTTCTCTGTAGGTTTGGGCTCTTTTGATTTACAACGCTTACAACAAAGCAGCTTGCTAATCGCCCTGTCATAAGGCTGCAGAGAGTGCAGCCACAAAGGCAGCCAGTCCCAAGTTCTCAGCTTTCTCGGCAAACACCGGGAACATTTTCGTTGACACACATTTATGAGAATGATAAGTAGGAACAGCAGCAGGAAAGTTCCCCCCACTCCCACCATGACCCACAGACCAGCCAGTGAGAGTCCAAACACCGCAAGCGGCAGGATAAAGTACATAGTTATTAAGTAAAACAAGGCAAACCAGCGGTACTTAGCTGTGGTGTTCCCCAGGGTTTTGGCCATCTTTATCGGCACCCTCATAAATGGAATGGGATAAAAAATGAGAATGCCGCTGATGTTGAAGAAGAGGTGAACGAAGGCGATTTGTAGCCCGCTTTCAAACTTGGACCCGCTGGAGGCCAGAGCGGCGATGAGGCCCGTACACGTGGTGCCGATGTTGGCGCCAAGCGTGAGAGGGTACATACGTTCTATGCTGATGACGCCTATTCCAACGAGGGGTGTCATGGCCGACGTAAAGATGGAACTGCTTTGCACCGCAATTGTCATTCCCGCTCCGACCAAGAGTGCGACGTACCCGGTTAAAAATGCCAATTTTCCCGGAAAGTCGGCGTTCAGGACTTTCTTTATGATTCTAGCTATGCTTCCCTTCAGGACAGAATGTAGAAGTTTCACTATCAAGGCCAGACACACGCACAGAATGAGGATGGCAATGATTAACAATACAATACCTGCAACAGTCTCGTCCAAATTAAAGTAGGAGAAGAGATACGTGCCTGAAAATAATATTTATGTAAACGTTAATAAACCAATCCATCCATAAAACTAGTTATAGGCCTTCATTTAAATTTGTAAATTTACCCGCCGAAGAAATAAAAGCGTATATAGAATAACTGAGAACCTAAATGACGATTGAAACAAGGTGCAAAATGCATGTACATGTATGTTCATGCACGCCTCAAATTTAGCACAAATAATCGCTGTGAAAATATAATTAGTGTTAAAATGCACATTAAAGTTTGGGTCCAAGAACATTTTCATTTGCGTTATGACTGGTGAAAATTCCTTAAATCTTATGGCGCTTGTTGGTGAAAATGCGCGAGGCTGCGTATGTGTGTGGGTATGGGGCCCGGGAGAGGGGGGTGCTGGTTTGCAGCAACATATTTATTACATTGCATTGTCACCAAGGTGCATCAGCTACCTGCTGCTTTTAGTTCATCTACTTACACCTGCTGACCCCGACTGATTTTTCTTCCAATGTCGTTTGGTTCCACTTATACGACACTCCAGCAGGGGAGGATTCATTGTAGAATGTGTTATTTCCAATTAACCCTTTCACGTAGTTAAGCCACGTGGCATTATCTGATTGTGCTGAAACGTAAAGGAATATATTCAATTTGAAGTCAATTGATTCGATTAAGTCAATTTCAATAACTTGGACCCACACACAAAATAGTTTCTAAACAGAAAAAGTCGAGGCTTATTTACTCGTGCCGTTTAATCATACTGGCAGGTCATGCAACGCTACGCAACGTTATACTGTAGTTTATTACTAGCGGGGCCAGGCCTTTGTGTTAAAGGGGGGGGGGGGTGTGTGTGTTAAACATTGCGTTTTCTTACCCAATGGAATAGTAAAATTCATGTGCGTCGTTTCGTTGTAAAGGACGGTCTTAGTTTTACACCATTCCAACTGTAGAGGTTCTGACGCTTTTTCAGTGTCTCCGGCAGCAATAGCAATAATCACGTTCTTGTCAAGCTAATAAATGAGAATGTGCTGTGTATAATTCACAATGCTGTTAATGATAGTGTCATTTTACCAGCTTGCTTCTGTCTTTCAGTTTTTAAAAGTAATAAGCTTTAGATAAGCTTCAGTAGGCCTATGAAAGGAAGCAAAAGTAGACTGTAGTTTGAAGTCTCCTGTGAATTTAAATTAAATGTACAAGAACATATAAAACCCTCTTAAAACATTATATCTTATATTTTTTTTTGAAGTAGTGTAATTTTAAATACGTGGGGTTGTAGGAATTAGCATGATTACAAAGCTGAATCAAATTATCAATACACATGTATGCGTACAGTAGGCCCAACACACGTATTTATGTATCCACAGAATACTCACTTTTATGAGGAGCCCTGTGAAAGGTGATGTGACCAGCTTGAAGAAATCAATCTTGGCACCTGTTGTAACCAGAGGCATACTGTTGATAAGGAGGTCGGTTAGACGGTACATGTAACCGGAAACAGCTTCCACCGGGAGAAGCACGAGGACGCACAGCCAGTTGAACATGTCGTGGACAGTGGCACCCGCAAACGCGCGCCGAAATTCGTTCCTGTCTGCCGACTGCCCCATGGCGACTATGGTGTTGGTGACGGACGTGCCGATATTGGCGCCCATTATCATTGGGATAGCGGTAGGAACGCTGATGACTATAAATATTAATTAATAACATATAACTGATATGTTCTTCGAAATCATGTAGTACGAAAAAGGAGCAACATTACTAATCCAACCAATCCACATCCCCCACATAACTGTAAATTTTCACCACAACAGTCAAAAAATGTTTTAACAAAGCCGATTCAAAATTGTCCACTGACAAACGCATAAGCCAAAGAAATGAACTAAGTAAGACCTAAATACGAACTAAGTAATATCTGAACTTTTTTTAAAGCTACTCACTATTCGACGCCACCATTGTGACAATAATTGAGGTAGACGTTGAGGAACTTTGGACCAGTACGGTGCCTAAGACACCAATCATCAGGCCAGCCACGTCGTTACCAAGGATACTGTCCTCGGAAAACACAGTACCGGCAGCGCGACCTGGTGAGTGAAAATGTGGCGCATATTATTAGTGTGGGAGTTAAAGAGGGAAGTAAGAAAAATGCATTAGCTTTACAAATAGAAAGTTTCTCTTAAAAAGAACACATTAACATACAGATACATGTATATTATGATAAAGTTATTTTTGTGTTCAATGGACGGCAGACTCGAAGGCTACATTGAAGTAAAAAAATGACATCAAAGCTTTTCGGCAATTTACCCCCAATGAGTTGGAAAGACGATCCTAGGAGGTCCAAAGAACAAATGAACAATAGCAGGAGGGCGACCAGCCCTATCGCCTTCAACAGGCTGATCAGTACTCGCTGTATTTTCTGGGCCCCTGATAATTCTGGAATAAATGTAAGGGAAAATGAAATTAGAAAGTAACTTTACAAATTTTAAATATCAATTTGTTTAAATAAATTTCATTTCGATATTTTATATGTAATTCTTATTTTCGAGTAAAACGGAACCTTGCCTTTAAAATAACAAGTTAGGTAGAAGATAATTGTAAATAAGACTAAAAATGGATAACGTCTCGAAAATGTTATATAATTAATTTGAAGTTTTTTTTTCTTTATTATATCACTTAATCTACTAATACCGTCATTAAAAGCCTGCAAGTAAGGGAATTTAAATGTTTTAAACGTGTTTTTTAGTTGATATTAATTCAGCATTCAACAAAGCTCACTTTAACACGATAAAATAATACGCCATCTCTGCCTTTAACTGTTTTGTTTCAGCAACCGACGGTCCTGTCTACTACCTTCAGATGTCATTACATCCATCCCCACTTTGAATTACTTCTACCTGGGGTTGAAAAGTAAATTAAAAATAATATTTATACATGCACGGTGTCTAACACAAAAGTTGCAAAAGTCCACATGTGAATCGTATGTAACAGTCTTTAAAAAATGTGACACATTAGCAGTCACTGGTCCAATGGTAACTGATTCTTGAATAAAATCACTTAAATTGTAGCACTGTCTTATTGTATTTCTCTCTCGTTTTTTAAAATACAAACTTGAAACTTTAAATGTTGTAATAACAAATCAATGTCTCTAAAAACAAGTGATAAAAGTCCTGCACTTTGCAGTATTTTGTGATCTTAGTGTTCACTGGGTACATTTATATGACACGGTAATGCGCAAGAATATTGCTAGGATTCTGTTGATTTATGAAAACCAATTAAACTCGGGCAGAATGGTTCCTACCAGCAAGTAACATAAGATAATTTAAGTTGATGCTTACTAAAAGTGGAAGGGATTTTATCCCTTCCTTAATCGTTTAAAACAATTTAACATTTTCACGATACATTACAAGTCCTGCCCTTGACACTGATACCATTTTTCTAATTTCACAAATGGGGCAACATCCTAATGACCTACTTATTTTAAAGTTCTACTAGTACTCACTACAAAACATGCAAATCAGACGATCACCAGAAATGCTTCACATTTTCAGAAGGTAAATATTTCAGACAATGTGATTATTTCTCCAGATGAAGGGGAAGAAGAAGAAAACGAAATAGAGAATGTGAAAACAGACATTTCAGCCAGCGAACAAAGTGGACAGTTCTCAGCGAAAGAACCAAAATCAGCAGATTTAAGGAGAGCCCAAAGAGCAAGGAAAATCCCTGAAAGAATCAAGGAGTTTGTGTTATAAAAATGTTTAGTTAGCTACCAAGTGGTAAAGACTTGGTTTAGAGAGTGATGTACTGGCAACCTCTCCTCTCTTTTAGGGCTTAATTTTATTTCTTTCTCAAAGTAATTCAAACTGTGACAGTGAACACTAAGATCACAAAATACTGCAAAGTGCAGGACTTTTATCACTTGTTTTTAGAGACATTGATTTGTTATTACAACATTTAAAGTTTCAAGTTTGTATTTTAAAAAACGAGAGAGAAATACAATAAGACAGTGCTACAATTTAAGTGATTTTATTCAAGAATCAGTTACCATTGGACCAGTGACTGCTAATGTGTCACATTTTTTAAAGACTGTTACATACGATTCACATGTGGACTTTTGCAACTTTTGTGTTAGACACCGTGCATGTATAAATATTATTTTTAATTTACTTTTCAACCCCAGGTAGAAGTAATTCAAAGTGGGGATGGATGTAATGTAGTAGTTTGATTGTATGCGCGTGTTATATCTTATGCGTAGAGTTCACGTCATCAGTTATACACTTGACGGAATAAAGAGCACATGGTCTCTCAAACCACCGTCTCATCGACTCACTTTATTATATTTACTAAGGTCAAGGTGACCCTGGCTATCTTTTGGTCTCTCTGTATCAACTTCCACCGCTTACATAATTTGTCCATTTCAAGCAACGTCCATTTTAAAGTTTCTAGATGATAATAATATTTGACCTCAGGTCACGCCCTACCTGACCAGGGGGGGCCAGAGTCCTTGAGTTCGGGCAGAGCCCAGGGGTCAAACGGTTCCTCATCCTGGTGTTCCTTGCCCTCAGCCGTCGTGAGGTCGACCTGGGACTCGCCGGTCTGACCACTGCCATAGTCTGCTGGGGACGCAGTTTGATTCTGAAATATAGTTTTGGTGTGCTAAGAATAAGAGGGGTGTATTTTGTTGAATTAGCTTATGCCCACTAACTCCAAGGGGACTCCCGCTTAATGCAGTCAGATGAAGAAACTAACACGCCTCTTTTTGGCGTTGGATAGAATTTATAAAAGCTGGTGATTATACGAGTAGAAAACAAGTCTGTTAACATGACTGCAGTCAACGACAGTCATCGTAGAGTTAGTATGCATTAGCTAGGCCGACAAAATACATCGTGAACAGTCCCTTTGGCTTTCTACTAGACAGAAAATGCTGCTACTCCATAGTTGATATGCTTCGCTATTGTACTAAGACTTGCGTGATAAATACCAATCTTTTCGAGTTATATGAAAACCAACAGAGCAGAGAAAGCACATTCATGTACTACTGTACATGGAACAATAGTTAAAAAGTTAAGCATAGTTTTCAATATATATATATATATAGGCCTATATATATATATATATATATATATATATATATATATATATATATATATATATTATTTTTTTAATATGTTTGCATCATGACAAAGGTAAACAACAACACATGGATGCTCAGTGTACTTTGATACATGGATGCTACAAATACTGGACTACAGTTGCATGTATATGGGTACATTTATATGACACGGTAATGCGCAAGAATATTGCTAGGATTCTGTTGATTTATGAAAACCAATTAAACTCGGGCAGAATGGTTCCTACCAGCAAGTAACATAAGATAATTTAAGTTGATGCTTACTAAAAGTGGAAGGGATTTTATCCATTCATTAATCGTTTAAAACAATTTAACATTTTCACGATACATTACAAGTCCTGCCCTTGACACTGATACCATTTTTCTAATTTCACAAATGGGGCAACATCCTAATGACCTACTTATTTTAAAGTGGATAACCTGTTATTACATGCGAAACCGCTTTAATTAAACGAGCTTACGTTTGGTACTTTTGAGATAAAAGAGCTCTACACATTTATCAGGGAAAAATTTGAGATATGCTTCACTTTTGCCTCTATGCTTATGATAACTATCATTGAATTTGCCTTTGGGAATAAAATTTTTCATATATTAAAAATGATTCAAATATGGAACAAACAACATGTGTTACTGATACATTGATACTTCAGAGTTCTTCACGGTCACGCAGATGTTGGAGTTACTAGTCTGCTATCAGTTACAATTTGACAGTGTACACATTCATCCGATAATAGAGGTGATGAGTTACGTTCTTCACCAATGTGCCCTAAATAAAGGTTTGTAACCAGAAAGCACACGCTGAGCGGGCGGAAAATATTTTTAAAAATTACGGAAATCAGTCTATCAATACTCCAGTTAGAAAAAAATCAATAGAGAAATAAGCTGAAGATAAAGGCTACCGATCATAAGCCCAAAACAAGTGTTTCAGACACCATATCGTACATTAAGTTAATCCCAGACTTTACCCATGTCTAGCCGTCGTTTTATCTGAATTGCGTGAACTGATATCGTCAAGTGTTTAGAAATAAGCAAACAGAGCACGATCCACAAGTTATATACACTTGAATTGATTGTTAACGTCCCAGCTCGATGGAGGTGGGAGGGCGATGGGAGTTTTTTTGTATGCTACCCTTCACAGCCGCGTCTCTTCCTATACGCCCTCTAAACTGTACCCCATCTTGCCTCAGGTTTCTGCCTTTACGTGCTATGCAGGCATGCGCACATGTACTGCCGTAGCTACTGCGGTTAGAATCGAGCCCGTAAGGCCGAAAACTTCACCCCACCCCCAAGTAAAGGGGGTGGGTCGTGTCCCCTTTTCGCCGATTCGACACCATGTTTACTTGAACACAATTTAGGTTTGAATTTGGTGTAACGTCACTTTTTCTGTTAATGTCATTGTTCACAAAGAATCTGACATAGAAACAATTTACAGAGTAAATGTATTCGAAACCTTAATAAGCCCAAGTCAAGTGAATCATAAACCATACGGTAAGTTAATACCAGACGTTATCCATGTCTAGCCGATCGTGTTATCTGAATTGCGTGAACTGATATCAAGTGTTCAGATATAAGCAAACAGAGCACGATCCACAAGTTATATACAACTTGAATTGATTGTTAACCTCCCCAGCTCGGTGGAGGAGGGTGTGGGAGTTTTTTTTGTTTGTTTGCTACCCTTCACAGCCGCGTCTCGTCCCTACGCCCTCTAAACTGTACCCCCATCTTGCTTCAGATTTCTGCCTTTACGTGCTAGGCAGGCAGGCGAACATGTACTACAGTAGTAACTGCGGCTATTACCGAGCATTTAAGGCCGAAAACTGAGGAAATACCCCCGTCACTTCACCCCCTCCAAGGGGTGGGGCGAGTCCCCTTTTCGCCGATCCGAGGCCACGTTTACCTGTACAGATTTCAGGTTTCAGTTTGGTATGTTAAAGTGTAACGTTACTTTTGCTGTTAATGTCATTTGTCACAAAGAATCTGACAAGGAATCAGTTTGTAGAGTAAAATGTATTCGAAAACTTAAGTTCCCTCTTTTCAAAACAAGTTCACCTCTCTCTCCTAGTCTCCTACTTGTAGCATCCCTCAATCTTCCCCTCTATCTCTACTAATAATCAACCAATTACACAATGTTACGAATCGTTTGTTGTCCAAAGCGCATGTTGATTATTTTAACAGTTATGAAAATGAACCTTACATCTCTGTTAAATAATGCACACTTTTCTCCCGTGTTCATTTCATATTCTTCCTACTGAACAATCTTCCTTGTCGCCGTGTTTTAATGAAAGATATAAATAAACATGTAAAACCTGCTGTTATCAAGGCAAGGGTAAGATTAATATGCCTACTAGTACCTGGGACCTTTTTGATACGTTATCATAAAATCACCTTGGGTTTCAGGACCCTGGCGGTGTCAAATATTTCTTTGGTCAAACTATATGAGCATTTATCGCAATCAAAATAATGTGAAGGAAAAGTTGGCTAATTCCTTTCTACCACAGCACATGATAGTCAAATTATGCTAATGAAACATTGACATTTTTTCTCTTCATATAAAAATATCGCGTCCCTTCCCCTCTAGAATAACACAGAGATTTGTGATTATCATGAAAAAAAAATGGTTAGGTTACTTATAAAGAATAGTGAAATAAGTTTTACTCGTATTTCAAGCTTTTGAGTTTTTTGATTGTATTATAGAATGTTTTGATTTTTCGGTTTGGATCTCGGTTCTAAAGGACGGTAGAAGATAAAGCAAGATCGAGTTTTCTTTCGTGAAAAAATTTACATTCAAGAACTTATTATTATTGTTTTATTAGTTTTTTTTATAACGGCTTCGTTTTTATTAATATTTGTTTTTATTGTTTTGTTCAAAGTTTTTTTTAGATAAAAAATTAAATAGCAAGTATATAATATTATGGCTTCAATTATCACTAATGACTGTCTTTATGACAATACGCAATGTTACAACGCTAAACCGGAAATAACTCACACAGAACGAAATGAGGGCTTCTACCCCTAACACTTCGTCTGTGTTTATACTATTATTATTTTAAATTCGCTTGAGTGTAACGAATTAGAACATAAGAAGTGTTTGTTTCCTGTGGATGTTATGTATCCACGGCGCATAAAATATGAAGATAAGACAATTGTTTTAGAATGATTGAATTTTAATATGATTGAAAAAGAGGTGGAAATGTTGAAAAGAAAAGAAAACTCATTCGGCTCATTTGACCACATGCCTGACACAGTCTCCGGCATCAATTTTAGACAAACATTATTGTTTGATATATACATTTGATAGAACCGTGGTGTATATTAACAAAGTTGCTTCCATGTGATTACTAAAATATGTGTCCAGTAAGATACAGTCAAATGGTTACTAGCGTTTACCGCTACAAAGTAAAAGTAAAGCTGACATCCTGTATACCGCACTCCACATGCGTCCCTGCGAGGTTTACATTAGAGACCATTTCCAGACGCTATCATACTAATTTTGGATCGAACTATCTCCAAGGGGATTCTCACTTAATTGCAATTAACTAAAGCAGCTTAGATGTCTGTCAATCCTACTGAAGCAGATAGCAGCTTTAGTAGGCGTCCCAGTCATCTAAGCCACTTAACCTAAAAGCAATTTAGAGAGAAACCCTGTGGAAATGGACCGATCCTGTTAGATCGATCTAGGGATGGGAACCCAGTCTAAGACGCCTGGTCAATTTTTGGCTCTGATACCACGTCCCCCGGAGGCGGACACTCTGACCCCAAGGCCATCCGATCAGCTTTAACATATCATTTATTATCTAATTTGTCAAGTATTTAATTTTTTGTACATGACAGAGCATTGCCTATTTCGGAGTGCATAAGAGAAAAAATTGACAAATCCCTGTGGAAGGAACTATAAAAAAACACACACACACATGTAACCTTGGTTGGTTACTAATTTTTAAGAGAACGGTGGCTTGGAAACGCAGAACAACTTCAGTTGTAGTTCATGTAGATTTTTATTCTTCACACACGGGCTACAGGCTGGCACGCAGGCAGAGACAGTCGCGACGATCTCCCGGGGTCTCTCTCTCTCTGTATCTGAGAGGCCCAGATTTTATAGGAAATCGCGCTGATTCCTGCGTGCCCAAAAACTATTAGTAAACGTACATGATTTAAAAAGAAGACAAATAAAACTAAATACAGGGACTATGTCATTTGTTATAGTAGCGCTGAACATAGATTTATTCTCCGGGTAGGAAGGTTACATAACGCTCGGACCTGGGATTGGCCTCAACTGAAATTTCCCCAGGTGTAGTGACTGTTTTTGGTGGAAGAGATCAAAAGAGCGAAATGACTATAATGAGGCCAAGTAAATTTCTACAATTTTATAGTCGTCATCGGGTTTCCCTTTCCTGTCATTTGAAAGGGGTGTATCTTCAATTATTTAAATTAATTACTCTACCGAGATTTTTGTTTCTAATTTTGGTTTCTCTTTCGTGATTGAAAATGAGATTTAAAGGCAGAGACAAATTGTAGGCTATAACACTACCGTGTCATACATAGAAACTTTTTTGAAGTAGTATTTTACAAAATGAAATGGTATTTGTGCACAAATAACTAGCTAATCTCGTTTCATGAATAAGGCGCCAACTGTTCCCAGTTATTAAAGGCATGTGTTTGACCTGAAAAGATATAATATCTTTGATCAGAGTTTGTTGTGTGCTATCGTTACCAAACTGAAATGGTAATTATAAGTGGTGTTAACTTTACATATTTTAGGGTGGCTAAGACAGATAAACTGAAGAAATCAGGTTTCATATTAACAGTGCACAGGTATCATTTGCAGGTGTAAGTGATGGGCAAGAAAATTACTCAAAAGGTGTGCTTGCTCTTTGAGGCAATATAATGGACCATTTTTGCTATAAAAGTAATGTCTTCGATATTTAGCGATATGAATAGAAATAACCAAACCACGTGACGCACCCCTTGTTTGATGGGAGTGTAATCGCGCCAAGTGATCTACGATACAAATTATAATCATTTGAAATGTATACACAGATTGCTAAAAAAATACAGTGGGGTTAAGCAAGTTAAAGATGCATACAAAGTCCATTTTTTGTCACAAAAACCAACCAAATGCCAGCATATAGTTTCAAGTAGTATAACTAAGAGAATTACCAAAAGGCATTGTTTAATTTTACCCGAAAATGATGTTTGAATGGATTTTTCTGCTGGCATTCTAAGCTGTATGTCAATGGGGCAGGAAAGTAGGCCATGAAAGTAGGTTAAATTTACAACCAAAAATTAAAAGAAAGGAGCAGTCTAAAGGTATTTTATGGCTAATCGAGTGATCTATTCAGTTTATCCCTTGGCATGTCAAATTTATTTGAGTCATATAAGAATCTAGTAAAAGTGGTTTACATGTGTTACTGGGAATCCACGCTCCACCGATGCTTAGTTCGTATGTACCTTTAAGGTTTGTAGCTGTAAAAGATTGTCCACCCTACATTAGATTTATTCAAAGTGGTCAGAATGGCGGGGGTGAAAAAAAAAAACTAATACAGGGCTTACCTATACCCGACCGCTTTTCACAGAGAGGTCTCGCGTGCATGACATCTGTCCAGTCTTAAAGGAGGAGAACAGAGGTGTCTTTATTCTGGCTTTTGGTCGTGTAGACAGTTTGAAACTTAACCGAAAACATCGACATATAATCCACCTGACACAGTCCAATCTTCCGTTTGTTACATAAACAGTGAATACAGACTTTTTGTTGCTTTATCAGTGCAGAACAGTTAACACAGGGTGAGGAGACAAGAAAAGCAAGGTGATGACATGGTCAACTGTGATTATCACATACTAGCAATACCTCCACTCATTCGGCCGTGAAAGATGTTTTACTAATGTAGTTTGAGATTACAAAGAGCAGGGGTATCAAGATGTACAAGTGTAGCCTATTGTCTGGCACGATTGATGCAACGGCGGAATGTGTGTGTGTGTGTGTGTGTGTGTGTGTGTGAAGGGGGGAGGGGGGTGAAAGGGCAGAGCCGATACCTGCCCCTCCCTTCGCTTCTCAGATAACCAATTCTCCCGCTAGAAAAAGTCTAAGGAGCAAAAGACGAGGAAAAAAATGCGATTTTCCCATCATTCTGTCCTACATGTTACAGTTAAGATTCCTTGTCTACGGTTTTATATTGACTTATCCTCCTGCCCCACCCTAGCAAAATCCTAGATCTGTCATTGTTTATGTGAATTATAGAATATGATATGGGCGCTGATGCTTTGTTGAAGAGATCACCTTTAACAAATATGAATGGTTTAATACTTCTTCACACATTACGTCACTATGGCTTAATTTAATCACTCCTTTCACTTATGATCAAGAAATGCTTGCACACACTTTAAACACTACTGACACACACACACATCAGTGCAAGAACACGTGGACGAATGATTGCGCACAAAAGAATATTCCAGAACACGTATACATTAAATCAAAAACACATATTGTTCTTTCAATTTCATGTGCAATCCCACAAGCTCATTTTACGGATCAAGTACACTATGCTTTTTGAAACACTAAGTTTAATGAAAACACAATTACTCCTTCTGTTTTTTTTCTACATCGGGACTGTTCTATGTCATACTATCTTCACTCATTCCCACTTTAAATTTATGAAAAACAATTATATCTCTACTTAAATTCTACAGTTACTATGCACTATACGAGCAACACGCCGGGTTGATAGACTTTAAGTAGGTTATCGCCAACGCTTTAGATTCACCAACGTCTAGATGCCCACTTGAAAAAAATAGTCTACACAAGAGAGTCAAGTCCAACTCTCAACAATTCCTAAATATTCTCATTGATATGAATATTAATATCTCACCTCATCCACTGGGACAGAAACATTGAATCCTTTTTTAGTCGGCATCTTTCTTCGTAGGGGGTGTTGTAAAGAGGCGTGCTGGTTTTTCGGCTGTGCCTCTTTGACAAGTAGCCAGAACTAGAAGCTGTTTTTATAGATACGATCTTGGGTCAAACACTCATGGTCGGAAGTGGGTCCGTACACGACAGTCATATTTGCACAGCGCGCCTGATAAATATGTCGTCGTCGAAGGGAGAGAGAGAGCGGAGCCACTCAACCTTCACGTGTGGGACTTGCGTAATTAGTGGGTCAACAAATTTATCTTGACTCAGCGTTCAATCAACCATTTGTGTATGACATGTGCTGAGCACCATGACTCATTTTCCTACTTTCCTTTAAAATATCCATCGATAAAACGATTATTTTGATTGAATCTGTATAGACATACCCCCTCTGAATAAAAAAAAAAAGAGCATGCGTTTTTCTCCCCAACAGATGGCAAGGTACACGGAGATATCTATGGAAGGGGGGGTGTGAGTGAAAGGGGTTAAATATATAAGCAGGGGCGGATCCAGGATTATTTGAAGGGGGGGGGGAGGGGGTCCGCGGATTCACAGCCGACCCTTAACGCCACCCCCACCCTCTCTCGCTGAATGTCCTGAGTTGCCCCTCTCCCCGGGCCTACAAGAAGCTAGATATCCGGCTGTCAAGATATAGGCTTGCGTCACCTCAGAAGTCGATATGCCGATGCATGATAAACATCCTAAAGTTACCTTACCCCCGCCAGCTGATTGCTTTGTCAAAATATGTGGACCACTTGGATACCTGTGTAATATGTGAACCACTTAGATACCCGTGTAATACCTCTGGAGAGTTAATTACTTAAGCGCAGCCCCTTGATATGATACAAGGTGAAAGATGGAGTAGGTAGGTTATCGGTAACGCTAATTATAACTTCACCATGATCAGGGGCGGATCCAGAGATGTTTTCTGACAGTCTTCCAAATTATCTTTGTTGATGCATCCTCCATTTTTGACAGTCTTCCAACAGAAAAAAATAGATACCTGTCAATGTAAACTTTAAAATCTGACCGTCTTCCAGAGGACATAGAAGACGGTCTCCATCCGCCCCTAGCTGCCATGCATCTCAATCCTTCCATGAGAGAATATGCACATTTAATCTACATCCCTTTTTTACGACAGTCCAATGATGGATGATTATGAGAACCGGGCTTAAATTTCAATTTATTGAATAAAATGTGGTGTGACTTTTTCAGTACATGCGCATGGTCTTACCTCGGGCCCAAAAACTTTTATATCCATAGCTTTCCTATCGTGCCATTGGGGATTAATGCTACATATATGTTATGGCTTTCAATTATAGTTTATATCTAAATTTATAAAGAATAATAGCCGGTTTTTAAATTTCCTGGGTTGGTACCCTTCACTACAGCACTGGTTACGGTATAACGTGTTGCGACATAATCTTGTTGCCACACAATCGTGGAATTTCCTTTTAGAAGTAATATGTTCCACTAAATAATTGGTATATGTACATGTTGTGCAATTTTAAAAAAGGAAAATAGATTAAGTAGACACTTTCGATGTGAATTGGAAAGGAATGTTAACAGAAAGAATCAGGCATGGGGGGGGGGAGGGTTAAAATGAAAGTTATTGTATTGGTACCCCCGATCAATAGCAAGGTTTGGTCAAGTTAATCTCCATATAAGCCATTGGGCAACTTTACCCGAGGTGTCCAGTCAAATAAACGACAAAAGGTACAGCTATACGTAGAACAGTGTATGCATTGCACTAGAAAAGCTCCAGATACCGGGATAAAATTTTGGACAAACTTAATTAAGTCAACAGCGTGGTTCGCTAGACCTTTATATAGCAAAAATAATAAAGAAATAGGATACAGGTTATTAAATGAATAAATAAAGCAAAAAGATACAATTATATACATTTTTCTGGAAACTTCAACGATTTCCCATGATCACCAAGATATATCCTTTTCAATTGGGACCCTGCTAATATTATGAAATCATATGCCCGGAGTAACTCATGATCAACGTCCGACTTTTAACAACAACAACAATAATAATAATAATAATAATAATAATAATAATAATAATAATAATAATAACATTATTCAGCTTTAAATGTTACACATTAATATTGTTCGTTAACTAAGCTTCTTCTATCTATTATATATCAAAAATATAAATAACTTTTTGAAATAGCAGAGAAAACTCAAGTAAAACTATAACCGTCCAGGTGTGAACTGCCTCGAATCCCATCATGCAATTTCCATCATGGGTGGAGTAAATGTCAGTGTAAAACTAAATGATAGATAAAAAATGCAACGTTATTTTTCTCCATAACGTAACTTGTAGGCTTATCAAACCAAGAAATTCATTGCAAAATCAAACAAAGCCTTGGGCACATGACGGACTTCAGCATTGATGGTGCAGAGATCAAGTATGGGGACTGGCGTCGCTCGGGATAATAACTCGAAAGCTATCTATACCCGAATCTAGAAAAATACTTCATAGGAACAAAAATTTTCTGCGTTCCGAAAATTTCACTTCGACTTTAAGCCTCCAAAAGCCTCTTACTTTTTAGCTCAACGAAAATGTTCCGACACATTTCCACATAACTCGACAGGTATCTACCCGGTATACCTATGATACATGTACATGTAGCTCTCGTCCAACAGTTTAGGCATGAATTAACACCAATACAGTGCATGTTGATCGTGACCAAAAGTAATGTATGATTAGGGAATGTGACAGACTGTTCTAAGCCTTTTCTCGCCCGATTACAGCTTTAATCACTTAATGTTATGAACATCACACCCACGTGTTGGGTGGGGACGATATTGCACCTAAAGATCGCTCATTTTGACTTATAAGAATTTATCGCAAAAATGGACGAGGAAAAAGCAGAATATACTGAGTCCATGGCACAAGCCTGACAAGGTAAAAAATGACTAAGATTAACGGACAGACCCAGAGGTTCAAAGAACATGGGAAATTCTCTATCTGCATTTTTAAGGTTGGACAACAATGTTTGCTGAAATTGCCTTGATAAGACATTGATGGCAGTCAGGATGGTAGGCTGCTGGGGGGGGGGGGGGGGTTTCCCCCTTATAGTTTTTTGTAATGTTATTAATTTTTAGGGTATTTTTAAACCCTTACTCAACCTTTTCTTTTATCTCAGTGACCAGAAGACTCTTATTTTTCTTTCAGTCAGCGAGAAAATTAATATCACAGGCGATACAAATATCCTGTTTTCATATATTGCCAGTCTTCAATTGCCCTCTTCCCTCATTGCCTGATGTAAGTTTTCAGCATTAGAAATCCGGAATGTCTGGGTTGACAGGGAGGCAAGAAAATACAAGTCACAGTATTTTACAAATATCTTAAAGATTACTCATCTCAAAGCATATCATTATAAAACCAGCCAGATGTTTCAGATATCATAACGTGAAGAAATAGCACCGAATTTCGTTACATTATTTACCGTACTTTTTGCAACGTTATCCTCGTTGTTGTAAGCGGCAAAAGAAATCTGAAAGGAGGATCAGAAACCAAGTCCTTTTTGTCTTCCAACCTTGGGATAGCGCACTTACTTACAGCATTGAGTGTATTATTAGAAGGGGCAATGGGCGATTTCAATAATATAGGGCTCTGGGCTCACAAGTGCCCTTTGCAACACTTTATTCACTGCAGACATTTTCACCTCATTTCTCATCTTTGTAATAACACTTGACGTGCTTCTTTTTGTCTGTTTCCCGTTCAAAACCAGTTTCATATGCTACAGAAAAACTCCTTACTTTTTGATCTTTACGGAATGAACGGAAAATAAAAGAGAATATTTATGATCAGAAATTAGACGAAGGTGCTCTTTTAAGTGAATATTCTCAGTATGCGACCCTGGATATACATGTAACAGTAATGTCCATTTTGATTTTTACTGGCTTTAATTTTTACTGGTAGGTAATTCACCATCTCATGAGAACTGATGTCTATATTTTCATTTAGACATGTCATTTTGGGCGCCTTGATATTTAAGACATTGTGTTGTCGATCTTTTTGCTTTGTCTCTCTTGCTCATAACAATTACAGCTGGCATAAAATAATGCCTGACGGAGAAAATAGATATAGGATTTTGAAAATTCTTGTGCAGGCTAGCTCTGTCAAGACATTGTTTTTCTTCTTACATAAATGTATACGTGTGTAACTGTCGAGATCTCCTGTCATTTCACACACAGCTCTGCACAGAACATTTAAACATGAAACCGAAATAATTAAACCTTTCATCAATTCTTATCCTTGTCCATCACGAAATTAATCACACCACATATATAAGCAAAGCTAGCTACATGTAAGTCTGTCTATTTGCCATCGTTGTCTCAATACATTGGTGACTTCTTCGACGTGTAGCTCCCAGCCAAAGCTATGCTGTTTTTCATTTTTCCTATTTGCATTATGCAACTTTCACATTTTCAGGTAAAAAATTTGTTCAGTGAGAATCCTGTCTCCCGCCGAGTGGGTATAATTCAAGTGTTGTCCGGATGTCATTTTAACTTAACAAGGCAATTATACGACCAGATAACTTCAACATTTGGAATGCAAATCAACTCAGTGGAAGTCGCCATGAACACGATGGACTCATCGTGTTTCTTTAATTACACCACAATGTTGGACACGAGGAGCGGGATATTTGTTTTAATGGGCGTTGAACAAAAAAATTGCAGTCAGCTGACGAACAGCGCAAAAAGAAGTACTTTTGTTGACTTTAAGAAAACGGTCGACGGCTTGACACAAGATGGCCTGGAGCACATGGCTCAAATTGTAAACGAAACTGATAATGCATGGGGAAACCGTAACCTTACACAAGGTAAAAACTTTACAGCCAACGCTACTTTAAGCACGCATATATGTATCAAAGCATCGCCACAAAACCAGGACATTCATGTTAATCATGATCCTTCGTCATCAGATTTGAAAACTGTTTCGAAAGATAGATATTTTTATTGTTTACCGAGGGTTGCAAGCGGACTGACGGACAGTTTTCGAATGACTGACTCTTGGTTCTCTAACAGCACATATGCTCAGTATTGTGGGGTCGTCGAGTTGTCAGAGGAAGTTTTCACAGCCACGGTGCTGTACGGGATGAACAAAGAAGAGTGCCTGGCCGAAAATACTCAAGGAATCAGTCAGAAGTTGTACCTTTGCCTTCGACAAGACGTATCAAAGCAGTTATGGACAACTAACGAACCAGGTATATCCTGTCCATTTCGACCCAGTGTACTTCCGGCGGCAGTTTTAAATAACACGCGGGAATTAGCAAAGCGCGCGTGTGCAATGGACGTAGAAAAAATCAAACCACGTGTCCTGGAAATGGTGGTAAAAAATGATCCATCTGAATGCCTGATCTGGTTGTCCAGCAGTTCCACTGCGAAGATAAAAGACTTTATCGCGGTGTTAAAAGTATACATATATACTGTGTAT